GAACATATAAAATTCTATCAACCTATAGCATAGACTCGTAAATATGTTTTTCCCTTAAAAAATAATCCTCTCCTCCTACACTTGGCCGTCAGATTAATCTCGGAATTTTCACTACGGACAACAAAACCGAATTCTCTGTCTTAGTGGATCGTGCCGCTGGGGGAGCCAGTATCAAAGACGAGCAAATAGAGTTGATGCTTCACAGGTTCGGCACATCCTTTCCGTGCTCTGCCCATATGATTCCTTCCTTTCTCCGCATTAGAAATCTTTTTACCTTCTCTTGCTTCATGTACCAGGCGAATACTTAAAGATGACAGCAGAGGAGTGGGGGAACCTCTCGATGAGATGGTGTGCATTTCAAATAGTACGTGCAAGGGACTAACGGTGCGTTACATCGCCAGAAGTTATTTGTGGACAACCAATTGTTTCTCCTCATTCGTTTTCCCAAGTGATGTTGTATTGCCAGGTACGAGGACACTACTACATAGGCATCAACAAACCAGGGTTGGGAGCTCGCTGGCGACGGACTACTGGCCAAGAAGTGTACTCGCCTTTAGTTCTGGCTTTTGCACATGAGGTACGGATTGAATGCATTAGCTTTATGTGGTCTATGCTTTAGCCTTTACCTGAGCAAAAGAGAACGACCCCGCAGAAGATGGAGGACTGGACAGCTTCTCATGTTACCATTGCGACTGCTATGGATTCGAGTTACAGTTTACCTCAAAATGTTGCTTTGATCACTCTGCAGGTTATTCAGATTTGTCTCAAATACTCTCTCTCTCCCCCTCCCTCCCTCCCTCCACCACACCCCCCCTCTCTCTCTCTCTCTCTGGGATTAATTGACCTTTCTGTTTCGCAGGAGTTGGATGATGAAAGTGCACTTCTACGTCTTGCCCATCTTTATGAGGTGAGAAAAGAACTTCATTTAACCTTTTAGCCCAAAAAGAAAGAGCTTTGTCAATCCAGTTCATTTGAATGCAATGCCGTTGGGGCTGTGATAAAAACTATATGTGAGATCTAGAATCAACAGAACTATGAATCTTTGCAAACCCACAAGAGACTGTAATCCAACTATGGAGGCATTGCCTCGCGGATTGGCTAAACTAACTCTATCAGGCTATTGACTCACTACAACACATTCCATCAAGTCGACATCCTCATGAGTCAGTTTTCCCAACTTCAATCAAAGAGAGGTGATTGATATATGCCACATAGTATTCATTTCCATCTTTCTTGTTGTGAATATATCTAGCCCGGTGAAGATGCCGAATATTCCACCTTGGCTGAAGTCGAGCTGAAGAAGATGTTTGCTGGAAGGACGGTATGTAAAGCTTTTACTGCACTAATGCCGAGGCTCTTCTTAGCGTCTGCCAACCACACGAAGTACTTTCTCATACTAATGGACATAATTTGGTCATTGATATATATGGTCATGACTACAGATAAAGGAAGTAAAAGAAATGAGCCTGTCTGCGAACCAAGAGAAGTCTGAAATGAAGCAGATGACATGGAAAGTCGAAGGGGAAGTCGCGGCGGAACCGACGCCTTTAAGAGGGGGCCCTGTCAGTGTCTCGGATCTTGTTGTCGAGCTCGGTCCCATGGAAATTCGTACTTTCTTGCTGAAATTCTAAGCATTGTACATAATGTCTGGTTTCATGAAATCAATTAACTTCCAAAGTCTCTTTCACACATTTTTTTTCATAAAGATGTTTAACCAGTGCTCCAAAAGGGTACCATTTAGCTCAATATGAAACCAATAAGTGCAGTTTTTTTTGGCTTTCCTACTTGGCACTTACAGTATCAACGGAAAAGAACGTTAGTTTAATTACTTGCTTAGTTTATTAAAGCAATTGGACAATGGCCTTCACAAGTTTCTCAGCAAGTACTCGTCAAAGGTTAATCTTTAACGAGTACTCGTCCGGATGATCGCCAGTTCAAATGTACAGAATTGTGTCCTTCAGTGGCAGTTTTCTTCTCTGCTTGTGAAGAGTGCCCATCTCCAGGTTGCATCAGTTATGAGAGATTAAGAAATGAACATTTAAACTTACCTAATGACCCCCTAAAAATAATGCATGCGGGATTAATTAATTTAATTGATTTCTGAGATCAGAAGGGAACAAAGTGTGAATGACTTTCGATCTAGGAATATCTCCTGTTTGATGGGGTGAGTGTCAAAAGCTTTCTGACACAGGGCAGGGGCAACAGAAACTCCAAATATTCGCATGACTTTGGTCATCATCAAGGCGACAAAATCCATTCATTATCTATTTAGGAACACGATTTCATCTTCATTGGCATTACTAGAAAGTAGAAACCATCTTTTAGCTTCTGAGGAAGAGTTCGCACTTTCTGCCATGAAGAAGATCACGAGGTCAGTCACTTTACTAATTACTCGATTCTTGTTCCTTTTTCTCACGTGATTATCACTTCGTTTTATGTCCCACATCAAGCGGAGTTCGTGTTCCTCGTTTTCTTTGCCCTTTTAATGTTGTCTGCAAGTCATTTGACCAAGTATCGCGATTTCCATATCGGTGTGTGTTCAAGCTGAAAAATTACAGCCATGTTGCTTAGGTAAGGGCTATTTCCTGTATTTCAGGGTTCGATTCATTCTGAGGGATTTTAGGCTTTGTGCGATCAAAAGGTCTCATCTCCTGGACTGCCTACGTCTCTAAAGAAGGGCTGAGCCCTTCCAGTCTCCAGCAAACTCCGACACCATGGGTGAAACGTGGAGCTCTGGTACAGCTAGACTCGATAAGCAAGACGGTTTGAGCTCTATAGTCGACGATCATCTGAAGCTGAGTTTCTTGATATTTTCCCATGTAAGACGCAGGTTGCATCTTCACAGTTCTAACGTCTTTTCCTTACTGAGTTGCTCATGCAGTAAGTTGTAAGGTACTAATATCTCCGGATTGAGATGTATATGACTGTCAACGTGATCTCTGCCCACTTTGCTAATTTATAAGAAGCGAAAAGTCTGCCGCCATCTGTGGGATATAGGGACCGTTTGGTTCAACTTTGCCAAAAGGCTTTTGGGAAACAAAAAAAATGGGTTTTCGGTGAACACTTTCGGAAGATGGATTACATTTCCAAAGTGCTCTGAATGCCTTCTTCTCGAGGATTGCAGCGTGTAGTATGCATATGGAGCTAGTTGAAATTACTCTAGGAGCGTGGTCATTGCTCTTCACGGCACTTTTTGGGCTGATCGTCTGAGCCATGTTTTAGCAAATGATCAACTTAGTGTGGTTAGAGTCTTACAACAGGTCTCAATGGTTTTCTCGTATGTTGTATAGGTGACAGATAGATAAGAGTAGTGGTTCATTCGGTACTCATTTTGTTTTCTCTTAACGTTATTAAACTCTAATTACTGGTCACAAATGTTGTTTCCGAGGAGGAATTGTTGGGGCCTGATAAAACAATGTGGTCGAAGAGGGCATTGATTCATACCGGTGGTTCGAAAGCATAGGGTTCGGTCGGGTTTCGCCGTTTTCTTTGCTGGTGTTAGTCTCTGCAAGTTGCCGTGAGCTGTGTCTCCAATTTTTTGTCAAGATAATGAAATTCTGGCTTGGACTCTCGCTGATGAATCGATCAGGTTCCTTACTTAGGAGTCTTTGATTCGAACGCTTGTTGGGAAGTGTCTGTCTCTCGAAGGGTTGCTAACAAAGTTGAAGCGGGAATGCAGTGACGATGGAAAGTTGGGTGATGTGTGGAATTCCACTTAATTCCTAAAAAGCGCAAATTTTAGGTCGGTCCCAATTCGGATCTTAACTTCTTTTGTCTAATAAAAAACACTAACTTTCAGTTTATTCTCAAATCTAGCCACCATCAAGTTTTCGTCCAATGATGCCTTCAAAGATTTGAAGCGTCATTCCACATCATTCGCATATTTTTCTCTGCTTTCCGGTATTTCACTTCATCTTCTTCATCATGATCATGGCTGCTCAAACTCATGGAGGGAGAGAGAATGTACACGTGGAATGACATGACTGTTAAACAGCATCATAGACGAAAACTTGACAGGCCAGATTTCATTACCGACTGAAGTTTATATTTTTTTACGAAACAAAAAAAGATTTGAGCCAGAATTTAGACCCAACCTATCAAGTTTGAGCTTTTTAAGGGCCCAAGTCTAGCGCGAAAAAACTTGCATTTTTTAACTTAGAATTTGCTGTGTGTAATTTCACATGCTTCAAAATCCGTGGTGCCCAAATATTGAAATCTATGTTCTGTCCTCATGGAGACAAAAAGTGAAATTTGTAGGGAGTTACCTGAGAGAATACCAAGTATAATTAAGAAAAATTTAACTTTTCCAATAAATGAATATCGGATTTTTTTACACGTGATAATTGTCTTCTTGACTTTTCCTTTGTCAAGTCATCAATGAATCGATCAGTATCCTCGTCCGGTCCAAAAAGAAACAGACAAATGTCTCGACGAACGTCCCTCGTGATTCGTCTCTTTCCTTCTCTCTTCCTTGGCCTGCTTCGTCCGGTCTCTTGGCTTTGAAGGAAGTCCCCCCCACAAGTTCTTTTCAATGGAAATACTCAGATTTGTTACTGTTATTTCTGGTCTCTGTCAGATTACACTTCGCATAGTTCAACATCTATCGTCCGAAATTGTGGAAGATCCCATTTAGGATCACGTTAGATGCCACGAGCCTTCTATCCATTCTCATCTGATCATAGCGCAAGGTCGATCTGGGACGATTGCTTTCATTTTTTTTAGGAAAAGAATGGTCGGACTTGCATATATATAGAAATGAAGTTCGATGAGTACCTATTATAAAGAGGAAGTCCGACCATCTTAACCGGACACAATCATTTTATCGAAAAAGATCGATTTTGATTTTCTTTTCGTTTGCGTGAATAAGTGTATCCGCCGCATAAAATACTCACCGCAAATGGCATTCTTACTTTGTCCTGAGTGGATCTTAAGTACCCAATGTGCTCAATTATTGAATGATTGCACCAACACAAAGGAAGTATCTTTGCACTTCTAACTATAGAAAGAGAGAATGAAGCAAAAAGACTTGGTCTTTGATGGAGTTTTCATGGCACAATCTGTGCCAACTCACAGTCAAGAGTCAATATCCTACACACCCCCTACGAATTACAGGCCGTCCACTAAAGTCCAACATAACCGGCGGATGTCTACACACCACTCAATCATTGGTCCAGCTCTTGGGAGCTCACCATTTATCAATCGTGTGAAGTCAACACTAAAACTCTGAGAGAGAGAGAGAGAGAGAGAGAGTGAGTGTGTGTGTAGTTGTGGTTGCTGAATGGGTACTCTTGTGGCTTCTTGTTTTGTGATTGTGATGTTGGAGATTGTATGGTTGTATGGAGGAGTGGATGGAGCTTACGTGAAGTACAACACTGCTGCTGGGGTTGTGGAAGGGAAGTTGAACGTGCATTTGGTCCCGCATTCGCATGACGATGTCGGATGGTTGAAGACCGTTGATCAGTACTATGTCGGCTCGAATAACTCCATCCAGGTCCTTAAATATTCGGGATCGAAGAGCATAGTGAAGTTTGGCTATACCGTTCAGTTGACGAATAATTCTGTGGTTATGTGAGTGGGAAAATGTTTTTATGGGTTTTATTGGTACTTCAGGGTGCTTGCGTCGAGAATGTGCTCGATTCCGTCATCGAAGCGTTGGCGCGGGATCCCAATAGGAAGTTCGTGTTCGCTGAGATGGTAAATTCTGTTAATTTTAGATTCTCTCTGATGCATATCTCTGAAGGCTCATTTTTGTTTTGATCATCTTCAATCCATGTTTTTAAGTTCCCTGCAATCAGTCAATTTTGCTATCTCAGGCTTGAATCTACTTAATCAGCTTGACGCTGCTGGTCTAGAGCACTGCAGTAAAACATCAATCCAATTGACCGTCGTGACGTTAATCCTATTCATATTTGTAATCAACAATTCTGCAAATCCATTATGGTTGACATGAAGATACCGACCGGTTTGGCCTTTAAAAAAGTTAAAATCTTTGTGCGATACAATTGCATTAGAAGAGTAACTGAACTTCCAGGCATGCCTTCAAGACACACTAGACAGTAAGATGTTGAAGTTCAGCATTTCAGTCCCACTTAACATGAAAATGGCCATTACACGATTCTCATTTTTTATTCAACGCTAATAACAAAGACGTACTTTGGCATGATGGACCCTTGGGATTATGTAGCCACATGTTTCCTGTCTTTTATGCTTCATGAACGCTACATTTGATAGTACCTATTACCTTTTTCTTCCCATGAGTATTGTTTGTTATTCTGCAGTAAAGACATCTGGCATTCAATTATCTAAACACAGAAGAAAGATTTGATGCCTCAAGACTATACAGTCCTTACTCATCTTTTGCACTTACATTCTTGTGGACTAGCATACTGGTTCTCTTAATCTTATCAGAGTCGGTTTATTCCCTTAATTGCTTATTTTTGCAGAGGCCTCTTCTATTACCCTCAATACAGGCAAACAAAAATGAGAGAGAGAAGAGACAAACTGTGATTTAACCAAAATTAATTTTACTTATCAAACATTTAAGCTGGAAATTGTGTACTTTGTTATGCTTGTAAGACAACGCACTTTGTAAATATTATTTATCTTGATAGATGCGGATCATACCCAACTTCTGCTTGTTTTGAAGTGTACCTCACTAATTGTTTGCTCACGATTGTTGAACAATCGTGGTTTCTGTGAACAAACGGTAGTTTTAATGCTATAGCTTCTTCACTTCAGGCCTTCACTCCTTACCTCCACTGTCCACTTACAAATGAGCTTAGCTTGATACAGTAACTAACGAATTTCATGAAATTTTAGGCTTTCTTCCAAAGATGGTGGACAGAGCAAAGTCCAGAAACACAAGAACAAGTGAGGAAACTTGTGAATGCTGGCCAATTTGAATTCATGTATGCGCTCAGTAAGCATTTAAATGGGTCTCTGGCAATTTCTGCACTATTACTGTCCTGACAGTAGTAGTGTTGGCAATTTGCAGAAATGGCGGATGGTGTATGCATGACGAGGCTACAACTCATTACATCGACATGATTGACCAAACAACTCTAGGTCATGGCCTGATAAAGTCACAGTTCAACAAAGTTCCTCGAGTTGGATGGCAAATTGATCCGTTTGGACATTCTGCCGTGCAAGCTTACCTACTCGGAGCTGAGGTAGAAGTTTCTATCGAAGGTTTTCTCAATTTCAACCTTTTCTGTTTTCACCTTCCAATCGGTCTTAAGTGTAGCTCTGAGTTATTTTTTATTTTGATGTCTGTACAATATGATGCAACTGTTAGACTATGAGAAGTCATGTTGTCTAACTTTCTTAGTCCTTAAATGAAAAAAGAGTTGCTCAGCATGGTTCTTTTTCCCAATAAATTTTCCTTGCTTTGTGTTGTATTTCCTACAAAAGGACCATCACCATTTTTGCAGGTTGGATTTGATTCCGTGCATTTTGCGAGGATCGACTATCAAGACAGAGCGAATCGCAAGAATGATAAATCTCTTGAGGTTATATGGCGTGGGTCTAAAACATTTGGTTCCTCATCTCAGGTTTGAAATAGAAGCAACCTCATTACCTTCATTTTTCTTGGTTACTGCACCTCAAAGATTAACATCATGCACTTGTCTGTGCCCTTGCAGATTTTCACAAATGTGTTTCCCATTCACTATGGTCCACCGGAAGGTTTCGATTTTGAAGTGTCCAATGATTTTGAGCCTGTTCAGGTGTGTGCTGTTATTCAACCAAATAAGTCATTTTCAAGCTTTTTTTTTGGCAGACAGATTCACAATTGAAATATTCAAACTGCAGGATAATACTCTCCTATATGACTACAATGTCGAAAAAAGAGTGAATGATTTTATTAGTGCTGCAATGACACAGGTATGCTCTTAGCTTTTTGCAGACAACAGCTTTGTTGTATGTTGGTTTGTCTCAGACTGAGACTGACCATTCGAGTAATAATATGTGAATAAACATCTTTGAGGTAAACATTTAGGAACTTACTTTTCCCAATGAACAGGCAAATGTTACCAGAACAAATCACATTATGTGGACCATGGGTGATGATTTTCAGTACCAATACGCCGAGTCTTGGTTCAAGCAGATGGACAAATTCATTCATTATGTTAACAAGGTAAAACTACCTGCTCTACTATTTGCTTTTATGATTGTAATATGCGAATGTTTATACTTCAAAACACTTGAAGTTTTGCAAAAACTCATTTCCAGTCACAGATAATTCTGAGACTTCCCTATGCATCAAGGTTGTGGTACTTTCAACAGTATCTTTTTCTTTGAGATGTATCCCAAAAGGATCTACAATTAGTTCGGAATAAGACTTTCTAAGCTTACTCTGGAAAGGAGAGATATGCTTTTGCCCTTTTTATTTCTTTCAGTGTACTTGCCATAATTTTCTTTTCCTGTTCCTGATATTTCCTCTCTCTCAGGATGGTCGGGTGAATGCACTATACTCTACACCATCTATTTACGTCGACGCCAAAAATGCAGCAAATGTGTCATGGCCTTTGAAAAGCAATGATTACTTACCGTAAGTGTATCTTTTCTACCCATCTCAGATGCCTCCATGTGATATATCTATTTCAATCACCATCGACTAGATATATGATGGACACTTGCTTCTGTGTACAGGTATGCAGATAGAAAAGATGCCTACTGGACTGGTTACTTTACTAGCCGGCCAGCCCTGAAACGATATGTTAGGATGCTTAGTGGATACTATTTGGTATTGTTTCTCTTTATTAGAGCTCATACTATATCAGGACACAGTATATCTCTTCCTGTTGTTGCGCTATTGTAAGCCAAGTAGAACGCTGACAACTTGAATGATTTTGTCTTTACTGTGTGCTTACATCTAGGTAACTTAAGTTTCTAGAGTGGTGAGTTGCGATATCTACGAATTGTTTATGTGCCATGGGAAGGGTATATTCTTCAAACAAACATCTGAGAAGACATTATGTTTTCACCCATTCCTTTATGATAAATATCGTCTATCCCACATATGTACTAAGTATAGCATCATTAAACATCACCATCATTGTGCTCTCTTTTGTCTATATAGGCAGCGCGCCAGCTTGAATTTCTTGTGGGGCGCAGGTCCAGTGGTCCTAGCACTTATGGGCTCGGAGATGCCTTAGGAATAGCGCAACATCATGATGCTCTCACCGGTACTTCTGTACAGCACACGACCAATGATTATGAGAAGCGCCTAGCTATTGGAGCTTCTGAGGTCGGTACATGAAGTCCCGTTGATTTTGCCCTTTTGGGGTTCTTTGTTCTCAACTCTCAATTTAGTCTCTAAATGCTCTTTGTTCCTAAATTTATTAGGCAGAAGCTGTCGTTGACAATGCTCTCTCCTGCCTTGTTAGTAAGAAATCAGGAGGTCAGTGCTCATCACCTGCTTTGAACTTTAGCCAGGTAAGCTTTAATTCAATCCCTAGAGTTTCCGACCAAAAGAATTTGTAATCGTTCTTCACGCTATCATATAAGCAAGTCGGTTCATCGGGACCTAAATTTTGCTTGAAGACTAAATGTTTTACTTACTCAAGATGATCTGTATTCATCTCTTGTTTACGTCACGTTTTTTACAGTGCCAATTACTCAATGTAAGTTTTTGCCCAGCCACAGAGGAAGATATTCCGGACGGAAAGAGTCTGGTAACTTTTTGGGTTTTATGCTGTAAATTCTTTAAAGAAATATGTATGTTCTAATAGAAGTTTTCTTTATCAGGTCGTGGTAGCATATAATTCGCTTGGATGGAATCGAACTGATATTTTAAGGATCCCCGTGAGTATTTACTTCTTTCCTGTTGTGCCAATAGTTTATGCATCAAGAGATTGATAATTGCTCCTCGATATAACTTGGCAATCACAATGTCTACTAGGTTACTGATTCAAATTTTTTCGTCCGTGACTCTTCTGGAAATACCGTTGAAGCGCAATTTGTCGATTTGGATAATGTTACAATCAACTTGAGGAACTTCTATGTGAAAGCCTACTTGGGATTGTCGCCTCAGCAGGTCCCTAAGTACTGGCTTCTATTTCAAGTTTCATTACTGCCATTGGGTTGGAACACATACTTCATTTCTAAAGCAGCTACAGAAGGTTGGTATTTACATACTTGGTTCTCTACAACAATCGTTGAAGCCTCTGAGATTGATATTTATATCATCTGCCAAGGCTTGCTAGAGTAAATTACATGAACAGGAAGCACAATGAATAATTAGTCAAAATTCTAACCCTTAATGATCAGCATGGGGTAAACTACATCATGGAGGAACGGAGATGAGCCTAGACATTCTCCAAAACTATTCAGAATCCATTCGAAGTGCATGGTTCTGAGGCCTTAAAACCTATCAACACAATTAATTTGACACAGCTTCACAGTTGCTAGGGAGCCATGTTGACTAGTTTAAATCTGTTTTCCCTTATCTGGGCTTCAAAATGATGCAGGGGAAAGTAAATCTAGTTTCCTTTCAACACTGGACAATCTACAAAATGATACCATAGAAGTTGGACCAGGCGATGTGAAGATGCTATTTTCATCAACCTCCGGGCAACTTGTCCGGATATTCAATTCCAAAACGGGGGTGAGTTTAGAGAAAGTTACAGATTTTTGTTTGGCGACAAGATTTTCTTCCAAAGTGTGTTCACTGTTCTGTTACCATTTCACTGTGCATGCATAAAATCCATTGAAATTATCAATCTCATTCACTTCTTTAAATTCTTTGGACCAGAATCATACTCGCAATTTATTTGCAGGAAAAACTTGTTGTTTACAAAGATTTTGTACAGGCCAAAGTAACTGGCTCTAAGAAAAGGGCTATTTTGTGTACTGCCAAAAGTATGTTTGCATTCCATCAAAAGTATGTTTATGAACATCTCACTCACCAGTTTCTCTGAAATCTAAAAGTATATGCACACCACTTGTGTTGCTCATTGACAAACGCATCGTCGGGTATCCAAACAAGTTACTACGATGAAAATGGGTTCTGGAATGCAACTTGGCTGCTTCAGCTTTCTTCCTTCAATCACATCTTCCAAATAATAGTTTTGGACGCTTAATTGATTGATGTACCTGTTATATCTTCATTTTCCACTGAGGATCAGTTGAATCGGTCCTTTCTGTTTAGAGCACTATCTCATTTGGTTGGCATCTTAACCTACTTTATTAATATCTCTCATATTACAATGTTTGCAGCACCTCTTTGTCCTCTGAGGACTTAAGATGAAAGTGGTAATCCTAGTTTGAAGGGTCATGTAACAATTTATCGGCATATAGAAAGCGCCCATTTATAGTGGTGAAAGCGAAACGATGATGAGAGCTTCTCCTAAAATTGTGTTGTTTCCATTCATATAATGACATTAGCTTTTCTTCAGGGTTTGACAAGGATTCAATGTCCCACATTATAACACTCTGGCTTGTACTTTTTGGATTACATTGCAGTGCATTCACAAGGGTTTCTTATATGCTATTGTGAGGCTATGCCAAATTCACTGCATAGAATGTTCGGTTGATCGACTCTAATTTTGCCAGGTTGATGTAACAGTACAGCAAAGCTATCTCTACTATGCATCAAGTATTGGCGATACAGATGATTCTCCGGTAAATATTTCTTTGCTTGATTTGTGACACAATGCAGACTGGTATGTGGACCTATTCACAGCACAAACCAAGGAATGGTAGCTGCAAGTGCTCAGCAGAGTTCTTTTATTGCAGGCTTCTAATTTGTACGTCTTCCGACCAAATGGGGCTCTTCCAACTATTGTTTCAAGAAAAGTAAGCAGCCTGTCATTACTCAGCTGTACATACTCTAGCTCACTCTTGGAACATTTAATAATACCATGCATTCAGTGATATCTTACATTAAATCTTTTGTAACAACGAGATTGGACACATAAAAGTTCATCGCCTATTTCAACTCTCACAGGTGCCCCTGAAGGTTGTTCGGGGACCACTAGTCGATGAAGTGCATCAGCAGTTCAGTTCATGGATCTATCAGGTTATTCGTTTGATATATTAAGTCAAAGCACATTATTCTTTCTTATCCCGATGATTTGCTTAGCTGTTTCTCTGACTTTCTTTTCTAGAACCTATGGGTTTTAGTTCCCATCGGCTTACAGATTGCAAGATATTTGAAGGACCCAAAAATGTCCAGAATGTAGATATTTTAACAAGGAGTTAGACTGAAGCATAGTAGTTAACATTTGGCTTTAATGGCTAAGCTACTAATCGGAAATGTCATTCATTTAACCAGAATCCTTGACTAGAAAAAAAAAAAAAAGAGATCTGTTAATTGCATGTTTAACATTCCCATTAATAGCTTAAGTTTTCAAGTTTGATCTAAGTGAATATATACAGTAACTAAGTTTGGTCTTGTACTCAAACAGTGTTGCTCCCTTAGCAAACAAACAATTATAAGGGTTTTGATTTGATGTCAGAGAACTGGAAATTAATTTAATTCCTTTATGCGCCATTTTTATTGCAAATTTATATCCAGTATATCAAATAACTAATTTCTTTCCCAAACAGTTGCTGCAAGAAACCATGACATTATTGAAATACCCTTTTTGGGCCATTGGGTATGAACTGCTGCTAATGAAGTGCTTCTTATGAAGTTTTGGACCAGCATAATGGCATCACATGAGTCAAATGGCTTGATTTTCAGACATCTGAATTTACCTTTTTTCACTTTATTAGGTCACAAGATTACACAAGGACAAAGAGCATGCTGTTGTCGAATTTACAGTGAGTTGCCCTTCCCTATTTTTCTTGCTTTGTAAACTATGATAGTCTACATATGGCAGAGTAATGCAACAAAACAGTTGATTGAATTTTCCATGCTTTGCATGCAAATTCAATGGATTTATTGTCTCTACTGTCTCCGTAGTATTAGCCTCTTCAGTCTCCAAGAATATCCTCCTAAGACATCTTGCTTTGAACTTTGAAGATTGGACCAATTCCAACAGATGATGGAGTTGGGAAGGAGGTGATAATGCAAATGACGACAGATATGGCCACAGAGAAGACCTTCTACACCGATTCTAATGGAAGGGACTTCATAAAACGGGTAAACTCCGAGACCCTCGATTTTCTTTAGATGCCGCCTTTCCTTGTCTCTTAAAATTATCGAAATTCACGACTGATAATCTGAATATTGGTACTAGCAGATGGAGTGCAATGTTTGCTAGACTTTATTATTGTTTTCGAACTTACTCCACTAAGTAGCATCTATCCTAGTGTTATACTTATAAATTTGTGATGTTCTTCGGGTATTTCAAATTTCAAATGTTGTTTAAAAGAAAAGTTGGTTCACTTATCATTGAAAGATGGTAACTGGAATCTGCATTCTCATTATCCGCTAAACTACATCTTCACCGAAATGATGTACAACATATTATTCTCTTCCAGTCACAGCGTTATTTCATACAACTGCCATCTTGCTCGTTATGGTCCAAGGCTGATGCAAAAAGCTTAGAATCGTTCATGCAGGTGCGAGATTGTAGACCAGATTGGTCCCTCACTGTTACTCAACCTGTTGCAGGAAATTACTATCCAGTAAGTTCCTTAATTTAACGATATAACAAATGATTGCGAGTGATAACATGGTCCTTGAATAGATGAAACTTCATCAATCTATAGCATAGATTCAAAACTAAGTTTTTCCCCTAAAAATGATCCTCTCCTCCAACGCTATGCCCTCAGATTAATCTTGGCATTTTCACCATGGACAACAAAACGGAATTCTCGGTCTTAGTGGATCGTGCCGCTGGAGGAGCCAGTATCAAAGACGGGCAAATAGAGTTGATGCTTCACAGGTTTGGCACCTCATTTCCATGCTCCACCCCATATGATTACTTCCTTTCTTCGTGTTAGAAAACTTTTACCTTCTCTTGCTTCGTGCACCAGGCGAATACCCTTTGATAACACAGGTGTTGTCGGACCTCTCGACGAGATGGTGTGCATCGCAAATAGCACGTGCGAAGGACTAACGGTACATTACGTTTATCTGCGGATGAAGAATTGTTTTTCCTCGTTCATTTTTTCACAAGTGTGATGTTGTATTTCCAGGTACGAGGACACTACCATATAGGCGTCAACAAACCCGGGACAGGAGCTCGCTGGCGTCGGACTACTGGCCAAGAAGTGTACTCGCCTTTAGTTTTGGCTTTTGCACATGAGGTAGGGATCGAGAACATTAGCTTTTTTTGGACCATGCTTTAGCTTTTACCTGAACAATGACCCTGCAGAAGATGGAGGATTGGACAGGTTCTCATGTTACCAGGGCGACTACTATGGATTCGAGTTACAGTTTACCTCAGAATGTCGCTTTGATCACTCTGCAGGTAAATGAGTTTTATGTCAAATACTCTCCCTCTCTTGGGGATTAACTGACCTTTCTGTTTCACAGGAATTGGATGATGGAAATGCACTTCTACGTCTTGCACATCTTTATGAGGTGAGAAAAGTACTTCGTTTGTCCTTTTAGCCCAAAACGAAAGAGCTTCATCAATCTATATCATTTGAATGCAATGTCGTTGGGGCTATCATATAAAACTCCATGTGAGATCTAGAATCAACAGAACTGTGGATCTTCGCAAACCCACAAGAGACTATGGTCCAACGAAGGAGGCCTCGGATCTTGGATTGACAAATCCAATTCTTTTAGGCTATTCACTCACTACCACACTTTCCATCAATTTGACACACTGATTAAAGATTTTGTCCAACTTCAATCAAAGAGAAGTGATCGATATATACCACAGAGTATTCATTTCCATCGTTATTCTTGTGAATATATCTAGCCCGGTGAAGATGCGGAATATTCAACCTTGGCTCAAGTCGAGCTGAAGAAGATGTTCGCGGGAAGGACGGTACGTAGAGCTTTTGCTGCGATAATGTCATTATTCTTCTTAGTATGTGCCAACCACACAAATGAGTTTATCATACTGATGGACATAATTTAGTAATTGATACATATGGTCATGACTTCAGATAAAGGAAGTGAAAGAAATGAGCCTGTCTGCGAACCAAGAGAAGTCTGAAATGAAGCGGATGACATGGAAAGTCGAAGGGGAAGCGACAGTGGAACCGACACCCTTAAGAGGCGGCCCTGTCGACGTGTCGGATCTTGTTGTCGAGCTTGGTCCCATGGAAATTCGCACCTTCTTGCTGAAATTCTAAGCATTGTACATAATGTCTCTTTTCATGTAATCAATTAACATCCAATGTCTCCTTCATACATGCCCAAAGGGTACCCTTTAGCTCAAGATGAAACCATTAAGTGCAGTTTTTTATGGCTTTCCTAACAAGTGCACTTACAGTATCAATGAAGAAGAACGGTAGTTCAATTGCTTGCTTAGTTTATAAAAAGCAATCGGACAACCGCCTTCACAAGTTTCTTAGTGAGTACTCGTGATCGCCAGTTCAAATGTACGTAATCGTGTCCTTCAACTGCAGTTCTCTTCTCCGCTTTCAGACCGCGCAAAGAGTTTGCGAGACAGCTAAGGAATGCGCCTAATGACCCCTAATTCTAACTCGAACACGGAAGCTTGTTTAACTGGTCGCGCTAAAACTAACGATCCCTCCACTACGTTAAAACCCACACGCGTGATTGCATAATTTGATTGCTTTCTGAGATCAGAAGATGAACACGGTGGATCATGACTCTCGAACTCTAGGAACAGCTCATGTTTGACAGTGAGTGTCAAAAGCTTTCAACGCAGGTAGGAGCAATAGAAACTTCAGATGTTTGCATATCTTTGGTCGTCATCAAGGTGACGAATTCATCCATAATCTATTCTTTAACAAAAGAAAAAATTTTAAAAAAAAAATTATTATTATTCATAGTCTGGCCCATGCAGGTCTCGAACCTGCGACCTTCGCGTTATTAGCACGACGCTCTAACCAACTGAGCTAATAGGCCAATACGTTCGTTGGCTGTCACATGGTTTTATTACTATAGTAAATAAAATAGAGATTGGCATCCCTAGCTTATGCCCTGTTCGCACTTAAGGGCGGAGAAGCTGAGGAACCATCGTTTTGGCCTTTCTGAGGAAGACGAAGCGGGGACGACCGGTCGCAGTTTCCGCCATGAAAGAGGATTACGAGGTCAGTCGTTTCATCGGTTACTCACTCCATCCTTTCTCCCTCTTTCTTCCTTGAACTGTCGCTCCGTTTCGTGTCCCAAACCGAGCGCGATCGCTGTTCCGCTCCTTTCGTTTGCCCCCTTCTGATGTTGTCTGCAAGTCGTAATTGGACCGAGTAGTACCACAATTCTTAGCTGAAACAATCACCCCCGGTGTTCGGTTCGGCAAGGGAGTTTTTCTTGGATTCTAGGGTTCTACTGATTTCGAGTGATTGGGGAGCGCGAGGGTGTTTCGGTCGTTGACGATCGTCGCACGTCTATTCGGGTCTCGCAATTCGTAATTGAGGGGGTCAAATTAACGCGGAACGGTTTGAAAGAATCGAACTTTACCTTCTTGGTTTGGTTGCTTTTATTGTGGCCAAAGTGTGCATTAGTTTGGATCTTCTAGTTCCATCAATGGGACTGGTTGAAGGGATGAAATATGAGAGGCTCTGCTAGATTTTTCTTAAGCTGACAAGCAGCGGCGATTTTTTTGTGCGATCGAAAGGGTCTCTTCTTGTCCTCTGAATGTCTTAGCTCACGAGAAACCCGGAAATGATTTCAGGTCGAAGAGAAGAAGCAGGCTGCTGCGGATGTGCTCGATCAGTACTCCAAGTTTGTCCTGGCCTGCATCGGAAACCAAGTTCGACCTTGTGATATGAGGCTCCATCTGATGAAGGTACCGAATTCCCTAAGATTGTAGGGTGTGGTGAGATTGACTGGGATTTCCGCCATTTGATTCGTGGTCTGGACCAGAACAGGGACATGGTGGAAAGACGCGGTAGATTTGCTCTGTCGATTGATGAAATGGGATCCGGAATGGCAAATTTCCTTCTCATTTTTTCTTTTGGTTTGTTTGTTGGAATTGTTCAGGAGATATCCGGACTGCCTACATCTCTAAAAAGGGAGCCCTTTCAATCTCCAGCAAACTCCGAAGCCATGGGTGAATCGTCGAGCTCCGGGACAGCTAGACTCGATAAGCAAGACAGTTTTCGAGCTCTATAGTTGATGGTCATCTGAAGCAGAGTTGCTCGATATTTTCCCATGTGAGATGCAGGTTGAACTATCATAGTTCTAAGATTCTTTTTACCTAAGTTGCTCATGCAGTATATTGTAGGTATAAGATTTCTCTGGAGTTAGATGTGTATGGCTGCTGAAACCTCATGTAATGTGATCTCTGTTGACATAAATTCATGCACCCGCTTCGTGAATTTCTTGTTTAGCCCTAAATAGGTTTTATAAGAAGCAGAAATCCTGCTGCTGTCTGTGGGATATAGCACTCTAGGATTGCAGCCTCTAATATGCATATGGAGCTTGTTTGAATTACTCCAGGAGCGTGGTCATTGCTCTTCGCAGCACTTTTCGAGCTAATTATCTGAACTATATTCACCAAATGATCAATTTATCGTGGATAAGGCTACAATAGGTCTCAGTAGTTTTCTCGTATGTCTTACAGGTGACAGGTAAGAGTAGAGGTTCATTTGGTACTCATTTCTGTTTTCTGTTGGGAGAAAATTCCTTAGATGTTATTTCTCAACCTAATTAATCTTGAATTACTGCTCACAAGCATTGCTTACTTGGAGGAATTGTTGGGGCCTGATTCGAAAGTATAGTTTTCAGTTGTATTTCGCTGGTTTCTTTGCTGGTGTTAGTCTCTGCAAGTTGTCATTGGCTGCGTTCACGAAGTTTTCTGAAGACAATTAAACTCCGGCTTGGACTCTCCGATGAATTGATTGCGTTTCTTACCTAAGTGCCTTATCTGAGCTATTTTTTTGTGAGTGTCCGGCTATCGAAGGGTCACTAACAAAGATGAAGCCAGAATTAACATGATTCGAGGGATTTTTAACTTACTGTGATGGTGGAAAGTCAGGTGATGTCTGGAAATCCCTTGTTGAGTATAGCACGAAAGAGCTTGCACGTCCTTTTCCTATCTTGTGTTACTTTTTATAAAGGATGACTTGAGTGTGAGCTGCACGAAAACTCTCAAATGGCCTTTTCATTGGATGTCACAGGTTATCTTGACGCTTTTAGGCCATGTTTGGTTCACCGTGGAGTTGGATTCCACAAGGATTAGGATTCCAATTCCTTGATTCTTTTATGTTTGAAAGAAATCTAAATAGGGATTTGGATTATTTATGGAATAGAATTCGTTGAAAAAGATTGAATTTGGTTGACTAAGTTAACTTGTTATTGGGATTCCACAAGCACTTGTAATAAACAAAGATAGCAAATTATGAACATGAATGTGAAAGAGTTTTAGCAGATTGAAGAAAATAAAATCAGAAAGATAAAACATGCGATGGATTTTCCCGAGGGTCGTGATCCTCTCCAGTGGTCAGTGAGGGCCTTGCCAAGTGAAAAAAATAAATAACAAGGGAAAGAGATTACCACCAAAATTGTTCTCATTAGTGTCAATTGTGCCATGTTAGACAATTGACATTCACATTTGTGATTTCCGGTCAAAATTGACTGAATGAATTATTTTGGCAAATTGTCAAAAGGTTTAAAATTAGATTGGTCAAATTAAAAGATTGAGGATTGAATTGTCATAAATGCAATAAGTTTATGACTTTTTTAGTAATTTTCCCCTTATTTATCCTAAGATCACGCTTACGCATACATTCCAAATTGCATATTTTGCATACTAATAATCGCTTGTTCTTGTTATGATTCAAAACTAAAACAGCATTATAAATTCTTTCGAAATTATAATTTCTTACTATTTCTATTGGAATACAAAAAATATGCCAACCACGTCTTCTAGTCTTTTTTTTTTCTGAAAAGATAAATAAGAAAAATTCTCTATAGCCAAGTAAACTCTTCATATGAGGCTTCCATTTATTAAAAGATCCGATCTTTTTGTGAGTATCTGGAACAACACCACCATTTTTGTATCCGGGTTCCTTGATAGATCATCTAGCCTATGGAAGAAACAAGTGCTAATTTTGGCTAGATTCGAGGCATAAAGCTCGAAAAATTTTAAACCATAGTAAAAAATTCTCACTTTTTAACCACAATAAAATTGTTAATACCAAGAAAAACCTCAAACTGGTACACTTGTGACAAATTAACCTCAAACTAATTTTTTAATCACAAAAAACCCCAAACTGGTACATCTGTGACAAATTTATCCCAAACTAATTTTTTGACAACCGAAAACCCCAAACTAGTACACTTGTGATAAATTTACCCTCCGTTAATTTTTGTTAAATTAGATTAATACCACAAAAAATCACAAATTGGTATACCTATAACAAACGGAGGGTAAAACATAAAACTCGTACATTCGTTAACTATCGCGTGTCATTTAACAAAACAATTTGACAGTAAAATTTTACGGAAACAATTTGAGAGTAAATTTGTCACATGTGTATCAGTCTGGGGTTTTAGTGGTCAAAAAATTAGTTTTTGGTAAAATTGTCATAAACGTATCAGTAGTAAGAAATCCTGAAAAAGAAAAAACAAAAAAAGGCTTTCGGACAAACAGCACCAGGCTGCTAGCAGCAGAAAGACAAGGCAAAGCCCAAGGACATGTTTGGAAGTATCCTAAAAATGCGGTGGGCAAATTCCACATTTGGGCGAAAATCAGGGCACTCGATGCAAATAACCTTCCTCGGCGTCATATAAAAATGAGCAAAAGAGAATTATAATAATAAGAGGGAGCCCCCGAGACGCAACGGCTAGTTCCGCGAACGGTCACCCCCAACGGTCACAATTCTTTCAAAATAGGGAACTCTCTCCCCCCTCTATATGGGACCGTCCCTCCAAACTCCCCTCTCCATCCTCCTCTCTCTCTCTCTCTCATCTCGTCGGGCATTCCACCATCTGCTTCGTCTTGCGAATCTTAACTTCGACGCGACTGCGAAAAAGGGAAAGCGAAAACGAAAGAAAGAGCTTGCTCTTATATAAAAGATGTTGCAAGATATGTGGAATGCCCCTCCTGGGTTTAGACCCACCAAATCCGCTCCCTCGTCGCCCGCCAAGCCGCTCGGGGTCTCGAGAACCCGGTCCGAGTCCTTCCACGTCACCCACAAGGTCCCGGTGGGCGACACGCCTTACGTCAGAGCCAAAAACGTCCAGGTAAGCATCTGGGTCACCTCGGATATTCATCGGAGTTTCGTCCTTTTTTATGGATTGTATTGATGTTTTGTTTTGATGGGGTTTTCTTGTTTGTGGTCTTTTTATTGATCAGTTGGTGGATAAGGATCCGGAGAAGGCGATACCTCTGTTTTGGGCGGCGATTAATGCCGGAGATAGAGTGGACAGTGCTCTCAAGGACATGGCCATTGTGATGAAGCAACAGAACAGGGCTGAAGAAGCCATCGAAGCTATCAAATCGCTGCGGATCCGATGTTCGGATCAGGCTCAGGAGTCTCTCGATAACATTTTACTGGATCTTTACAAGGTCTATAATCACTTCATTTTAGCGAAAACCAGCATAGTTCCACGGAGCTAGTAAGCTCTTGACAGTGGCAATTATAGCTAACCAAATATCTTACGTCCTTCATTTGTGTTCCATGTTGACAGAGATGCGGGAGATTGGATGATCAAATTGCACTTCTGAAGCATAAATTATACTTGATTCAGCAAGGGCTAGCCTTCAATGGGAAGCGGACCAAAACTGCTCGGTCTCAGGGCAAAAAGTTTCAAGTCTCCGTGGAACAGGAAGCGACTCGGTTGCTGGTAAGAGTCCACTACTACTAGCGTGTCAAATTCTACTTCTATTCTATGCCAGACCGTGTCCGTCAAAGGATCCCACGTCACTTGTGTGGTTTGTGTGGACAAGCGATCTAGGGTACTGTCAATGCTAAAGCTGAATTTCAAATGATTGAACTAAATTAAATTAGTACAAATTCGCGACATTTGCGAGTTAGACATGTTAAATTGCATCGTACTTAAACGGAATTGATGTTTTTTGCTTTAGGGGAACTTGGGTTGGGCACTGATGCAGCAGAACAACTACATTGAAGCAGAAGATGCATACAGGAGAGCACTCATAATCGCACCAGACAACAACAAAATGTGCAATTTGGGCATCTGCTTGATGAAACAAGGCAGGATAGCCGAAGCTAAGGAGACTTTGCGGCGGGTGAAACCGGCCATGGTCGACGGGCCTCGAGGTGTTGATTCGCACCTGAAAGCCTATGAAAGGGCACAGCAGATGCTCAAAGACCTCGAGTCCGAGATGATGAACCAGGGAGGAGACCGGGTCGAGCAGAGCAAGTTATTCGATGCATTCCTCGGCTCATCGTCGATTTGGCAGCCTCAGCCTTGCAAGGATCATCATGCTAATGCGAGTAAATCACAAGACGATTTCGGGGATGAGAATATTGACGCTAATATTATCACGAACCAGTCGACAGGGTTGGGGCAGCAGAGATACATGAAATCTCTAACATTTAATGGGAATTTGAATTCCCTCAACAAAGATGCCCCGCCATTTTATTCGACGAAAGTCGTGAACGAAAAGGAGCCTTTTGGGGTTCAGTTCAATAACAATGAGACCCTCAAGAGGACGAGGTCCGGGAACGCAGCAAATGGTATGCGATTCAGTGAAGCAGCGGCGGAGTCCACAAAGCCGCTCGTGGAGGGGCCAGAGAAAACAGAGAACAAGTCGAGAAGGCTGTCCGCCTCGCCCGAGGAGAAGTCAGAGAATTTGATGGAGTTGTTGCCTGACAATGATGACTTTGAAGAGGCTATTCTTGCTGCAGTTCTGGGTCAGAGTAAGGAACCAGGAAAGACGGTAGAAACTGACAGCAGCAACAACAACAGCAACAGCACTTGGAATGTCCCTAAGAAGATAGACAAGAGGCTCAAGGTTTTTCAGGACATTACACTCTCACTGAGTCCAAAAGCCTGAACAAAAAAGGGCTTGGCATTCTTTTAACTAGTTTCAGTCATAATTTCTGAATCTAATAGTTTTATATAATTTTAGGTTGGAGATAAACTTGTTCTCCTATTAAATTTCATTCCTTTAGTTGAGGAGAGGGGAAGAGTCTTGTAGTGTTGTAGCAATGCAGAAGAAGTAGGGCAGAGTTCTAGTACTTCTCCCACTAAACCGTTCCCTGTTAATTTGATGTAAGCAGCCTATCAAATAAATGGCACAATTTATTTATGAATAATAAGAGATGCATTTCCTGAATGTTGAGTCTCTCTTCACTTCAAAATAGGAAATCTTCATACTTATTGTGAGAATCAGCACCCAACGACTGGATGACATTTTGTACTCATCGGCATTTACGGTTGTAATTTTGTATTAAAGAAATCTAAATTTCGACGAGATCACGAAACCACACATTATTCACACTTCATAGTGTTCTTTTTTTCACTTCACTTTTTGGTGAACTCCAAAGAAATGACTCCAGGCTGCAGCAAATCCTGATTTGAGTTTCACCAGCATTAAGCCCAAGTAAGCCGGAGAAAAGCCTAGCTCGGACAGCTTCTTGTGTGACAGTGCATAGTCTTCAAAGAAGGCTTCCTCATCCTGCGTGTATCGAAAGGAACTCTCACAAAGAAGAAACTAGCACAAAGAATGATGAACTTCCATCGGACCATATTTTCAGCACAACTTAGAAGACATGATGTTCCGCAGCCCCCAGTTAAATTGATAGTACCTTGGCATATAGCTCTACATAGCGACGAAACTCTGGATCCTCCACAAGAACTCTATCTGTCGGAAGTTTCAGAAGTCCTGGCGAGTTTCGTTTCAGAAGTTCCCTGCACATATTTCGATCACAAAGCATGTAACATTGGGCAGAAAGTTCATCTGATGGAAGTAGAGAGTGAATAGAGTATTGTGTGATCGAAGTGTGATCGTCTCTTACACAAAATACGAATTATCGAACTTTAGGGGTTCCTTGGTCCAGGGTCCATCAAAGCCTGATCTATCCTTATGTGCTCTTCCCTAAAAATTCAGAGAAGAAAAGGAAGAAATTGGATCATGTACAAACTGCTAGTACCCCAGTGAAGAAGGGCTTCTGAAATATTTACCAAAGTATGGCCTCCAGATAATGCTACAATATCCTTGTCTGATAGGCCCATCCGATAAAATATTTCCCTTAAATGCGATGCGCCTGTATTAAGATGAACAAGGACTACATTAAGAAGCATTGTGGAAAATCTGAGGCTCTCTCCTAACTGATGCATACAAACTGGTATCATTTTCATCTGGGTGTCATCAATTCAAACCCTTAACAGTGGTTCGAGCTAAGGTTTTAGTGAGCAATCTTAAGAAGTACTGATTATAACTTACCTTTAGCAGCATCTGGAAGACGGCCTTCCTCTGGAGACCCCATAGAATCCTAATATAGAATCGAATCGGTTAATATAAGTGATGCATAAACCATTAGCCCTTAAGAATTCTTTCTGCCAATTTACCTTTCTTCCAGGGACGAAGTTAATGGAGGGACCGCCTGTAACCTCAACTGCGACAACCCCAGCAAGCTGAAAAGCAAATTATGGTTGAACTTGTGAGTTCACGACATCTAAAAAGTCTTTTGTCTTGAACTTGAAATCACATGGACTGTTCTAGCTGCTCATCAGCTTCCATAAATAGCAATTCAATACAAAGCTATTGAACAACTGGAGAGAATGTGTCCCTGGAGATATCATGATTAACGCGAGCAAAATAGTCCACAATTTGTCAGAAAATAACTACCCACGACCTCTTCATACAAAGTAAGGATACGTAAGTTTCCTCACATGGTATGTCAGATGCATTACCCCTCTATAACATCTTAGACAACATATCTGAAAGATTTCGCCGTAGCCAACATCAGACCCAGATAAGAATAGCAAACTTTTTAAACTAATATCATGCTATGGATTTTGTGCAGTACAGGTACATCAATGGTCCAAAAGATTTCTGTATTATGTCACCAACTGGGAAGATCATTTATCTTTTAACCAAGCAGGCAAAAATCCAAGAAAAAGGCGGTTACCTGGTAAAAATCTGCATAGGAAATTTTCGGACATCTGGCCTTGACTTCCTCTGAAGCAAAATAGAAGTAGAAAGACTTGAACAAAGATTTCCTAGAAAATGTAGATTGAACTTATGAATGTGGAAAGTTATAAATGCTAAGCCGCGGAAGCCCACCACATAAATCAACAGCAATCTTTAATCCATTGTTCGAACCATGTTTCAGTTCGGCTTCATTCCGTATCGAGCCATTAGGCCCTCCCGTCTTTGTTCTTGCATCATAAGTTCCCGCGTCATGCCACCTGCAGATTTCCATAACCATCATGCACCGACATAACTAGAGAAGTCCTAAATAGGCAATCTACGCAAAACACTACAAAGCACCGTGTATGCGCACGGTCGCTTGCAATCTAACAAGTTTCGTCGCTCACCATCCTTCAAACAAACTTTACTTCGCCAAAAAGAAAGAAGTAGTAAGAAAGAAGAGAAAGGATATAAGAATCTTTACGCTAAGCGAAGCATGATAGGGGCACACTGTGTGCTCGAAATGAGGCCGCGGAGCAGTCTGCGAGCCTTCACAATTTGCTTCAAGTACTCCGCGTCCACGACCAGCGCCATTCGAACAAAGTTCTCTGAGAATAAGGCCAATGAAAGAACTAAGACAGGTGATGGCGAAAGCAATCGCAACAATGCTAGCTCTGCTCCATTTCGCATGATGTTATATATAGAGAGAGGTACAAGTGGAAAGTAAGGAAGACAGAGTAGTGAAGAAAGGCACATATACTTTGCAAGTTGGAAGAGAGAATGGAAGCTGCAAGGAATGACTGATGCCATTGCCATTGCCATTGCCATTGCCTACTCCTTCGTTTAAGGATAAATAGAATATTCATGGAGCAGATCCATCATGATCAAGGCATGAAATTCCTTGAAAGTCATGCAGCGGATTCTTTTGCATACCACGTCACAAGACAACACGGTTATAAGGATTTGGAAACGATCATAGAAACATCACGTTGCACAAATCAAAAGAACGGGAGTTCATCTGTACAATTTAAAATTTTGAAAAAGAGAATAAATTGCGCATGAAATTCACTAGATGAACGAAAAATCTAGAATTTTTATCCTTCATAAGTCTTAATTTAGGATTTTTTTTTTTACCTGCAATAAATGAAATGAGAATCCATAAATTTCAAAAGCCTTGGTGGGGGTGTAAAATGGGGGAATAACCATGGGCTCGTCCCATCAAAGGGTTAGTCAAAGGCCATGACAAGTTTGACCAATCATCGTACCTGGGTTTCTCGGGCAAGGGCAACGAGGTATTGATTGACCATATTCAATGGCATTTTTTTTTTGACCATATTCAATGGCATTGAGGAGGCATAACCACAACTTCCGTTGCACTTGTCCTAATCACTATGACGGCCCTATTATTTGATTCATTTTAATTCACTTTGAACATGTCTAAATCTTTAGAAGTAACATGGGTATTTTTTTTTTGAATCATTTAGATTAATGTCAATATCTTTCCATGGTCTTTTTAAGATCCGCAATACATCTTCTTCTTTTCTTTATCTTAGCAGGAAATTCATATATCACTTCTCGAAAGCAACACAGAACAAGCATATCGTGTATTTTTTTTTTCTTCTTTATATCGTGATAGAGGCGGTATTTTGGCCAGCCTACGAGTACCTTATTAAGTCTCTACCCTCTTGATTCGAATAGAGATGGACCCTTATTCTAGATTGTGTAGTGATCAGTAAGGATATGCTTCCTTATGATGGGACTCGAAGAGATTGTGTCAATATCGGTTGCTAATTCAGTATTGTGTTTTAACTCGTAGCGGGAAACTACAAAAACGACGATGCTAAATTATGCGATACCAAGTCATCGTGACACGAAGTTTTCGAATATCCGAAAGACTTTCTTTCATCTCCACACTTTACTTTTATTTTCCCTTCCAATAAAATTTGTCGTCAAACCATATAGTGGCTATTCTAATAAGCGTTCCCGTGCTTAGTAAGATTGGATTTTTTTTTTAATCTTTATAATTTATCGATAGCTATGATAACCTCTAAGCAAATAATCTTAAGGGGAAAATTATTACCATGATTTCTAAATTCTGAATTTAGTAATACTTTGTATCTTGTTATGGAAAACTGAAAATAATATATGATTTCAATTCGGCGGCAACGAATTGTTCACTAACCTTTATGTTTTTATGCACTCCCGTGCAGAGCATGGGACATCATTGCCCCCTCCCTCCTTTCCTCTTTCTTTTTTTTTTTGCCCCTTTTATACTAAAGAAAATCCTGCCATATCTCTCCCCTCCCTCTTTTGCTGCTTTCTATCGTACTATAGATCTTATTATTCTTCAATTTTTCTTTTAAAAAAGTGACATACGACTGCCCGTAAAAAATGAATAATTTAGAAGATATTTTATTAAAAACGATCGTTTATATTACTCATAAAAAATAAATGAACGAAAAATATTTTCATCTTATAATTATTTCAAGAGATACAAACGATCATTTTTAGGAAAATATTTTCCAAATCAATCATTTTTTACGAAACAAACGAGTCCTTAGTATACTTTTATTTAATATATCAATGCATTTTATGCCTTTTTTTTCTCCTAAAATTCTTTCTCTTTAAAACAATTACAACTAAATCTTACCTTCAAAAAAAATTGATTTCCAATCGAATTATGAAAAGATAATGTCAACTTTTTTCTTTACATTTTATCATATATGAAAGTTGTACATACATTTCATTTTCCAATTATTTATTGATATATTCATCCTATTTCTTATAAAATCATCAAAATATATCTATATTATGTAACCGTTTATTTAGATAATTAAAAACCCTGAAACTTATCAAATCACGAGAAGACAATATCATTCCTTTGTTATTTACAAATCATATCCCAAAAGATGAACACTCCATCAATCTCTAATTATTTCACTCAATGCGCTCAACTAAATATAAGGTAAAATCATCCCGATTATTGATAAATAAAATAACGGCCTCGTTATTTAGCAATTATTCATTTTTACGCCAAATTAGATAGAACAATAATGCAATTTTCGTGATAACAATTTATACCCCAAAGAAGCACGTGTAACGTACTAATTACATAATTAGGCAGGATATTCAATGACCCCATTAATAATTCATTTTCTAATTGGCCAAAAAACAATGCCTCTTTAGTGTTTTTGGGAGGGATGAAGAAAAAAAGAAAAAAGGACCGTTGAGTGTATTGCATGTTCGAAGGGCCAAGTTGGAGGGCATTATGGTCATTCCGGCCGTATTATAAATTTTTTTTATTTGCTGGGGGGGGCTCTCTGCCCGAGACGCATTATCCCTGTTGCATCTCGACACTCTTCTTGTTCGCTCGTTCGTGCTCCTCCTGTCCTGCATCACGCCCACCTCTGTGTTCTCTCTTCTCCGCCAAAAGGAAAAGCACAACACCACCCCCACGTTCCAAGCTAAGCACACACACGCACACCCACCCACCTGGTACTCCCCACGTTGGCGTTGCGTTTGTGTTTCTGTTCTTGCCGGGGAGGGACAAAAAACACCTCTTTTCTTGAGGTATCGAAGTTGCTCCAGCTGAGCCGAAGCAAAGTGTTGTGATCAAGAAAGCCGCGCCTGCGTGAGGCCAGAAGAAAGGGAAAAAGGACAAGGGCTTAGCTTTGCGCGTCCCGTCGTCACTTGCGGTGGTAATGCTGCTAAAGTTGAAGCCCTCCCTGGGAAATGCGCGATGCCCCGCCATTGATGGAGCTTGAAGCAGCTTGAGGAGGGACGAGAGGGAGAAAGATCTTTCCTTTTTTTTGTCCCGTTTTTGGCAAAAAGAGAGAAAGGGCTCGTTTTTGATCGTCTGGGGAGGGAGGGAGGGAGCGAGAGAGAGAGAGAGAGAGAGAGATGGGGTGTTGTTACTCGAGAGTAGAGAGGGAGGAGATGGTGTCCCGCTGCAGGGCGAGGAAGAGGTACATGAAGCAGTTCGTGAAGGCGAGACAGGGGTTCTCGGTCTCGCACGCCATGTACCTGCGCGCGCTGCGCAGCACCGGATCCGCCCTCCTCCAGTTTGCCAACGGCGAGGCCACCCTCCACCTCCACCACCGGCGCCTCCACTCGTCGCCACTGCTGCCCTCCCCGCCGCCGCAGCCGCCGCCCACCCCGCCCCCTCTCAGCCCCGGCCCCGACACCTGGACCTCCACCTCCGTCACCGCCTCCTCGGCCGTGCCGCCCCCGCCCCCTCCGCCGCCCCCGCCGCCCCCGGCTTCCGGGTGGGATTTCTGGGACCCTTTCGTGCCGTCATCGTCGAGGTCAGCCACGGAGGAGGAATGGGAGGTGACCACGACGGCTTCTGAGTTGGCGGCACCGCCTGCGGCCTCCATGACAGTGGTCAGTGGGTATTCAAAGGACAGCAATAGCGAGCTTGCAATGGTGGTGTCCAGGAATAGTGGGAAAGATCTGATGGGGATAATCAAAGAGCTTGATGAGTACTTTCTGAATGCTGCTGATGCTGGTGCTGATGTGTCATTGGCGCTGGAAGTTTCAAGCCCTGCTTTTTCTTACCACCAAAGCAGAGAGGGTACAGAAACCACTAAGCCTTTATTTTCGTCATTTTCTTTTGTGTCAATTCTGTTTGACAGATCTGTCAAAAAAAAATATACCCATTTGATTATATTTCGCTTTTATGTGCAAGAAACCATGAGATGAGATAGCGAATGTAAAATGAATAGAAGAATGTTTTGCTAGTTTGCTTTTTCTGAGCGAAAGCAGTTCTCTCTTTTGTCACTTTGAACTGCGTATATATATGTTTGAAGTTTGATCCTTTGGTGTTGGCAGGCAAAGTTCATAATTATATGTGGAATCTGAGTCCCTCGTTGTGGACACGGGGATGCACCAGTCCCAAATCAAATGGCTTTGGCAGGATGAGTGCCCAGAATTTTGGCAGTGGAAGGTCTGTGTATGGTAGCCACTGTTCTACTGCAGAAAGGTTATACGCATGGGAGAAGAAGCTGTGCAAGGAGGTCAAGGTAGCTATCTATTTCGATTATATATCTTGCTATTGTCTTTCTTTTGCTCTTTAATAGTTATTGCTAGTACATGACACATTTTCAACAAGATATAAGACGGTTTAACCGTTAGGAAATTGACACAAATCTCCAATGTCCTAGGAGGTGGCTCCTAGGAAACAGTTTGACCGTCGAAAAGTTCAATGATTTTAAAGATGTGTAACTGCGTTTTGGGTTTCCTAGAATGTTTATGTTTTCACGGACAAGAAATGACACTCTGTGCATATTGAGCAATTAATGGATATTTTTCCTGTTCTGGTCTATCCATGAAACCAAATTCATGTAAGATTATTTATATTGGTCTTAGGATGCTGTGACCATCAAAATGCAGCATGACAAGAGGGTGGAGCAATTGAGGAAGCTAGAGCTGAAGCGGGCGGACTATATGAGGACTGAGAAAACCAAAAAGGAGATTGAGAAGTTGGAATCGCAGATGGTGGTCGCTTCGCAAGCCATCGAGACAACTTCTACTGAAATCATCAAATTAAGAGACACGGAGCTGTATCCACAGCTGCTGGAGCTAGTTAAAGGGTTAGTTTACGTTACATGCATGACACGAAGACCTAAACGCTCTCTCATTTATTTATTTTTCCTTTTCCTAATCTATATAGTAGGGAAAGAATGTTTCAAAAACTGGCTCGGCAATGCGGAAAAGTTTGGAGTTTGAGTGGTTTTTTTTTTAGTTGGACACATGCTAGATCATGTGGAATGCATCACTTTTCCAAGTATTACCTTCTTTTTTTTGGTCGGAAAGTATTACCTATTAAGATGGTTCAATCCATATAGAAATGTCTGTTTGAGAATTTTATGAAAATGGTTGTGGTAACTAGGATGCCCCCGTCTAACCACTAAAGAAAAGTCATATCTAGCACAAAATAAAGTAAAATGCATCTGTTACTAGAGTGAAAGGCAGCCCCTGCATTTGGGCCAGAAGAGAAAATTATCCTAGTTCTGTACAAGCAATTGCTTTTGAATGCTTTTCTTATGCCTCTTTATCCCTCTTGTCCCTTCTTTTCACTTTTAGTCCCAGGTTCTTCTCATTTCCAAGAGGGTTAGTACAATGTTTTGAACCGTGCATCATGTTGTTATTCCTAGAACGAGAAACATGTTTGCTGCATGGTTTAGAGTTATTTAGGAAACAAATTACAACAGCAACGGTAGTCAAAGCCTTTTCACTAAGTGGAACCAACTGCCTGGCCCTTGCTAAACATAGTAGTGGTGGATGATAGATTCAAGGTATTCTTTATGCTTTCTTTTAATGTCTTGTGAGACTCACCCCCGTCCCATGGAATCTCAAACTCTCTGTGGTCATCATGTCTCATTTCAAATTTATGACCATGTTAACAGGTTTTTCTCATCTTCCGTTGGTCTATTGGGCTGACTTTAATCTTTTCTCCTGATTTCAAATCTTTCTTTTCCTGAGTGCCCATAGCTCAGTGGCTTTGCATTCCGACCCATATAACCCATCGGGTTGTCATATTGTCAATTTGTGAAAAATTTCCCTTTTGCTTGAGTGGCTTTTGCCAAAGGCACAATACCATGGATGCACTTCTTTTAGTTTCTTGAAAAAGCAGACAATCACTCAAATTGTTATTTTGTTGTGGAGAGTAAATAACTATTGGATACAATGTATCAAATATATCGTTGTTAGCAATGGGGCGGGGAGAACATGTCATGCTGCTCTTGTTGTTCTTGTTCAGTAAAGTTAGTGCGTTGGCTACTTTTCCTGTAGAAATTTAAACATGTCATGAGCCCTATTGTATAGCTCAAAATGGGAAGTTGCAACTATTTACAAATTTGATTGTTTTTCAACAAATGGGTAGTCACATACTGAATAAAACAAGTACGATACACAAAATGACTCGATCTGGGCTCTCTTTAATAAATGTACTTATATATTTATCCCTCTCTCCATAATCTATGCGCTCTCTGCTGTGTCTTAAATAATTGCGTAATTGCAATTTTATCTCCCTCATTGGGCTCTTTTCCCCTTTGAGTTTGCTATTGCAGATTGATGTGCATGTGGAGAAGCATGTATGAGTGCCACCAGGTCCAGACCCACATAGTCCAGCAGCTTAAATACCTGAACATCATTCCATCTGCTGAACCCACGTCCGAGATTCACCGACAGTCAACTCTGCAGCTCGAGCTCAAGGTCCAGCAGTGGCACCTCTCCTTCTGCAGCCTTGTCAAGGCTCAGCGAGATTACATTCAGTCACTTACAGGCTGGCTCCGCCTCAGCCTCTTCCAGTTCAACAAGAACACACTATCTCGAACCTCGGAAGAGTCGAGGATTTATTCACTCTGTGAGGAGTGGCAACAAGCCGTCGACCGGATCCCTGACAAAGTAGCATCAGAAGGAATCAAGAGCCTATTGACCGCAATCCATTCCATTGTGGTTCAACAAGAGGAGGAGCAGAAGCAGAAGAAAAGGTCGGAATGTGCATTCAAAGAGCTCGAGAAGAAGACAGTTGAGCTCAGGTCATTGGAGAGCAAGTACGGTCCATTTTGTGCAGCCGAGACTCATGGTTCTGGAAGAAATAAGGACACTGTCGGAGAAAAGCGTGCCAAGGTCGCAGCTTTCAGAGCCAAAGCAGAGGACGAGAAGTCGAAACATGACAAATCGGTGAGCGTAAGTAGAGCAATGACTCTGAATAACCTACAGATGGGTTTTCCGCATGTCTTCCAGACAATCGTGGGGTTTTCCAGTGTGTGCATGCAGGCGTTCGAGTCGTTGTACAATGTAGCCAAGAACAATGCACCAGAGCATGATTTGAAGAGGCTTCTTCCTTGATTGCGTAGCCATGCGGATCAATTCATTGCAGAGAATGTTCATACCCGGTTGTATATAGGATAGAGTTTTGTGTCTACTTGGTTGTCCATGGAGATAATTTTATCAGGTATTACCGCTTTTTCAGACACAACCTACTATGGTGAAGTTAGATCAGAATGAAAGGAGTTTAAAAACTCGAGATGGGTATTGTGAGTTGTTTGTCCTTTACGGGAATGATTTTGGATGATTTCAGTATTCAAACCGCAATGACCACTTTGTGACAGCTGCGCATGAAATGGTTTGCTTCTGTGAATGTAAATTCCAGTGACATCCTAGCTGTAATTGTGATTTAGCCAACAAAGCGCAGAACTACAATTACTTAATCGTAAAATGGAAAAAATTAGCAGGTTATATCACTGTCGACGGGCTACGGGATCTCTGAGATCCGAACCAACAAGGATTGGTTATGAGACACAAAAGCATGTGAAGACCAAAAACTCACGAAGTGTTAAGATATAAAATGACATTTTTAAAGAGAGATCTTAGGAAGGAATAAGTATCACTGTATCACACATAGGACAATTCATAACAAGGGAATCTTTCTCTTTATGCAACCTGGAATATTTGTGGGTAGGCATAAATAATTTGTTTTGCTATTAAGGAACTGCTTCAAAAGCACCGAAAATAACAGTCAAACCGCGGAAGTAAACCACTTGGGGTTTACCCCAGTGGCCACCATTCTCACTTGAGAAGGGGGAGGTGGGGAGTTCGAATCCCCACCTTCGCAGAAAGTAGGAGTAGGGCCGCGTAGTTTAAGATGTGGGTTTCGATGCCCACGCCCTGCAAGAGGTGGGGTGCAAGTCTGAGTGTGTATCGTGAGTGAGAGATAGAGTAGGACCGACCAACAAAAAAAAAAAACCGCGGAAGTAGAGATCATCGGAAAAGGATTAATTTTCACCAGAAAGGATGTGTCCCACAAGAACAACAGCTAAGAATCCAGCTACTTCTCCGTGAAAGACAAGCAGATAAGTCAAGCTATTCATCTTGTTTCTCGTCATTAGTAGTAGAGGTAAGTTCATGTGAGTATTAAACACTTGTAGATATTATTTATGGATTAGTACGAACACAAATTGTCTAGTCCCACGAAAATATAGGCAGGTTTTGATCTGCAGAGAGCGATGGAGGGACAGAGCATGGGAACTGGGCAGATTCTGAGTATGAATGGTGGCTGCGGAGAAGAGAGCTATGCCGAGAACTCCAAAATACAGGTACACGTTCCTGATTATCATGACTTCTCTTTAAAATTGTAATTTCATTAATTAACGTTCTTGAATTAAATTAGAGTTAACTTAAATGATCGTCTAGAACAGCGTCTTTTGTAGGAGGGTGCTTAGTACTTCGGGTTGGAGTAGCTATTAAACAGATATTCGTGTAAGTCAAAGCCATGAGTTGACTCACAGAGATGTGATTACAGAAGTAATTTATCTCCATATTTTCTTCTCTTCTTCAATAGCAGCAAATGCTATTGAAGTTGAAGACGAGCAACATAATCTCTCTAATATGATGCCATAGTTTTCTTGCACAACGTCTGCAATCCCATTATGTCAATCCCTCAGTAGATTTTTCAGTTAATATCAGTCTCCAGTGATGAGAATCAAACCTCAAACTTATTAGAGGCCTTAATGCAGCTTGAAAAGTGCTTGTAGAAGCTCATAAGAGACTTCTAATAGAGAATGGTGCCAAGGCAAAGTTCGCTATAGGATAATATGAAGCAGAGATTCTACAACCTCCTGATAAATTTAGTTTTTGACAAACAAGCTGAGGCCATAAACAAACTTCAACTGCAAAGTACTAAGCTTTAATTCCACACAAGATCAATCTTTTATTAAATGGCCAAAAAACACTATTGTGCTATCGAGAAGACTCTTGCATGTGTAAATCATCACCCAATTCATTGAACACTGATATTGAGATTTGACCTCTCGTTTAATACTATGTTTCCCCTAAGTAAACTGAAGATTTTGTTTCTTCTCTAGACCACATATCTTTCCAGGACAATGCCGGTGTTGCACACGGCTCTACTAGATTTCTGTACCAAGAAACTTCCTGCTACCATCACAATCGCTGATCTCGGCTGCTCTTCCGGGCCAAACACTCTGTTGGCGATCTCTGAAAGCATGAGCATCATCCACAACACATGCCGCCAACTCGGACGCTCGCCGCCACAGTTCTGTGTGTTCCTTAACGACCTCCCTTCCAATGACTTCAACACGGTCTTCAACTCCCTTCCAAAGTTCCAGAAGAGGATGAGGGAAGAGAATGGCCAGGACTTCGGGCCATGTTACATCACTGGAGTTCCAGGTTCCTTCTATGGGAGGCTTTTCCCTGCGAAGAGCCTGCACTTCGTGCAATCTTCCTCAAGCCTGCATTGGCTCTCCCAGGTCAGCACTCACCCCTTTTTAAAAGAAAATCGAATTTTACCTCCCTCGACTATATGATCATTGTACTTTTAACCTATAACCGTTCAAAGTCTTGAGCTTTCTGTATGAGCATTCCATCGGAATTTAATAACTTTTAATGGTTCTAAGCTTGATAAGGCAAAAGGAGTGAAAAGTTCAATGGGAAGAATTCTGACCTGAAATTCCCTTCTGCAGGTACCTGTGGAGCTGAGTGACCCATCTAACAAAGCGCTGGTAAATAAAGGGAAAATTTATATTTCTAGGACAAGTCCACCGGGAATTGTCGAAGCTTATTCGAACCAATTCAGGAGGGACTTCTCTTCATTTCTTGAGTCGCGATCAGAAGAAATAGCCCCCGGAGGACACATGGTCCTGACTTACAGGGGCCGGAGGACGACAGACCCGTCTCCAGATGAAAGTTGTCTGCTTTGGGACTACTTAGGACTAGCATTTCAGGATTTGGTCTCACAGGTACATGTTGCTCCAAAAATATTTCTCCCCATCCATGTGTTCTAGCCACTGCATATGCAAGGCTCGGTCTCACAAGCTTTTATTGAAGTCGAAGTTATTAATCAATTTTGCCTAGCCCATGTGCATCTGGATCTCTAGGGGAGGAGGTCAGTTTTGGCAAGTCCTCACATCAGTCTTGGAGTATAACTTGCAAATTTTTGCAAGACCTGTCACTTGGCTACTTGAATTGAATAAAGTAACCTTTGAACCGTGCAATTTATTAACTTAACTTTCTCTAGTGAGCTCTAAGTTGCTGGAATTGCTATTTGTCACCATTTGACTAATGGATGCTTTGAAATCACGAAAGCTGGCAGTCTTCTAGAGCTAGGCTAGATTGTAGCTCTTAAGATCAGATGATTAGTCATCGGACTGGCATCATCTGATAATCCACTAGAATGGAGTTAGCAGGCTAGAAACCATGTAATTCTTTCACATGGAAAACATGTTGCTTAGCTGGTCTTCTAGTGATATCCCTTAATCAATTTACAGGGAAAATGTTACTAAAAAGAGAAAATTGTTCAAAAAACGCAGGGATTGATAGAGGAAGAGAAGCTGGACAGCTACAACACACCATACTATGAGCCCTATGTGGAGGATGTGAGGGCAGAGATAGAGAGAGAAGGGTCCTTCACACTTCACAGGCTAGAGATCATTGCAGCTCCATGGGATGGTGTGAATGGAGGGCACAAGTATGACAGGAGGAAGACAGCTGAGATGATGGCAAAGGCCATAAGGGCAGTAAATGAATCCATGATCACAAGCCACTTTGGAGGTCAAATCTTGGACTCCTTGTTTGAGAGGTTCATAGACATCATGGCTAGGGATACCAAGGAAGTGGAGCATCCCAGTCTTGTGTTGTCTTTGATTAGAAAGTCCTGAGATTTGCCTAGAGTGCTAATTCAGAGAGAGAGAGAGCCCCGTTGTGTGAAAAGGAAAAAAAGGGTCATCACCTAACTTAGATAAGGTCCTATGTATGTTGCCAATGATTTGCACTTTGCACTTCAATAATGTGTTTCTTGGCCAGAAAAAAAATGTCGTGTGTTTGTGTTGGCCAAAAGAAAAGATCATATATGTTTGTAAGTCTTTTTTTTTTCCTAAAAAGTTAAAGAAAAGGCAAAAGAAAAGAAGTCTAAGCATGTATATTTGTAAAAGTTTCAAATATTTTGATATATACTCTGCCATAAGATTGAGATTAACTAAAAGGTATATGGTCAATTTAAACACGCTTCATATTATATCTGGCTAAATTCATCGATTCAGCTCGATAGATGGACTGTCGGTGGATATACACTATATAAAAAACAAAAAACAGCAACAATAGCGAAAACATTACTCAATTTTCACTTAGATACTAGTTACATGTATTCCAAAAAAAAAAAAACCACAAGTCGACGGTTGAGACATGGGTATCAGTCTATCAGATATGCTGTGTTGCCTTTGCAACCACAAAATGGGTTGACTTTATGGTGAACGGGTCTTCCTTTTACAAGCTTCAAAGGACAGCAACAGTGATCTTGCAATGGTGGTGTCTAGGAATAGTGGGAAAGATCTGATGACGATATTTAAAGAGCTTGATGAGTATTTTCTGGATGCTGCTGGTGATGGTGCTGAAGTGTCATTGGCGTTGGAAGTTTCAACCCTGCTTTTTCTTGCCAAAGCCTTCTTTTCTTTTTCTTCATTTTTTTATTAATTATTTTTTACAGATCCGTAAAAAAACCGATTTGAATATATTTCGCTTTCATGTGCAAGAAACCTTGGGATAAGATAGTGAAAGTAAAATGAAGCATGACACTGTTTTGCTAGTTTGCTTTTTCTGGGCCAGAGCAGTTCTCTTTTTGTCACTTTCAACTGCATATATATCCGCAATCTGAGTCCCTCGTTGTGGACATGGGGATGGACCAGTCCAAAATCAAATGTTGCAAGACGAGTGCTAGAACTTTGGCAATGGAAGGTCTGTGTATAGTAGTCACTGTTCTACTGCTAAGAAATTATACACTTGGGAAAGGAAGCTGTACAAGGAGGTCAAGGTAGCTATTTATTTCGATGATCTATCTTGTGTATGTCTTTCTGTTGCTCTTGAATATTTATTGCTAGTACCTGACACGTCCCCAACAAGACGATTTAGCTGTCAGGAAATTGACATGAATCTCCGATGTGCTAACAAGTGGCTTCTCGGAAACAGTTTGACCATCGAAAACTTTTATGATTTTAAAGATGTGTAACTGCGTATGGGTTTCCTGTAATATTTTTCTCTTCTGCTAGCTACTATCCTTTCATGGACAAGAAATAACACTCTGCAGATTGAGCACACAATGGATATTTTTCCTTTTCTGGTCTATCTATGCGACTGACTTCATGTCATTTTATTTGTATTGGTCTTAGGATGCCGGGAGCAACTAAGGAAGGTAGAGCTGACCATGGCTGACTACCTGAGGACTGAGAAAACCAAAAAGGAGGTTGAGAAGTTGGAATCGCAGATGATTGTCGCTTCCCAAGCCATTGAGGCAACTTCTGCTGAAATCGTCAAATCGAGAGACACGGAGCTGTATCTACAGCTGCTTGAGCTAGTTAAAGGGTTAGCTTACCTTACCGTGCATGACACAAAGACCTAAACATTCTCTCAATAATGTTTTTTCCTTTCCTGATCTATATAGTAGGTCCAAAAACTGGCTTGGTGATGGAAATAGTTTGGGGTTGATGTGGTCTTTCGTAGTTGGAAATGCTAGATCACGTCGAACCCATCACTTTTCCAAGTATTACCTATCAAGATGGTTCATTACATATCGATTGTCTATTGAGAATTTTTATGAAAATAATGGTCATGGTAACTACGATGCCCCCATCTAACCGCAAGAGAAAAGCCGTATATAGTACGAAATAAAGTAAAATGCATCTGTTGCGAGAGCAAAAGGCAGCTCCCACATTTGAGCCAGAAGAGAAAATTCTCCCAAGAACCGTACGAGCAATTGCTTATGAATGCTTTACTCATGCTTCTTCATCCCTCCTGTCCCTTCTTTTGGCTTTTATTCCCAGGTTCTTCTCATCTCCGAGAGCTTTTCACTGTAATGTTTGGAACCTGACACCATGGTGTGGTTCCTAGAACGGGACACACGCTTGCTGCACTGTTTAACATAATAGTTCAGGAAACAAACTACAACAGCAACAGTAGTCAAAGCCTCCTCGCTAAGTGCAAACCGACCGCATGGTCCTTGCTAAACATGGTTGCGGCAAAGGATGGATTCAAGGTCTTCTTTACGCTGTGTTCGAATGTCTTCTTAGGCTAGGGATACCAAGGCAGTGGAGCATCCCTAGGCTTGTGGTGGCTTTGACTCGAGAGTCCTGAGATTGGTCTTGATTGCTTATTACTCGCTTTTCCGCTTAATTACGTATTTTCTAAAAAGGAAAGAGAAAAAAACAACAAAAAAAAACAAGGAGAAAAGGAGTCCATCAGACAGGCTTTGTGTGTTCAGCCTTACCAACCACAAAATGGGTTGACTTTACGGTGAACGAGTCTTCCTCAGACAATCCAACCAGCTTCCATCGATTTTATGGTCATCGTCGAACCTTCAAACCTGGAGAGGATCCCGAACGCCAACAAGCACGCGCTCAAATTAAGATTTGGAAGATGAGCAATGCCACCCATGTTTTTTTTTTTCCTTTCGAATTCATGTGTCTTTGACTATCCAATCCAAAATTCGCTTCAATTGGGCACTACGGGTGCGTAAGTTCTGGACTCGAAACCTTGAAACCTATCCTATCGGAACTGGTTCTCGAATTTTTAAAATCAAGGACCAAACCGATCGACCCTGGAACCAGCCTCTTCGGGATTCTAGGGCCGAAGCAGAAATCGGCTTTCTTTCTATTTCATTTTTTTATTCAATTGCTCTATCATGTGTAATGTCTTTTTTTTTTTGACAAAAATCCTCAATCATGAGACTCGTGGGACCTAGTTTTGACAATTCTATTCAAGAATCGACCGTGAAACCTATGCTTGACATTGACCCGGCCACCAAATCGGCCAAGGCTGGTTCGGATTCTTTACCCGAGCACCGAATCGGTCGTCATGTAAGGCGAGCTTGGTTCGGTTCGGTTCGGTTAGGCTCGGCCCGGTTGCCCACCCCCTTGAATGGCCAAATTGCAATTGGGAAGCAGGGATAATGAATAAATAAATAGCTCCATAAATTATTTTCTCACGTCTCACAAACTAATTTTTATTTTCCCCAAAATACAAAAGGGATAATAACACAAACAATCCCTAAACATTAGCCTAATGTGCAAGTTGATTCCTTAACTTTTAATTTATTCAATATAGTCCATGAACTTTAGATTAATGTTCAATGAGGTCCCCGAACTTTTAATTTTTTCAATGTCATTTCTTAACTTTTGGTACGTGTTCAATTCAATCCCTAAACTATATGAAAATGTTCAATGCAGTCCTTTCCATTAATTCAAGTTTAGAGACTACATTAAATATTTTCATATAGTTCAAGGACTGAATTGAACATGTACCAAAAGTTCAGAGATGACATTAAACAAATCAAAAGTTCATGGATCATATTGAACATTGGGATAAAGTTTATGAACTCCATTGAACAAATTAAAAGTTCGGGAATCGAATTGCATATTTGATCAAAGTTCAGATACTGTTTATGTCATTTTCCTAAAACAAAACTAGCAGGTAAAATTTAAAAAAAAAATTTGCATTGATTAGTTCCCAACAAGATTTCCAAAAACGAAGAATCCTCCCCCACCTAACCCCACATCCACCACCAGCTCCTCTGCTTCTCCTTCTTCTTCTTCCCCCACACACACGCACCAAGCATGCACATCAATGTCCCTTCCCCTCACCAAACCCCGCAACCTCTCCCTCTGACGCTGCCCGACCCGATCCGCATCCCATGGCCTCCACCGCGAACGCCTTCCGCCTCTCCGTCTCCCCGAAGCCCGCCGCCGCCTCCTCCCCCGACGCGTTCCTCCGGCCGGAGACGCTGTCCTTCCGCTCTCCCGCGGGCGGCGCTCGGCTGCTGAGGCGGAGCGGCGGCGGCGCGTGCTCCGTGAGCGCGGGCGCGGGCGCCGCGAGATTCAGGGTCCGGGCGAGCGCGACCCCGGTTATGGACAAGTCCGCGAGCGAGGCCGGCTCCAAGGCCCCCACCATCGTCGAGGTCGACCTGGGCAGCCGGAGCTACCCGATTTACATCGGGTCCGGACTCCTTGACCGGCCCGAGCTCCTGCAGAGGTCATCTTCTATCCTATCTCGTGTCATTTGAATTCGATGAAAAATAGAGTCTACGGAGGGAGTTTGATTACGATGTTTTTAATTGCGAAGTCGATCGAATGGAGCTTGATCTGATTGAATGGGATGGTCCGGGATTGAAATTGAATTTACTGGTGTCCCCCTGAACTTCAAATGGCTGGTTAGCTCTAGAGCTGCTTTCGGATTCCTTTGATTGAAAAAAAATGTATCTTTGCTTGCTTTGCAATAGGCATGTTCATGGGAAGAGGGTTCTTGTGGTGACTAACGACACCGTGGCGCCAATTTACTTGGATAAAGTTGTCAATGCCTTAACCAAGGGAAACCCGAATGTTTCCGTCGATCATGTGATCTTACCGGATGGTGAGAAGTACAAGGACATTGTAAGTCTCTAGAAGCTTTCTATTCAGGGTTTCCATCGCTTACCCGCCTGGTGGAACGGGCTTCTGAGTGACGCGAGAGGTTTGTTTTGATCAGGACACCATGATGAAAGTCTTTGATAAAGCAATTGAGTCGCGTTTGGACCGCCGATGCACGTTTGTCGCCCTCGGTGGTGGTGTGATTGGTGACCTGTGTGGGTATGCTGCTGCTTCGTTCCTCCGTGGTGTTAACTTCATTCAGATTCCCACGACGGTTATGTCTCAGGTCTCTCGTCACTCAGAGCTACTGAATTCTTTATCATCAACTTGGCTCTTTATTCCTTTTCTCTTGTGCTGTCGCCCTGATGGATCGTCCTTGTTTTATTTCTGCCCCAGGTGGATTCTTCTGTTGGGGGGAAGACAGGCGTAAATCACCGCCTCGGGAAGAATTTGATCGGTGCCTTCTACCAACCACAGTGTGTGCTTATAGACACTGACACTCTCAACACCTTGCCAGATAGGGAATTAGCATCAGGCCTTGCTGAGGTTATTAAGTATGGGCTTATTAGGGACGCTGAATTTTTCGAGTGGCAGGAAAAGAATATGCATGCCTTAATGGCCAGGTAATATCAATATTTGCCGGGATCCTTGGCTGCTCTTGTGCAAAAAGTTGATGAGTTGCTTCATCACAGGGATCCATCGGCACTAGCATATGCTATAAAGCGTTCCTGTGAAAATAAGGCTGAGGTTGTGTCCTTAGACGAAAAAGAAAGTGGATTGAGGGCAACATTGAACTTGGGACACACGTTTGGCCATGTGAGTTTCATGCCTATGCAATTGGCGTTTGGTCATATAGCTTGTCAATTCATTTTCTTGGCCCTGGCATATCCATTTGGGCTTCTGTTGTGAGTATGAAATTTGGGATTTTCTCCAACTTCTAGGCATATTATAAACTTATTTCTCTAACAAGACATGGAGGGGTAAGCATAATTATGTAAGGCTGTTATAGAATGACACAAGTTAGTGCTAAGCAACCTTCACAAAAGGAACGCGGTGCTGGTGCATCTGTTAATTAACCCAGGCATTAATGCTGCAATTTCGAATAATGAGTTTTCCTTGCAGCATTTTCTTGTGATGCAATCTGTAGCACAATGCATATTCAATCATCTTCTCATCTAGGTTCTCATACAGATTGTAATTAGCAAAGCATCTAGTTTAACTTTCCGAAAAGCCTCTCTACATTTGCTTTCTTATGTGTATACCAGATCAGAGACTCGTGCTCGTGCAAAACTGTAGCTTACCCTAACCAAAGATGTAATGGAGAGTGAAGTTAAATGGTTCCACACATATGTACATAATAAAAGACTTGTTTAGGGCAATACTGTCACAACAGGTCTGTTTTATTCTTTTACATCCAACCTTTTCTGTTTACATTTTAGTATGTACTTCTGTTATTTCAGGCTATTGAGACCAGTTTTGGCTATGGTCAATGGCTGCACGGAGAAGCTGTCGCTGCCGGCATTGTATGTCCTCCATACTTTTTCTCTTTGTTTTTACCAAAGTTGCTTAGCCTGTGTGTGTGTCCTATAATGCTAAATTGAGTCTCTGAACTTCAGGTTATGGCTGTTGATATGTCCTACCGGCTCGGTTGGATTGATGAATCGATTGTGACCCGAGTTGACAAGATTCTGAAGCAGGCTAAGTTGCCGACTCTCCCTCCTGAAACCCTGACCGTGGAGAAGTTCAAGTCTGTTATGGCGGTAAGAGAGTTCTATCCACGTGATCCTATTTGAGTTTGAAAATCCGTCTCGTCTTGTGGGCGTTAACACGCGTTTGGAAGTGCAGGTCGACAAGAAGGTAGCAGACGGGCTGCTGAGACTCATCCTTCTAAAAGGGCCTCTTGGTAACTGCGTCTTCACGGGCGACTACGACAGGAAGGCCCTCGATGAAACACTCCGCGCATTCTGCAAGTCTTGAGATACAGATGCGGGGAGCTTTCGGCGTCCCCGAGATACTTTCGATTCTTTTGTCAGTAGATGTATGCGTAGTTTTTATGTAGTAGTGTGGTAAAGCCAGTGTTGCAATTGTTCACACCTTCTTCATTCTGTCGACCTAAGATTGAATTGGTGAAATCTTATTGATAGCGAGGGTTTTGTACTTCAGACAGACTGGGATCGTCAACAGAAATAAAGATGTCAATGTCTCTCCCTCTGCTCTACTGTTGCTGTTGTTTGGTCTCGGGGCCTAACTGAATCCATCGGGTTGAACGGAAAGTTCATGGGCCTGAAATTATAGTGGAATCAAAAGATGGTGATGGGTTCCACGTGCATATATCTGAGCCCGACCCACGGTAGTTTTCCCCTAAACCCACTTCCATTCAAAAATAGAAAAGAAGAAGAAGAAGAAGAAGAGGACAATCGATCTCTAGTTGGCTTGCTTTCAAATTCTTTGAAAAATCTATTTCTACGAATTGAAATGTAGACCCATTTTGAAACATTGTTACCCTCAATATCTTTTTTCACGTCATCATCGCCACACGCTGCATGACATATATCGGTTTCAGAACATGTCGGTTTGGAAATCGAAATCCGAAACCCGACATTAAGTTTCGGATTCTGCCAAAATGTCCGGTATTCTTCTCACGGTGAAATTTTCGAGAGAAAAAAGAAAAAAAAGGAGAGAGACGAAAATGACCGCCCGCGCCATGGGATGGGGATGGGGATATGACTGGTTTCTATTCTTGGGCCACGAGGCGAGGCTGAGCTGGACGCTGGACTCAAACGTTCGATTCCAATTCGTTTTAATCCGAAGCCCCGAAACAAAAAGAAAGGTCGCCAAAAAAACAAGGGGGGGTACAGCTCAAATTCAAAACTCGAAATCTGTCCCCCCCCACCCAAAAAAAAAAAAACAAAATAAAATTAAAAAAAGGGGGGGTAAAAATCCAAAAAAGAAAAAATCAAAAGAGGTGTGGGGGTAGAAAATCTCGAACATAAATAAATAGCGAACACGGGGACCAAAAACTCGGAAATTGGATTTTTTTTGGGGGGAGGAAGGAGTTCGGTTTCCCTTGGCGAAGAAGAAGAAGAAGAAGAAGATTGGGTTCGCTCGCTCCCCTCCCACGAACGCTTCAACGGCACTAATTTCCCGGAGCTTCTTCCGATTCAGAAATGGTATTCTTCTCTCTCCACTTTCTCTCTCTCTCTCTTCGCCCCGATCTTCTGCAAATCCCCAAATCTCGATCCGCATTTCCATCGCCTTCCTTCCTCGTCTCGATCGATCCCCCCCCCTCCCGAATCGCTCTTTTCTCGCTAGGGTTTGAGTCTCCGTCTTTCTAGGTTCCCTTCGCTCTCCTTCATTCTTCTTCTTGTTTTTCTCTGAGATCTGGTTCCTTCTTGCGTTCCTCCGGATCCGTGCTCGCGGCGTGCCAGATGCGCGGTTGAATCGGCTCGGCTGGGCGGCGGCGGCGGCGGCAGCGGCTTCGGCGGCATTGGCGTTGTGATCGGGTCTCCGGCTCGAGGGAAGATCTGAAGGCGTGAAGTGGGGGGAGGAGGAGGACGAGGAGGAGGGGGAAATGAGCGCGTCGAGGTTCATCAAGTGCGTCACCGTCGGCGACGGTGCCGTCGGTAAAACCTGCCTGTTGATTTCTTATACCAGCAACACTTTCCCCACGGTGAGTGCTTTCGATTGCCTTCTTCTTCTTGCCGTGTTGCGTTTCTTGCGAAATTTGCTTCTTGGCGGTGGAAATGATTGGATTGTGTGGGATTTTTTCGGGATGATCTGCTTTGACTCGTCGCGAATTTTCTGTGAGGCTTGTGTTAAGTTTTTTTACCTTTCAGGGAGCAGCAAATCATTGTGAAGGAAAGTCTCGTTTTTTTTTTTTTTTTTGGTAACGTTCGTTTCTCTCTCTTTCCTCACCTTATTCGAGAGCAGATCTTCGAGGCTTAGATATTGTATCTGTAGTGCATTGCCTGGAATGCTGATGCGGATCATAGATGTCCTGGAGTTCACATCTACATGCTGTGGCCCTTATTTTCTTTGTGTGCTGCTAGCTGCTCAATTTGGAAATGTAACAAACGACATTTGATGCATTCTGTTCCCTCGTTTGTTAAATAATGGGGAAATGCTGTTATCCGTCATTATTGCTCTTTTTATGCTATGTCTACTGAAAGGTTGGAGATATTATCCCAATTGTGCACATCATACCCTGCTGGCATCAGTTTGTAGGTTACGCTCCTGTCACTAATATCATGTGCCCGCCATCGTGTTGTCTGCTAGACTGCAACCGTAGTACTTGGTATGATTGCTGAGAGTTTTGGGGCTTGATTATGTAAATGTATCTAGTGTTTATAGAGCTGAGGGATTTACATTGTCTTTTTCTCGTTCTATTGATTATATGGTTCCAGTCGTTGATTTTCAGTAAATGTGATTATGCATTTTTCTTACGTTTCTAATGAGCTTAATGCGGGAAATGATCTATTAAGTGGCTTCTTTAGAAATTTTAAGTCTGCTTCTTTAGAAATTTTTGTGTGCTTGAGTGGCTGGATGTCAATGGGTTCTTTATTAGACACTTGGACATTATCTCATGATTTTGCAACCGAATGATGGTAACAGGACTATGTGCCAACGGTGTTTGACAATTTTAGTGCAAATGTGGTGGTTAATGGAAGTACTGTCAATTTGGGATTGTGGGATACTGCTGGTAATTTCTGCTTCTTTCGTCTTTCATGATTCTGCCAATTGATTTGGCTTTCTAATATACTTTGATTTTTTTCATTCTGTTGAACAGGACAAGAGGATTATAACAGATTAAGACCTCTAAGTTACCGTGGAGCAGATGTTTTCATACTTGCTTTCTCTCTCATAAGCAAGGCCAGCTATGAAAATGTTTCTAAGAAGGTGGGAGAACCTAATAGTGTCTAACGAGCTTTTGGTTTTGTTTCTTTTCTACATGATTTTGTGAGCTGATATGTTATCCCTTATTATTTCCAGTGGATTCCAGAATTAAAGCATTATGCACCTGGTGTGCCAATAATTCTCGTGGGAACAAAGCTGGGTAATATCTCTATTTAATTGGCATTTAGCTTCTTTCCTGCCTTTTTCTCGACGACATTTTAGTGATTCCTTGTGTTAACCTATATATGTTTGTCATATGCGCTCCATTTGCAAGTTGGAAGATGTGATGGCCAACTATTGATAGTTGAACTACATAGCACTGTTTACAGTTTAACTATTGGAGTTGACTTGAATATATTCACTCTTTTGGTTCCCTTTTTATATACCCTCCGTTTAGTGAACATGCATTGAAGATGCAGACGCTGTGTTCTTCCTGGATCTAAACGTATTGAATACTAATGTTAATTGATCCAGACTTGCGAGATGATAAGCAGTTCTTTATAGACCATCCTGGTGCAGTGCCTATTACAACCCAGCAGGTCCTCATCTTTGCTCATTATTCATTTTAAGCCAAATGAATAGTTCTATCGTTTCCTATGATTCTTCTATTCATATCTGAACCTTATTATTACTTCTAGGGAGAGGAATTAAGGAAGCTGATTGGAGCGCCTGCATACATTGAATGCAGTTCAAAAACACAACAGGTAATAGATGATATTCTTTAATGAGATATTTCATAATGACTAATTGTGCTTTTAAAGATGACAGTCTTCTTAATGGATGAAGTCCTATCTTGAGTGCAGAACGTGAAGGCTGTCTTTGACGCGGCCATAAGGGTTGTGCTTCAACCACCAAAACAGAAGAAAAAGAAGAGCAAAGCACAAAAAGCCTGCTCAATATTGTGATTGAGACTAGGTGTAAAGAGATGTAACAAGCTTTCCGACCTGCCTGTATCTCCTTTTGATCTTTGTTCGTTCTACCGGTGAGCAGCTGCTTTTGTTGGGTCATTCCTCGTCTCGACTAACAAGACTCAGGTCCTCAGGGAGCATCTGGTGTATGGGTACCCTTTTATTGGCGTCATTGCGATCTCTAATTACAATCATCATCATTGTGTTATCCACTCTTTTCTTAACTCCATTTCTGATTTTGCTTTATCTATTATGAGACTGTACTTAGGAAACAAAAAAAAGAAAAACCTGTCTTTCGCGGGCAGTTGTATTTCTCGCTTTGCAACTCCTTGGCGAGGCTTGAATATGCCTGTGCTCCTCTCACGTTCTTTTGTTAGTCACTCGTGCAGAATTTGATGAGCTTTTCTGATAGATCCTCTCTCTCTCTCTCTCTCTCTCTCTCTCTCTCCCCCTAACATACGCACGCACATAATGGTGGCCCACTAAGGAATGAAAGTCAAATTGGTCAGTGCATCAAAACAGAAAGAGAGGGAAGTCAATCTGCTGCAAGATGGGAAGGTTTTGGGATGACCATTCTTTTCCTGGCATTATTATAGTTCAAACCTGAAGTGATTCTTTATCTACGCTTGAATTGAGTTTGTAACGTGACTAGCACTTTGCTCAGATGAACTCGATGTGGTCTGGTTCGCATCGTCTTCCTCACCTCTCCCTTCGCTGAACAATTTGAGCACCACTCATCATTATCATGAAATCAAAATTCTATTTTTGATTGCTACAAAGAGGTAAGAAAACCGAGTCCTTATTCCCTGGTAAAATCTCTTGGCATCTAACCATAATGTGGGCGCTTCCTATGGCAAAAATAAAAGATTCGCCATCATCGTCTCCTAAATTTATGGAGTGTCTGTGAGAAGCGGGCATAATGGCCTGTCTCTTCAGTGTGAACTTTTAGGGTCCCTCGGGAACATATCCGAAGCCGTAACAAGAGGTAATAACATTCGATTTATCGTAATTTCTGTACATAGTGTCGTGACGTGGTTCTCAATCGACTTCCAAGATCTACTGTTTTTTGTCAGCCAAGAGGAACCATTTCTCGAAGAACTATCAATGCCTTCCTCTTTGGTCGGTTTACTCGTGAGAATGTCGAGCACCAGTTTTGTCATCCGATGACATCACCCTTTCACAGTTCTCTTTGCTCGTTTCTTGCATGGCCTTCTCTTGTTAATATCTCTATTCCAAAGTGCTTCTTGTTGTTCTTTCTTGTTCCTTCGATCGTCTTTTCCCATAGTTGCCTGGATTCCTCTTCTTCTATATGGAGCATCAAGTCAACAGAGTACCCTCTACCCGTTTACAAAGGCTATTTTGGTTGCATGGACATAGGAAAAGTCAGTAAGTTCAAAATCAAATTGCTTAGGACCCATTGAAATAAAACAGAGAATTATGGATGAGCACACACGCAGCCAGCGGCAACAAAAACAAAAACGAAATTCGACCCCGTGATCGATATAACTTGCAGACCGGTCCTCTCTTTTTGTCGCGTGCGCTAACAAAATCGAATCGGTTCGATCGTGGCATGCTCAAATCAACGTGGTTCACAGACGCAATGCAATGGCATTATCGGAAGGCCCATTTCAAAAGCTTAAATCAATAGACGAACATGTATATAAAAAGCATAAAAAATCTCGAGCAGAATACTCTAACAAATATCAGGCAAGCTGGCTTACTTTATCCGATCTCGACACTAGGGGTGAGCATTGTTCGCTTGAGCAGTTCTCACCCTAAAATCGGGAACTACCCGCTAAGGGCCGGTTCCACAAAATGGAAACTGGGAACCGCCCGCTAATTTCTGGATCCACCCGGGAACCGGATCATGGAACCAGCCGGGGAGGCGGAGAAGGGGTAGGGAGTGGCGGAGGAGGAGGGGATGGGCGGGCACGGATCCTTGAGTGGGGTGGAGCAGAGGTAGGAGAGGGCGAGACGACGGGTGAGATGAGTACGGTGACCACGTGGTGGAGCGGGAGGGGAGGGGTGGGGAGGGAAGGGCGAGCGAGAGTCGGGTTTTTACGAAACGGTCAAATTCAGGCATCGAGTGAGAGAGTGAAGATGGTGGAGAGAAGATCTACATCGCTCTAGAGAGAGAGAATGGACACAAACTGTGAAAAATAATGGACATCGGTTCGAGGTGACTCGCTCCAACGAGGCTGTGAAAAATAACGGACGCAAACGGTGACGTATGTTCAGAAATCAAGAACGGAGAAAATTTTTTTTTTTTTGAAGGTTCTTGAAATCCAACTCAGCGAGAACGAAGAAATGGCTACGAACGTAGCTCTGTTGAGAGAGAGAAAGAGAGAGAGAGAGGGGAGAGAGAGAGTGTTGTATTAATTGGAGAGGGAGAGTCTAGTCCTTGAAAGCTTGAATTTAAATGTAAATATATACCGGTTCAGTTCGGATGGACGAGCGATCGATTTCACATTTAGAATCAAGAGCTGGATTGATACTCTCTGATTCCAAGAAATTAGAATCAGGAACCGAATCGATCCCCATAAAAGCCGCCGGTTCGGTCCGATTCCGAACGATTTTCGATTCTTTTGCACACCTCCCTACTTGATACCGTAGGCGATGACCATCAGGTCCCGCGAGTATGGTTGGCCGATGAATGTTATTGTCCACTTTAATTTATGAGAGTGAGCGCCAAGCGGCCTTAATTGGGGTTGGCTCGCGTATTGATTAGCTCCGGTTGACGAGCGACAGCCCACGTGCTTTTATTGGTCCTATCCATGGACAGACATGCTTGTATAAAAGGTCCACCTCGTTTTGCTTCCTTAATTATTTCGTTTCGGTGCCGAAGCTGCTCCATTTCCAGAAATGATCAGCATCCATACGATTGCCCCCTTTGTTTCCCTTGTCTATAGCGTGCTTTTGCATTTTGATATGCTCGGATTACCCAAGAAACACTGTCACCAATGGTCAATTTTGAATCACGGTTGTACATAGAGTAGTAGTGTCTTGGAGTGAACAGAAGCGTGACAAGGTATGGTTGAGAGTAGGTTTCTAAACTATTTATTTTTAAGAAAATGTTTTCCAAACTATTCGTTTTTCGCTGAACAAACGCAGCTTAAATGAAAGGACAAATGTAGAACGTGGAGACCCAAGAGAACACAAAACCTAGTAACCTCTTTGTTCGACGCATTAATTGTAGATTTATGGAACCCGTATGGACCCATCTATAAGGTCGACCAGACCAATCATATATCTACAGCGTAGACGCGAGCGATATCATATGCCTTTTCAATAGCGAATTTTTTTATTTGTAAGATGTAATTGGAAAATGCGACAGAAAATTCTCTAAAGTAAATACAATGTAACCATATAATAGCGGACATGGAGCTGCGAAAAAGTTGATAGATACACCCACAATTGTAAACCAAATTAGGCCGATCGTGGTACGATCAAATCAAGGTGATCAACGGGCCAACAATGCAATAAAAGAGAAAAAAAGAGGTTGTCGGCTACTGTTCAGCTTGGTTAAGATAAATGGTTTTGTCCAATTCAATTAGGGATAATAATATAAATAGCACTTAAACTTCAATTCAATTTGCAATACGAAACTTTATCTCGATGTACAATATGGTCCTTAAATTTTTAATTTATTCAATATTATTCATAATCTAGTTTCTGAACTACATGAGAATGTTCAATGTTGTCATTCCATTCATTCAAGTTCAGAGATAATATTGAACATTTTTATATAATCCACGAGTAACCGCCACATTTGATTGCTCGTCCATAATAGACAAACCTGAGGTATAAATGCGTACCTCGTTTCGCTTCCTTAAAACTATTTGATTTCACTGCTGAGGCTGTCCCATTTCCAGGAGAGGAGACTATACATCCATGCATCTGTTCCCCTGCTTTCCGTGCGATGCGCTTTTGAATTTTGATACGCCAGCGTTTCCAAAGAAACATCATCGCCATGGTCAAACTGAATCGTGGCTTCATACGGATGAGTCTGTCAAGAACGGACTGAAGTGTGAGAAAACATTGAGAGAATGGATGTTCCGCGACCGTCAATCGGTACAACGGTGCGAATAACATCTTACTGTTGCTTCCGGTCCGGTCGGAATCGAAAATGAGAAACGAAGACGAAGGCGAAGAGAAGAAAAACGAAGCTCGACACCAGCGTCTGCACTTTCAGCGACTCCCTTTCAACCTAGTTTTCGCCTATGTATCTAGAAGATTGTCGCATAGAAGAAGAATCCCGTGAGAAACCCATCCTAAGCCATTAAGCACGCATGTCAATCATTCTCGTGTCCAAAAGCATTAGGCGAAATAATTCTTTTTATTCGTGCCCTAAACAATTTCTAAGCATTTGAAGGCGTTTGGTAACTGTCCAAAATTTCTGTTCTTAGAATAGAAAAAAAATAAAAATACATTTGGTAACTACACAAAATTTCTTTTTATTAATAACATTTTGAATTTTTTAATATTTCTTTCTTTTTTTTTCTTTCTTTCTCCTCCCTTCCTTGGCCATGGCTGGCGGCCGGCCACAAGCCAGGTCCAGCGAGGGCATCGCGGCCCTCGCTACCGCTCTCACCGTCGCCACCCAAGTTCGTCACCTGGGTGACGACGGCAAGGCCGGCCTCGCCTTGGCTGGGTGAGGCTCGACCTCGCCCAGATCTGGCGAGGCCGACCTTGCCATCGCTTGGGTTGGCGACGGCGAGGTCAAGCCTCGCCCAGCCAAGGCGACGGCGAGGTCGGCCTCGCCTTGGCTGGGGGAGGCCTCGTCGTCGCGATCGCGAGCCGCCCTCGCCGGATCTGGCCTTTGGCCAGTCGCCGGCAGGTGGCGGGGCCGAAGAACAACAACATATCAAAAAAAAGAAAAAAAAACCAAGAAGAATCAGTTCCGGAAAAATTGTTTCAAAATCAAGAAGCTACTTTTTTTTGCTTTTTGATTTTGTTCCAAAATTGATTCCGGGCACAAAAAATTTAACAAACGGATTTCTGTTTCCAAACTGATTCTGAGAACAAAAGAACAGAATCAGTTACTATTTGGCAAGTTGCCAAACGCACCCTGAATGAGAACACCCGTTCCGCGTTTCGTTTCATTGACTCTCCAAAGCATTAAATTTTTGTCCCAGTCGAAGCATCACGAAAGGGTACGAAGCTTGACCTAAATCTGGAGAGACAGACCCACAAGAATCAAGACATCTTCTTGACGTCAAAAAGGACTTTTTAGTTAATGTGTGAAATTTAGCAATCCTATAACTGCGGCACTTAATTCACTCCATCGCTTCTTGCTTTAATATTCAGTTGAATCCATGAATGTCTCAATTCCCCAACGATGAGGACATCAAGAACACATACAATGGAAGCACGCCCACTTCGTTCTTGGATTCAAACCCTAGATCGAACGCTCTTGGGCAGCATTCGACTTGAATATGTAGGGCCGAGAATTCACATCAAGGGTCCCTTTGATTGTAGGGGAAATTATTTTCCGACGTTTTCGAAAAATGTTTTCTAGGAAAATAACAATATTTTATGGTATTTGGCTGAAACCTGAAAATGAACTAGAAAATTTTTTACACCATTTGATAGGAAAAATCTAAAAATTACCAAAAAATTCGAATTTTTTCTTTTTTCTTTTTCTTTTTTCTTTCTTTTCTTTCTTTTTCTTTTTCCTTCTTTCTTGGCTGACGACCGGCAAGCTTGAGCTCGCCAATCTACTAGACTTGAGCTCACCGGCCATTGGCCGAGGGAGAAGGAAAAAGAAAAGGAAAGAAAAGGAAAAAAGAAAATTTTGAATTTAAAAAATAATTAAAAATACGAATTTCTTTTTAAATATTTTTATGAGAACGAACATTTCCTTAATCAAGGAGGACTCGAGCCCAAGTGCCGAGACCCACACACAGCCTTTGTGGACCAGAGCTTGAGCGTTGGGGACCAGAGCTTGAGCGTTGGGGACCCGAGCACAGCCTTTATGGGCCCAAGCTCAAGTGCCAAGGAATCCAGCACATGCACCGGGGTTTCAAGCTTGGCCTCGATGGACCCGGGCCTGGTCGCTAAAGACTTGGTCCTGAAGGCCGGGACTTGGAAACTTTAGTGTTTTCGTGTCCAAGCGTAGAGTTTCGGATCTAAAAGTCAATAATTAGTTATATTTTGGAAAAAAAATTTCCAACTTTTCAAAAAGGAAATCATTTTGGTGAATTTAAGCATATGTTTTCCGTTAATTAGGAAAACATTTTCCATCGAATCATTTTCCTAAGCGAACCAAACGACGGAAAATTAGGAAAATGTTTTTCCCGAAAAACATTTTTTTGCAAAACTCCGTCTGTTTCGCGAAAAATTAATAATTTGAAAAATATTTTCCTAGAAATGATCGCTTGTCGATAATGAAAGTATTTTCCATCGACTGATCGTGGAAAACACAAAACCTAGTTAGTAAGCCACGTGTTTGACGCATCCATCATCGACCGGATCAATTTAACATGCACATGTTTGGTAAAATATCGAAAGAGCCTTCTATAGTTGGGCAACGGAGTTCAACGGGTACGTGGATAGTAATATTAACGAAGGAGATGTATCAGAAAATGCGACTTATGAGCTCATCAATGGGCAAGATTGGCCCCTGATAACACATTTGAGGCTTAGAGAGAGCGATCATCATGCAGAGGGGATTGCAGTTGGAATGGTATTGTTGGGGAGATGGCGGCTTGAAAACGACTCGCATACTTTCCTAATTAGGAAGGTGCTTTTCTTTGCGGGACACGCTGTGTAAAGTAGTATAACGACAGCAGCAATCGTATCCACCACCGTGCGAAAACCCATCCCGTACCGCAACCTCAAACTGGAGCCGTCCTCGCGGTGCCGTCGAAGCGCGCACCCACGAGAGCGTATCGGCAAACACGAGGCGAAAACCTAACGTGCGACTGCCGGCCAGATTGGCCAGCGTGCATCTGAGTTGGATCCTTGCTCTGCCGTGCCTGAAGGTGGTGATCTTGAGTGCATTTATTTGGTGATTCTTGATAGCAATGGTTGACACAGTGATCGCTATGAATACCATGACCAGTAATGTACAGCTCTTCTGGGTGATTCGCCCCACCATAATTAAGAAAAAGTACGAATCGTTTCGGTCCAATTAGTTGGGACGGAGAATTCAATGGGCGGTCGCTTTGCTTTAAATGTTTTGTTCTTTTCTTCCTCTTCTTTTTTCTTTTGTAATATGATTGTCTTGTATATCATATATCATACACGAAAAGATTGGGATGGGGCCAAATAATTCATCAATGATGATAACCATGGTGATTCTTGAATCGTCTCGGATGCATCATCCCTCACATGCACTACACGTCGACACGTATCGGCTTATTGATTTGTCGTTCCAAACTATTATCTTATATCGAGTTTGAATTTGATCGAGAGATTGGATAATTTATCCCTACCAACAATGTGTCTCGTCGATTAGATTTCAAAGAAACGTAAGTCATTTAGCGATAGAACTGTAACGTACATAGAATATAGCACTTGTAATTACATCTGAAAGGCATAGATGGTCAATCTATGCTGTGTTTCTCCTGATCAAAACGAAATGATTCGCGAGGAGATTGGTTCTTTCTGTTACTTCCTCCCTCCCTGGAAAAAAGGTAATCTCTGTCTTCACCTGCTTTCTTCTCGGGAGAAGAAAGGCAGGGACACAAGTTAGCAGGCATTGATGAAATTGAAATCGAAATCGAAATGGAAGTGATGAAGTACTTTTCTTTTTCTTTTTTTCCCTCATGTTCACGAGGAATATGTACGTGCATGCCCCCCCCCGAAGTAATGAGACAAGATGAGCATCATTTCAAAGCCTCAAATTCCCCCTCAAATCTGATAGTTTTACGATCCAAAAGGAGAAATTTATCAGAGGGAAAGGACTCATGCCTTGTTACCATGCCTAACCACTACGAAGGCCTTTCGAGAGTCAATAAATAGCTAGTCTTTTCCATGTTCACGTGAGGAAAAATCAAAGCCTAGAGACGAGAGTGCTCTCTCTCTTCCACTCATTGTTGTGTTGTACTGCTGTGCTGCTTCTTCTTCTTCTCCTTCTTCTCCTTTCTATTCTTGTTAATTGAGAGGCTGTGCTACGTTGGAGAGTGCCCCATTCAAGATGGTGTCAACCTCTGGGAAGTCCCTTGGCTTACCCTCTCCTATGAAAGTGGTTATCTTCGTGTCCCTCGCCCTCGTCGCCGCACGCGGGGAGCTCGCCGCCTCCGCGCAAGTCAACCGCAGCGTGGCATCCTTGCCGGCGGTGATCGTGTTCGGCGACTCGATCATCGATCCCGGGAACAACAACGGCATAAACACGATAGTCAAGTGCAACTTCCCGCCGTACGGGAGGGATTTCGCGGGAACGAAGCCGACCGGAAGGTTTTGCAACGGGAGAATCCCCTCGGACATGCTCGGTAATGCAATCATGCGAGTTTCAAGTCCCATTTTGTTTGCACTAACTTCATCGACCCTAGTCAAGAGCGCAAAATTGATTACTTGAGTTCATTTTATCATTTGTTGCAACGAATGTTGTCACCTGTAGTAATAGCTGCATGACTTATGCCTTTTCCCACACCTTTAAACCCTTCTATGTTAATCTTTCAAGAGCTATCATAGATTAAATACAACTTCACGAGGTTTCATCGTGTAATTATATACAAAACATCCTATCATGTGATTTTTCTTTGTTATTTTATCCAAATTCAAAAGAACGCCGTACAAAAGAAATTGCAAGGTACAACACTTCAACGTTTACCACAGCAAACTGCATTCTAAACAAAGACATAAACCTTCCATCGTATTGATTTGTACTACCAACGTTATTAACCCCAATTTTTATGAATCTTGGAACAAAACTCTCCAGTCCAAGCATTTGGAATTAAAGAGTACTTGCCGGCTTATTTGGACCCGAGTCTCAAATTAGAAGACCTCCTCACCGGCGTAAGCTTCGCTTCCGGCGGATCCGGTTTTGATCCTCTCACCTCAAAAATCGCCGTAAGCTCTCGTGCCTCTCTGTCGGCTCTTAAGTTCAACACTTCTTTCTTTGTTTTTGTTAATTAGGAATTTAAGGTTGTCTTAGGCTTGTGCGTTTGTATGTGTCAAAACACGTGAAAGAATAGTTGTTATGACACCGATGAGCGTTGGTGTCGCGTGCAAACACCGGGTTCCTCGCAAGTCAGTTGGGCTTTGGCTTAGTTCATCTCAATTTTTTGAATTCAAATGGAATCATCTGAAATTTCTTCTATGATATGATTATACCGATAGTCGGTCTTGTCGCTATCGGATCAACTAGACCTGTTTAAGGAGTACGTGAAAAAGATTAAATCAGGCGCTGGAGAAAAGAAGGCATCAAACATCGTCACGAAGAGCCTCTATTTAGTGGTGTGCGGGAGCGACGATATTGCAAACACATACTACTCGACTCCATTCAGGAGAGGGGAATATGACATACCGGCCTACACCGATCTTATGGTTAATTCAGCTTCAAGCTTCTTTCAGGTAAGTCTCGGAAGAGGAACATTCTTATCTGCACGACGACGATAAAGAAACACCGAAAGACATAACATAGGACTAGAATTGCAAAAGAAAACTGATGCTGAAGTACCAGTGAATGATTTGGCAGGAGCTCTATGGATTAGGAGCAAGAAAAATTGGAGTTCTGAGTCTACCACCGATTGGATGTGTGCCCTCACAGAGAACCCTTGATGGAGGATTAGGAAGAGCCTGTTCAGAGCCTGCCAATCAAGCAGCAACCCTCTTCAACTCCAAGCTCTCCTCAGAAATAGACTCCCTCAACCAGAAGCTCCCTGGCGCTAATCTAATCTATATAGACATCTACTCTTCATTGCTCTCTATCATCCAAAACCCAAAGCAGCACGGTAATTTACCCCATTATACGCTCTCTGCGATATTTCGGCTTTCGCATTCGAATCTCTATCGTTATGCCATTGGTCAGCCTCGTGTTTGGTCATGTCAATGTGTGTGCAGGATTTGAAGTGGCGAACAGAGGGTGCTGTGGTACCGGGAACATAGAAGTGAGCGTACTGTGTAACGACCTGGACGATATCCAGACATGCCAAGATGACACAAAGTACGTCTTCTGGGACAGTTACCATCCAACTGAGAAGGCCTATAAGATCCTGACGGATCAAATGATCAGCAAGTATGGTGACAAGCTTAATTGAAACTGGTCGGTGTTATTAGTTGTTTACGGGTGAATTGGAATAGTAAGTACGCCTCGAAGTTTCCATAAGGCCCCCTGCTTCGCATTATAGATTGTAACGGTGGCAGTTGAAAATTGTCCTCTCGACGAAAGTGTGAAACATTCAACTCTTCAATAAAAAAAATTTCCGTTATTGAAACAATGATGGTACTTGAGGGAATGTTTCCTTCTTACCTTCATGCTGCGGCTAAGTTGGGCACTTTGACGCTGAAGAGAATGTCTGAGATACCATCTTAAGGAATTCCATCAATTCCTGCTTACATGGTGGTCCTGGAGCTAAATTATCAATGTTTCATTGTCCGAAGCTGTCAGGTCATTCTTATAATTTATTTTTCGCATTAGTTGTTCGAACATAGGGAAAATTAAGTGATTTAGACTCGGGCTGCATTTGGAATTGGCTTTGCCAAGGGGCTTTGGGCATCCAAAGCCCCTTAAGCTAAAATTTGGTGTTTGGGAACAATTTTAGAAACTCCCCTTCAGCAAAAGTGAGCCTTGTGAAGGCTGAAAGCCCAAGGCAGGTCCTAGGCTACCTTGGGCTTTGAGCTTTCTCGGCATGCAAGTCCTCGAATGATTTTTAAAAAAAATTCTTCCAAAACTACCCTCATCTATTTTTTGATTTTCCGGTTTTGGCCTCGTTTGTCACTGTTCATCGTCTTCTTCGCTTACACCTCGGCCGGCGTGGCTGTGAGGGGATGGCAATTGGCCGGAGGGGGGCCCGGCGTGGTCGCGCAACCCAACGACCGTTGCCTGGGCTCGCACGATTGCCGTGAGGAGCCACGTGACCCAGGCGAGGGCTGCCAGCAACCCAAATTTGCCATCATCTGAGGTCGAACGACCTCATGCAACCCCCAGCGACCGCCAACGAGGACCAACTGGGGTCGTGCGACCCAAACAACCCTCGAGGGCCACCGGCGGCCGCCTGCCCTTCGCTGGCTCTGGCGAAGGGTTTCAACTTTTCTTTAATAAAAAATAAAAAAAGTGCTTTGCAAGTATAATTTTTCCAAACGCTATTTTACCCAAAGTTACTTTACAATGGACTTTTAAGTTATAACTTACCAAACACAAATTGCATTTTAGAAAACTCCTTCAACTTAAAGTCTCTTGCATTTTCCCAAACACTTTCCCCCAAAGTGTTCCCAAACGCAGCCTCAAATCAGAACCCCAATGCCCCATATAAAAGAAGAAAAGACTACTTTCTCAAGCCACTCCCGACGGAGCGCCAGTGGAATATGCAGCAAATGAGCCAAAATGCTCTAATATTCTAATAGATGACAAAGACAGTTCTTGTGTTTAAGACAGGAAGGAATGATTGCCAATGACCACTTCTCTACATCCCACGATAGTTTATCCGGTCAAGTTCATAACAAGAGACACATCGACAGTTTAATTATTATAGCAGCTGGATAAATAATGACAATGCTAGATTTCATATTAAAAAGTTCTGAGGAGACTAATAAAGACAGATTAGTCATTACAGAGCTTTCTAACCACAGCAGATTGGAAATTACTGGATAAGTCCAGGAAATTCTAGACAGGAAAAAAATTTTGTATGCATACATATACAATTATATATACAATTAGTGACAAGAATATCCTTCCAATGACACATCAAATGATTGGATACTATTCCATAAAGGTCACACAATGCATTACTGGGAACAGAACATGAAAAGCCACGCGCACATTTATAAGTGCAAGTAAATGCAAATCCAACCTCAACAGATACCGCTAAAAGAAAAAACTAATTCCTGCAGTATGTGTAAGTATATACTTCAAGAGCTGGCCATTCTTGTCAACCACACAAGAATATACAATAACTAGTTCAAACCACCACATCCAGACAATTATCGTCTTAATATCAAGTACCGGTGGAGTTCATATCGCCGTAACACCTAATGCATCCAACAAAACTACAAAATTGCATCCAGCATCCTATCTAAGAACACCTAGAGGGAGGCAAAACAAAATATATACATATGATAACACCCAGTGACCAAAAGCCACAGGAAAGAATCAACGAAGTTTATTTTGAGCAACAGCCTGACATAACTCCTCCTCATAGAATAAGGCCCGATTTGATGCCAAGGACTTGCATAGAGGCTTCGTTAAAACTGATGGTACCATACATCTGGAAGGGAATGTTGATTCCTGGAAAAGAACAGCAGCAATCTGCCGCATCTCAGCCAACTTAATACGAGAAGGTGGCCGTGGACCCTGCCTTGGTGCTTTTGGAGTATGTGGACTCGGCATAAAAACACCCTTCCCATCACCCCTGGTGGAAGCATTCATGTTGAGTATGCATAAATAATATTCATGGTTTAACCAAGATAAAAATTAGGCACAATAGGATGAAAACCATGAGCTATACCTTTTAAAAGGCCAGTGTTCCGTTGGGCGAGGAGTCATAGCTCTTAACATTTCTTGTCGTGAGCGATCTGGTGTAGTGTAGTTGAAGTGAAACTGCCTTGCAATCAAGACCTATATAGGAATGATCAAAATGGGACCATCTGTCAAGCTATAGGTTCAATTTGATCCATGTAGACAGTAAGGAGACACAAAAACAGAGAGAGAGATTGACAGAGTACAAGACACTTACCGCCTTCCTAACCCTTTGAGAGACATGGAAAACTGCCCTTAGCTGGTCATGATGTAAGTGACAGAGTATTTTGACCTTAGAATTGAAAAAAAAAAGAATTAGATTTTTAAGGGAATAAGCATTTACTTAGGGAAGCAAATGAGAAACAAAATAGGAAGAATCATCCAATCAAAAACAAGAGGGCAAAGCAAAACTGAACTTTATCCCCGAATATAAACAGATGAGACAAAAATATGAACTTCCGGCTGGAATTCTTATTACCTTCACTCCTGCCGAAGTTAGTGGTCGCAAAACAACCAAAACAATATTAATCTTGTAAAAGCCTCATCTAATGTCCACACCTAATTACAGGAGCTTTTTACAGTTGAACCTAGGTATGTGATTTTTTGGAGGGTCATTTCCAAACTTTAACTAGGAAGGGACAAAGTTCTAAAAATGGTTACACAGATTGCAATACAAACCCCCCAGCCCCAAGAAAACCCACAAAAGAAAAAGGGGAAAAAACAAGCTACTCGTGCACTTTTCGTCCTTCTCTATATAGATTCTTACATGTCACCAACCTTAAAATGCAAATATATCATCTTTATATGCACCATCTTCAAAGCATGTTAAATGCCAGATCCGTTAAAACAGGCAATACAAGCAAAGAAAGTTTTTATTAAGCCCAAAAACAAATACCACAGCTCAAATCTGACTAGAGAATATGCTGAAAACGCAGACGTAACAACAAATAAAGGAAGCGCATCTCCATGAGATGAGAAGAAGATAGTAAACAATACCAGTACGTCTATGGGGAGAGCCTCAAGCCTGGATTCAGTTTTACAATCGTTGTCACGAGGTGTCTTCGGTGTCCACAGTAAGTTGTTTTGATTAACCAAATTTACAGGGGACAACAGAAGGGAGCTTTTGTCAACTGCTTTATCTTCAAGTATCACGTCATTCTCAGCCTTCTTAGCATCCAGAACACCAACCCTTTTCTTCCCAATATCGGTACAGGACTTGGCTCCGGAGCCTCTACTGTATCGGAGCTGGGCCAGAGCCCCGGGTTTAAGATACTTCTTGCTTGAGCTCCGCAACCGCCTCTTCTGCCTCGAACCCTTCGTTTCCCTCTCTTTCGGCGATACTTTCCCCATTTCCACCGCCCGTCTTACTTCCTCGCCTCAGTTCTTCCGCTGCTCCCCTTGAGAAAAATCCAATATCCACTTCAATTCCGCATCTTTACCAGTTTCTGAAGCAAAAGGCAAAATTTTTACTCTCACTCACGCTTAACACACTGACATCGGAAGCGACACAAGAGTTCAAGCGAACAAATCACCACGACAGGAACGACAACATTCGCACGAGCAAATGCGCAAAGACACGAGCTATCTCTCCAAAGCTTCCCCGCAAATCGAGGAAACAGCTATCCCCAATCCTCTCATTTCTCGACATTTCCGAAACCACAGCGAAATCGCGAGTCGCGACACCGCCGAAAAATCGACCCGAATAAAACTCGTCTATCGTGTATCAACAAATATACCATCGAAGGGCGGTAGACACCGGCGGCGGCGGCGGCGGCGGCCATATCTCACGAGAAATCGCAATTAAGCTATCCAGAAGCCACATACATCTAAATCCGCCATGAAAATCTTACCTCATCTTGGAGAGCTTCGAGGCGTGAAACCCTAGAAACCGATGCTGGACGAGCTCAAATCAAGACGAAATCTGCATACAGAAAGCCCTGGACGAGTTCGATCGAGAGAGAGAATCTGCAGAGGAGAGAGAGAGAGAGAGAGAGAGAGAGAGAGAGAGGGAAGGAAGGAATGAAGCAAAACTAGGGTTCGATCCTGTATTTGAATTGGGCGAATTTTTGCCCGCCAAATTTTTACAAGCAACAGTTGCCCGGCGATTTTTTCCCTTTTTCTTTTTTTTTTTTTTTGAAAAGAAGGGGGTAAAAAAAAAATCCTCCCTAGAGATTGACGTGTTCTCCGGAAAATAATAATTCCCGGTGGGGCTCGCGTGGCGCGATCCCATTGGCGGAGGTTCGCTGCTGCCGGTGCTCCGGTGGGGCCCAGCCAGGTGCTTTCAAAACCGTGGCGCGACGACGGACCACATCAGACGGCGGCGATTGCGTGATTTAGATTGTGAGCTGGATTTTCTTGTGTATTCATTTAATTACCCGGTTGTCACTCTTGATTTGATTTTTTGTTTGACATGAAGCATCTCCAAAAGAAAAAATTATCGAAAGATTATAACTTTTTAAATTTTTTTTGAGCAAATACCACATAAAATTTCGAACTATACCCACTGCGACATGAATACTCCCAAATTTTTATACCCTTTATTTCAATTTCATCCGGGATAAGTTCGGGTTTTTTTATGTTTTCGGTATTTGTTCACGGTGGGCAAGTTTGGGATTTCAATGACACAAAAAGAAGTTCGCGATGTCGGTGTTGCAGTACGTATGGTTTGGGATTTTTTATAGTATTAATGCTTAGTTTTTTTAAAGGTGAAAAGTTGGAGAAAAGAATACATTTTTGAATAGTAAAGGGACCTAATTTGAAAGAGGAAAATTGAAAAACGGGCTTGTGGGGGGGGGGGCGGAAAATCAAAATAAGCCGAGGCGGGAAACATTAAAATAATCAGGGAATTCTCGTGGTGGAGTGAGGGGGCGGGGGGGGTCATTAAATGACGGATTCGGCCTCGTCACGAGCAATTAATAACGCCGGTGGACGGGGCTCCTCGCCCCCCGGGGGGGGGGGGGGGGGGGGGTAAACTCGGAAGACAATTGACGGGGCAGTTTGGGTAATTCGGAGAGCGGGGTAAGCGGGGAGGCGGACAAAGGGGGAGTCCCACGTGATGATGGTTCAATGCGTGAAAGGACGGATTAGGCCCTCCTCCTTTTTTTTTTTTGTTTTTTTTTTTTGGGTCAAAGATTAGGCCCTGTTTAAAAGTGCCGTTTAATGCGCGTGAATGGCGCGGCGTTCACGATGCGATGGAGGATCCGATGTATTTTCACTGTTTTTTCACCATAAATTTTTTGCCATTTATGTAGAATAAAGTCGGAATTAATGGACACGAGGACCTCGGGTCAAAAATGAAAGACCGTACACTAATGTTTGTTAATTAATGGCCAATGAATCTGTCTAATCTACTCTAATAGAAAAAAAGGCTTCAGTCGGGTCAAAAATCGGTGCGGCCGATCTCTCCGGCGAGAAGCTCGGCTCAAGCCCCGTCTTTTGTGTTCGAACGCGAAATCTTCTTCCGCCTCGTTGATGTCAAGTCTAGCTTCACCCTAGTTCGGTTTGGACGTGCTTTCTCTCGCTCGACGCCTTTAAAACTATAGAAAGCAATCTAATGAAACTTTCGATGAACTTACCCGTTCTATGTTATTGGGAGTTGGGATGAAAAGAGATAAGAGGGTCTATGAAAGATATAGAGAGGATACACGAGTCTTCTTTCTTTCTTGATTACACAAAAAAAAAAAACATGCTAGGCAATTCATTATCTTAAAGTAGATCATCCCCTACCGGGGATTAGTGAGTTATCACTCTTCCATTGAGTATAAGAACTCGATTCCGAGAATTAGTTCAGTCTGACTCGGATCGATTCATATTTCCAATATCTTATTGATTCATATTTGCAATTGCTCCTTTGGTGGTACTTATTTGGGAGTTACAATACATGCGCGCCTATGCTTTCAATCACGCGAAAAGCATATATCTTCACCAAACAAATCTATTGATTTCCACAGTTATTTGACCACTTTTTTTGCATTTTTAGTCATTTTCATTGATGGTCACGTGGTCAAAATGCCCCTAAGAAAAGGTGAAGCTAAAGCCATCATGAGTCAAGTCTAGTGAAGATTGATTCCTCCCCAAAAGAGACCCACTTGCACCATTTACTACCCGGGGGATAGAGAAGGTAGCTTATGCGATCGATATACCCCGTTACGGTTAGATGCATACACATACGATACCAAGTAGGATGGGATTTATAATACGCGGGCAACGTTGATCGATCGGTTACACCATGTCGTTGCCGCCACATGAGATATAAGATACCAAATCGGAGAGATCGAGCGGCTACGGTTTCAACATTTATAGGATAGGGTGCTCCGCACAGCACTAAAAGCGCGTATGTAAGGTCGCCCGTGTGAAGCTCTCTTTACGCCGGCAATGTTCGCTCTACTTTTTTCAGAAGAAAGATGCAATGGGTTTTCAGATAATCCCGCGAGTAATGGCTGTGGTCGATAATTGGGCCAAAGAGATTTTTATTCTGTCTTTACTGTTGAATCAACCCTAATCCTATACTTATATGGTCGATAAGCACGGGGGAAAGATCGTTTTCCTGACAGCAACTAGTTAGCAACGCCCGAAAGCCGACGACAAAGCCCATGGGCCGCGATATTTTATTTTTTTTTTTTTTTTTTTTTTTTTTTTTTTTTTTTTTTTTTTTTTTTTTTTTTTTTTTTTTTTTTTTTTTTTTAATTTTTTTTTTTTTTTTTATTTTTTTTTACTTTGGCCAATCGGGCCCATGGTTCATCTTCCCAAACGACGTGGGCTTTTTATGGCCCATGGTACCGTCCAAAGAGCAGTGATTTATAAACACTTACTCGAGCTACCCTCAAAGTAGCTCCGGCTTCAACCTTCTTTTAACATTGAATTTTTTATTCCCATATTGTGACATAGTAGATTTAAAAAACTCAACGAGTACTGGTGTATTGATAATAATAACGACACGTGGCGTGGATAAACATAAGGTTTTCTTTCAAAGCGGATCGAAAGGACATTTTATATCTGCGGCCTCATCCGACACCGATACTGGGACCCTCTTGGAGAGATTATTGCATTGATAGCTAGCGACATCTCATGGTTCTCGTTATCCGTGGCGATTTTCAACTAGTAATTCGTAGAGCTGGACTCTGTTGAAATCAAATTTTACAGGGGACAATAAGCCAAATAAGACATCTAGCCGGTCTAGATCACCAATGACCAGTTATTGGTGCCCATGGCTTATTATGTCGCCATTGTATAATGCATGGTCGTTGTTTTGGTCCCTCTTCGATGCTAATTGCATTCAAGTTTGATGCGATTCAGGTTCAGATTAATTAAGATTCAGATATAAGATGAAATAGGCGAATTCAGGGATAGTTCCAAGTTCAAAACTCGGAATGAGCACACACATGAAATTTTTAGAAATAGATTGTTTTCGACATATCTAATCCATTCATAAAATAAATAAAAAAGACTCACATGGTATTTAAGGAAAAATTTTCTATTAATGTTATTAAAGTTTCGGGACATTATGAGAAAAAATTATTCAAATTTAAATGTGAATATTTGATTTAATCGTGAAAATTTCAATCAATTCTTGTTATAAAATTAAGAGTTAATACCATGAAAAATCTCAAACTAGTATATATGTGACAAATTTACTACAAACTAATTTTTTTTTACCACAAAAAAATCCCAAACCGATACACTCGTGACAATTTTACCTTCCATTAGTTTCCGTTAAATTTTAATGTCAAATTTCTGAGTTGGATGACACGTGGCAATGTGTGTACCAATTTGGGGTTTTACTTTCCATTTGTCACATGTGTATCGATTTGTAGTTTTTAATGTTTTTAACCAAATTTAACGGATGGTTAATTTGTCACAAATGTATAAATTTGGAATTTTTTGTGGTAAAAGAATTAGTTTAGGGTTAATTTGTCACATGTGCATCAGTTTGAGATTTTTGGTAGTCAAAAAATTAATTCGAGATAAATTTGTTACAAGTATATTAGTTGGGGGTTTTTTTGTAGCATTAATCCTAAAATAAAAGTAAATAGAAAGAGCGACAGACATTCCGAAATCACGCACGCGACTGTTAAAAAAAGAAGAAAAGAAAAAAGCCGTCCCCGCGAGGAAAAAGAAAAAAAAACGAGAAAAAGAAGTTTCACACGTGTCGATTCTTGATTGCTGCATGGGCCGTGTCTCTCGCTCGTACAACTTGGTGGGGACCACCCTCGTGACCAGCGCCGAGAATGGGATGTCCGTCTTGGACCCCCAGTCACCCAGGACAGGAGTCCCACCAAGTACCCTCCATGACACGTGACTTCCTCCAGTCCGAAACTACAATTGAATTTACGGTAATACCCCCAAGCTAGGGTAGATTGGTCGCGTGGTCCTTCTTCTTACTCAAGGTGAAGTAAATTCTGGCCAAAAATACCATGCATTCTTCTATTGAAATCCAAGAGGAAGTCAGCAATCAGTTGCGCAAGAAAAAAGCGATTTTTTGCAATTTTTATTGCATTTGTCTTGTACAGTTGATTGTTTTAAAAACCGATGTTGATTTGTTTTTAAGGTTTCATTTGTTTCGCGAAAAAATGAATGACTCGAAAAAATATATATATATTAAAAGCGATATCTTGTATTTTGAAAAATATTTAGGTAATTATTTAGGAAAATGATTAATTATTTTAAGCAATCGTATTCGGGAAAATATTTTCAAAATAATTTATTTTTTGCAAAATAAATGAAACCTAAGCATGCTTAAAAAATGTTTTATGGAACACGTTGAAAGAGAATATATGTTTATCGCAAAGGATGGGTCAAAGATCCACACTAAAAATTAAAGTAGAGTGAAAAAAATAGATTTATATGTAAATAACTAACCCGCTTTCTTTTCACTTGGGAAGAAGCTGAAAAAATATCAAATTTAATTGTCTTCGCACTTGAAAGATAAACAAGAATTCCGTTATTTTCTAATTCACAAGTGATTGGTATCTAGATAAACGAGTTTAAATTACATTACTCGAACGGTGATTAGTGACTATAAGTGATTAGCTCAATTTCTATCATGGCATTAAGACAAATAACTTTAGAAATCTCCTTATCCTATGATTTAATAAACGAGAATTCTATCGTCTCAATTCACCTTAAGTCGTCCGTGTAAAAATCATTATTTTTGCACCTTTCGATAACATAAGGAAAAATGACACAAACAGTCTATGAACTTTTGCTTAATGTGTAAAGTGGTCTTTAAATTTTTAATTTGTTCAGTGTAGTTCATGAACTTTAACTCAATATGTAATGTCGTCCCTAAAATTTTAATTTGCTCAATGTCGAACCTAGACTTTTGGTATATGTTGAATTTAGTCATTAAATTATATGAAAATGTTCAATGTAGTCATTCAATTAATTCAAGTTTAGGGACTATATTGAATATCTACTAAAAGGTCAATGACCACATTGAACAAATTAAAATTTCAGAGATTACATTGAATATTAAGCTAAAATTCAGATATTATATTTAACAAATTAAAATTTATGGATCACATTGCATATTGAATTAAAATTCATGGACCGTTTGAGTCATTATTCAATAACATAACGATGCGTAAAAGGGCACGAGTGTAATTATCGTCTGCGGACGTTGGCAACAAGGTAATTTTAGCACAAGCGGAGACAGGGTCCCCGTTGCCACGGTGGTGACTGCCGCGTGTCCCCGTGCGCCACCACCTGCAAAGCCGAGGAAGACGAAGACCGAAACCGCAGAGGCCAAACAGCAAACTCCCCTCCACCGACGCAGTAGCGAGCCACCCAGAAATCGACACTCGCTCGCTTCCCTCTCTGCCCCCCATTTCGTGCACCCTCCCCAACGTGCGCACGCACGTTCACGTCGGGCAGAAGCCTTTGCTGCGGCGTCGGTGGAGGGAGGAGAAGAAACGTCTGCCAGGCTCTGAAACCAATGCTTCTCCGACCTCTCCTTCTCCTTCTTCTTCTTCTTCTTCTTGTTCCTCCGTGTCGCTTGTGTACGGTTATTCCCGCCGCGAGCACCGCCGCGTAGCTGCGACCTCCCTCCGCGCATTTATCTCGCTGGGGCGGCCGAGATCTGGGGGGGCGGGATCCCATTTCGCCGAGTTTCTTCACAGGAAGACAAGTTAATGGCCGAGCCGCCGTGTCTCTCGAAGTGCCGTGGGATTTCTAGTCGATAAGCGCGAGCTGCGGTGAGTTACGGCGGCTGTAGTGGCGGTCGTGGAGATAAGTCCGAATTCGCGGCGGTTTCAGCGGAGGAGGTGGTATGTTTTGTCTTTCATTTTTTTTCTTTTGGTATTTTTTTGACTGCCTGCTTGATGTCCGAGAGACAAGCTAATCAGCCATCATCCCTTTGTTCATTTCCTTCTTCCTTTGTCCGCCTTTAAGTTACGTCGTTGAAAAGTTGGTCAATGAGCTTGCTCATTGTTCTTCCAAAGCTCCACAGTCTCATTTCGCTTTCTGAACTTTTCATACTTTGGCAGTCGATTGGAACTTCAACCTCTGGAGATTTCCTTGCTCGATATGGGGAGTATCATGTGCGGCATTGTGGTCTCTCCGCGATCTAAATGCGTGGATGGGTGCGCACTGGATTGCTGAAAGTATGTTCTATGAAGGCAGTGTAACTTGTTGCACGGTTATTAGTATGTTGCTGGAGTCATAGAGTGAGAGCTGGTGTAGTAGTAGGCTTAGCTGGGCGCTTTTTCGAGGCGGGTGAAGATGGCGTTCTCGTGGGATCTTTTCGGGGAGGCCGCTAGCGTAGCCCAACTCACGGGACTCGACGCGACTCGGCTAATTGGAATGATAGTGCAAGCGGCGAATACGGCGCGGTTGCACAAGAGGAACTGTCGGCAATTCGCTCAGCATTTGAAGCTGATCGGTAACTTGTTGCAACAACTAAAGATATCGGAGCTGAAGAAGTACCCCGAGACGAGGGAGCCTTTGGAGCAACTCGAGGATGCTCTCAGAAGGTCCTACATTCTGGTCAACAGCTGCCAGGAACGGAGTTACTTCTATTTGCTGGCTATGGGGTGGAACATCGTTTATCACTTTAGGCGAGCCCAGAATGAGATTGATCAATACTTGAAAATCATCCCTCTTATCACCCTTGTCGACAATGCTAGAGTTCGGGTACGGATTTCTCTCTCTTTTTGTGTCGGCTGTGCAGTGCAAATGCTAAACATTTCGCGTTTCTTGACATCACATTGACATTGAACTTACCATTCAAAACTTAGTGGAAATATTGAGCATAACCAGCACCAGCAACGAACTGTCTTATGAAAATTTATCAAACTGAAACGTTGGTTGATTGCATGTACGTGGTCTTTCCCTCATAGATAAGTGCTCTAAGTTGAAAGAATAATATTTTAGCAATATACAGGAGAGAATGGAAGCTATCGAGAAGGATCAACAAGAGTACTCACTAGATGAAGATGACAGGAAGGTGCAGGATATAATCCTGCAACGAGAACCATCAAAGCATGACACCATGGTGTTGAAAAAATCTCTTTCCTGTTCCTACCCCAATCTTGGATTTGGTGAGGCGCTACGAAAGGAAAATGAGAAGCTTCAGCTGGAACTACAACGGTCTCAAGCTACTTTGGATGTGAGCCAGTGCGAAGTAATTCAACGTTTGATCGATGTCACGGAAACTGTTACAATGAGTATGGTGTCAGAGAATGATTCCCCTAAAAAAGGATCCAAAGGAGTTATGAACAGTGCTTCATACGCTAATAATGAAAAGAGTCATCCTTCAGATGAAAGCTATTCTAAGAAAAGTGATTCTTCTACAACTACGAGGTAGTTTCTGCTTGAATTCAGCTGAAGTTGAATAAGTTTGTTAAATATGTTGGCTGGTATAATTTATGTTGCAAAAATATATTTCATATTGTTGCTAAAGTTGATGAGGCCCCAACTCAAATGTGATGATTATCATTCTAGGCACAGCTTACTGTGAGTGAAACTAGCGGTAGAAAGTAGACGTATTCACAGAACAATGAAGGATCTTTCCTTGTCTTGTTTTTCAAACCATGTCAGCTTGGTTTTGGCTGATGATGTATAGGCTCCAAGGATGGACGCTTTTTACTCTTCAAAAGATAGAGTAAACTAAATAAAATAAGGGGAAAGTTTAGGCTTATTTTTGTAATTTTGATTGTTCCAGAAAAGTCACTTAGTATTTTAGGTGGCTTTTGTTATTTTGATTTTTCAAGGAAAAATCACCGTGTATTATACGTTGTGTGAGACTAAGACGGTGCTTTGATTGACTACAACTCATAGAAGTGTAGGATGTAGAAGAGCTCTAGTACGCGCATGTGTAGAAGTCACAGAAACCGCATGCTTCCCTTATGTCTTTCCCTGGAGGTAGATGCATCAGCAGATTAGCTTTTTCCGTCATGTGTTAGGGTTAGTGTGCTGTCACTTAAAGAGACGTGATTATATCGATTTTATTAAAATTCTCTGCCGAGTGTCATCTGTCCTCTGTAGTTTGGGCCATGCTCTAAAACCTGATTCCCTATTTTTTTGTACAGAAAAGTTCCTGCTATCTTGTCTGGCCATGAAGCATTGCCAGTTAGAGGTTTGCATCAACATGAAGAATGGCATGCTGACTTGCTTGGCTGTTGTTCAGAACCACTTCTGTGTATGTTTTCTGATGTCATTCAACCCTTCTTTGGAGCTATAAAAAATGAAAATGATGCATAGCAATTTTCAAGAAATGATTCAGTTGATCAATTTACATCTATCTGCGCCTCTTTGGTGGTGGATTATGATTAATCACATGGAAGACTATTACTTATGGTGAAGTTGGTCTCACTAGTCCATTGCCCTGAAGAAAAAAATCCATAATTCTATCTTGTTACTGTTCCTTTTAATGTCTATTAGAGCTCAGTTAGTGCTCAATCGAGAGGAATTGTTTAAGTGTGATTCTCTGATAAAAAGGTGGTGATTGGGCATATGATTCCTTTGTGCACAAAAGTCGGACATGCCAATTAAAAAGATGTTCCTTTGACCAATGAGTTTAATATGAGGAGATTATTAGAGAGGACTGAGGAGATATTGTGCACAGTAGCATAAGATAGGTGAGAAGGCTTTGAAGATGGCCATTGGTAGATCATTTAACTCTGAAATCAGAAAGGCTGAAGAGACAAGTTTAAAGAGTGCAACATGTAAGTTGCAGCAAGTCTTTGTACTTTAGTCAGCTTGGCCTGACGGATAGATGGAGTGGGAGGCCAGTATTAACTAATGTTAAATGTGTATTAGGATATCGGAGCTCAACATTTTCGTTTAACTGATCACTGACGAGAGAATCAATAACCAATAGCTCTATGAATTGTGGTTAGCATGATTAAAAAATTGGCACAGTGGAGCAGCTTATGTGCGCACGAAACGTGTGAATTTGGTAGGCTTGTGTCGCTACTGGTCATCACCTAGAATGTCTTTGTATCGACTGTTGCAAATCTGTCCTAAGGCATGAGAGGACAATGTTTCGCCGCATAGTATGGTGCATCGGTCTTACTGAACAAAGTTCTGCTATTCAAAACGCAATCCTATTGGTATAAATGAACTCCTAAGCCACTCGTTTGGTTTGCAGGTGTTAAAACACTCTTCTTCCCTTGTGGGACATTTTCAAGGGTTGCTACTGTGGCATCTAACAGGCACATATGTAAGAAACTTCACGTTCTTTTTTCTGATGATCTTTTTATTTGTTATTATGTACTAGCTAGTAGTTTCTTGGTTAATCCAGTCATCCCGACTTTTCAATGTTCTTGTCACTGAATAACTAGCTGAAAATGTGATTGTGTCATCATTATGGGACAAATCTGCATTTGAATGCATGCCTTCTTATGATCTAAATTTCAACTGCTACTACTTGAATAAATGAGTGCTTTGTCTTTGGAAGTCTACCTGGGTTCGATGCTCTAAAATACTTACAAGAAATTTTCATTACATGGTCATCAGCCTCGGCAGAAGCATGTAATGAGTTGATGGCTTACTCATTGGTATTATCTTGCTGTTGCTATACTTGCTGTGTCAGGAGGAGGCTTCGCATGGTTTTGAACATCAAGGTAATAGGACTGGCTAGCTACACATTTTTTTGTTTGAGTAACAATGTGTCAATTTCACAAGCACTCTTATCTTTTTTGTCCCTGCCACTATTCCTTCCCTGAAAAGAAATGACACTTTGAAGTCGTATCCTGTTCTAAATTTGGAATCAGACCATTGGGGCCTGCTCTGCTAAGTCCAAACTTGAGCTCATCCAAGCAGATAATTTCAGCTGATCCCCTTGTTATCCCGTTTGACTGAAAAGGAGGGAACAATAAGCATTCTGAAACAAAGATTTTCTTACAACTTCAATTATGGGAGTTAAAAGTGTGAAAGTGTGAGGAATTGGCTAGGGATGGCAGCCAGAAAATAGCCACAATATCAGCACTCTTGTTGGAAACATTTATTTTTTCTTAAAATTGAAATTATTTGACACCAGGTGAACTTCTAAATGACTTTAGTACATATGAAACTCAGGATAACATGCTCAAATGCAGAGTTAGTTTGTGTTGTTTGTAAATTACATAAAAAATATACAACCTAGGTTTGTCAGGGAACTGACAACCCTACCACCACCTTACTTGTTACACTGTACGGGGTGAGATACATGGATCGTCTTACTATATTATGGTTTGTTTTGTTTTCAAATCCTCAATAAGAATATTGGCATTTTGGTTATAATATCCTTTCATGCCCTCTTAGGTCTTCTCTTAGCTCTTTTAATTAGCACCCTCGTGACAGAAAAAGTTATGTTCAAACAAAGAGCGCTCTGCTCTATTTACTGTTCTTCTTATGACCCTTTTTCTTTTTAACCTGTACTGCAGGGAGGATGGTTTGATGATTTCCTTTCCCATTTGTTGTGCTGTTGTTGTGCCCTTGTACAAGAATGGCGGGAAGTGGATATACGTGGGGTAAAAGGTAAACCTTTCAAACTCTAGCATTAAAATCGACCTATCCAATTCTTTTATGCCTGGACAGCACTTCATGATGCTGGATCCCTGGACATGTTATGGTTGACCTGCCGATGCTTTTAGAACAGCAGTTTGTTTTTTCTTGGACATGCGATTCACTTGAACAAAAACACCTTGTAGGTCCAGTGAAGGCTGAAACCATTGCTCCACCTTTGCAGTACATGCAATCTTGAAGTGGAAGGAGGAAACAACTGTATATTAATCAGAAGTTTGAGTACAATATAGTCTTAATATACACGTAGAGAGGTAATGTTTGCTTCCTTTGTTTCTTCTTAGTTCTTGTGGTGCCTCATGTAGGGTGAGCCTGCTCTGCCTAAGATAGCCTGAGTAGAAGTATCTCTTAATCATTCCAGGATCTGTTTTACCTTTGTTATCTTGGCCGTTCTCTTGTTACAGTTATGAATAGATCCAGAAACCTGTTCATATATTGATAGTGATCGGTTGCTCTTATGTTCTTCGGACAACTGTTTCTCCTCAACAATGCCCGCGTAATCCGTGTAAAAGACTCTCCTACTTTCTGGTGGTTTATACTGCTATTTTTTCCGCCCTGCATGGTTTTAATTGTGGCGGAACAATCATCTGTTCTCTCATTTGGCCCACGATAAGGAATTATATTGCTTGTTCGATATTCATATGCTACGATTCACACTTTCTTCTCTGTCGCTCGAAGCTTGGTTCCAGCATCACACGTGCATTCTATTTAGCCATTATAGTAGCATGGACCGTCGCGGGAAGAATGAGTTACCAATGGTATTTGGACGCCATAACAACACGGAAATGCACTCATGTGTTCCATATGACCACCTAAATACTGATGTTTATGTTGTACATGCAACCGGTGTGAAATTTGTTTCAAACAAGTTGTTGGGACATTTGAGTTCAGAACAAACCTAAAAGTTAGCGTTAATAATAAGACGCCATTGGTAATCCAAACTATACATGAGCCTGATAAGAAAATGAAAACCCTCATTTAATTGCATATATATATATATATATATATATATATATATGTGTGTGTGTGTGTGTGTGTGTGTGTGTGTGTGTGTGTATTATTTAACTTTTTGTTACACCTTCATATGAGACAAAATTTATGGGGGAAAATGACATGAAAGGTCTTTGAATTCGAGTCCAGGACCTTAGGTCTAATATACATTGCCGTCCCTAGATATAAAATTTGTTTAATGTGGTCTCTGAATTATTAATAAATATTTAATATAATTTCTAGACTTTATGAAAATGTTCAATGACATCATTGCGTTAATTCAAGTTAACAGAATTTATCGATGTGGATTTCAATTCATTAAGTTTGAACGATAGTTAACAAAAACAAGATTACACTTGGATTATCCAAGCAAAATATTAATCTCATAGAATATAATAATTGATGTCATCAAATAATGATTGGTATGTTACCGCTCTAATTTTTTTCGTTTTCTAAATTAGATGGATAAAAAGATGGACGTGATTCACGTAATCAAATAACGTCTAGTGTGTCGTTCAAGCAAACGAAAGCACTTTAATGAATATTGATTAAAAGTTCATAGATCACATTGAATGAATTAAATGTTTAGAGATAGTATTGCATATTGGATTAAAAGTTCATGGACTATTGGTGTCATTTTCCTAATTTGTGGACTCACAACTTCCGTGTCGTGCTTGTGGGTCCCGCTGCTCATTCGTCCCATCTTTCTGCATTCCTCTCTCTCTCCGCCAAACGGATGGAGTTTAAAAAAAACCCACGAATTGCACATTAACTTTAATTTTCGAATTCATATCAATCAATCTAAGCCACGAGAGAAATGTTTACAGATTAAATTATCGTCAAAAAGCTTCTTTCTTTCTTTTGTCTTTTTCGCTAAATTATTGAAAAGTCAAAAGTAAATGCACATTAGTCGGTTGCTGACGTGAGGGAGGGTGATGATTTGATTGGCCTAATACTCAAAAAAACCTCAAACTTTAGCATTTATCCAATTTCTACCTTTTGTCTCATAAAAAATCTCCAACTTTAGGTCATGTCTCAATTTTACCTTAAACTTTTTTTTGTCCCGTAAAAAACCCTTAACTATAGGTCTTGTTTCAATTTTACCCTAAGCTTTTTTTTGGCCCATGAAAAACATCAAATTTTTGTTCTTGTCCCAATTTTACTGTCCAGTCTCAATTTTACTGTAAAATTTTTATAGTCTCATAAAAAATCACAAAATTTTACTTGAGTCACAAATCTGACTCCATTAATCCTACGTCCAAAATTTCTCGTTGACAACTAAGAGATAGAAATCTCTCAAGCAAGAGTTGTTTGAGTGTCCCAAGTACTCTTCGACCGCGAGAGATGGAACATCCCCCAGCATGAGAGGTCGATAAGCGCAAAATCCCGAGGGCAATTTTGACAGAGAGTTAATGGAGATCTTTATGAAACAAAAAAATTAGAGTGAAATTGAAACTTGAACTAAAGTTGAAATTTTTTTATGAGATAACAAAAGTTTAGGGTAAAATTGATACTGAACCTAAAGTTGAGAGTTTTTTATGAGACAAAAAAAAGTTTATGATAGAATTGGGACTGGGCCTAAAGATGAGGGTTTTTTATGAGACAAAAAAAAGTTTAGGGTAGAATTGGGACATGACCTAAAATTTGAGGTTTTTTACGAGACCAAAGGTAGAAATGGGACAAAAATTAAAGTTTGAGGTTTTTTTGGGTATTAGGTCTGATTTGATTGGACATTGTCGGGGCATTTTTGGCTCTAGACCATGTGGAATAACATTCTACATGTCGAAATTGCAGTTTAAGACTTAAACTTCAAGTGGACAATTTCGTTTCCGACCACAAAAAAAGGTAGACAATTTTGTGAGTGAAAACTTGAAAAAGGGAAGTTTTTTTTTTATTATGTTATCTTTCTTGCATGCACGTTGAAACAGTAGTGGATGCCAGAGATTTGAATATAAATTTTGACTTCGGAGAGATTTTGTAAAAATTTGATATTCGTCTCGATTCTTTGATTAACAATTATGTCTGTTCAGTTTCGAATTAGAATTAGAAGTAAGATACTTTTATAGCGGGCATGTCATGATAAAATAAAAGTTTTCGATAAAATTTAAGACCTAAAAGATACCGATATATTTGCTTTAGCAGGACTGAGTGACGTATTTTACACATCTCTTTTCATATTCACGTGGTATAATGTCAGGTGTTTTATACTAAATATAAGTTAAATTTGCAAATAGAATGAGAAATCTATAAGTAAAGTTAAATGCAAAAAAACCCGTTTTAAAGTTTATCTATATTTGTGTGATGGGTTTTGATGAAGTTGATTGAACGCAGTTATTGCCATGGAATGCATGTAGAAGTATAAGTCCTCCCATACACGGGCATGTGCCTCAAAAACTTAAGTATTTTAAAACCACTAATGCCATGGAAAATAGAAAGAAAGGCTCGTTCTACCATCGCGGAGCGCCACGTGTCAATGGGGCGGGCCTTTCAGGCCCACGTGTGTGCTTTCGAAACCAACACCGACACCTAGGAGTAATCATTTTCAGGGTGAATTAGATTTGGAACTTGAAACTTGCCATGTCAAGATCGATTTTTCGGTTTTTGAAATAGCAAACCGATCATGTTGTTGCAGAACAATAAATCAAGCAAAGCTAGAGAATATCATCCGTTTTATGGATATACAGGTAAAATGTACATCTTATGTCGCAGTTTAATTTTAATAAATCGGCATATATTTAAAACTTTACTTTGTTATTGCCTAATTGAACAAGATCATAAATACTTATTGCTATGTGTTAAATAGTTAAATATTTTCATTTTGTAATAGATAAAATAGATACAAAAATTCTCAGTATGGAGTATTAATTGACCATCTACGAAAGAACAAAACGAGAGAATTAATGCGATGACCCTACCATTTAAATGCTTAATATTTTAACGGAAACACTCTCTATTTAAAAAAAAAAAAAGAATTGATGTCGAAATAATTTAAGCTAGTTGAAAATTGTTTTACGTAAAAATCTATAGGGATAACGATACAGATATTCCTTAAACTTTGGCCCAGTGTGCAATGTAATCCTTGAACTTTTATTTTGTTCAATGTGGTTCCTAAATTTTTAATTTATTTAATATGGTCCATGAACTTTTGGTACATATTCAACGTAGCCCCTAAACTATATGAAACTGTTTGATGTAGTCTTTCGATTAATTTAAGATCAGGGATAACAGTGAATATTTTCATATAGTTCAGAGACTAAATTGAATATGTACAAAAAGTTTAAGAATTACATTACATATTGGGTTAAAGTTCAGAGATTACATTGAACAGATTAAAATTTTAAGTATTACATTGCACAGTAAATCAAAGTCTGGAGATGAGTTAAAATCTTATATAAGATACAGAAGAATAGGGTGATATACGTTTTTTTTTTTTTGGGCCAGTGCACAAGTGCCAGCGTGGCTTCTTGAGTGGTGAACGACTCGGCACGTGTGACTAGTCCCACTCGTGTGCTCCGAAGAGATTTTATCTCCGAAATAGCAAAAAATAAAACAAATAAAAAAACCTTTTTCCAGAAACAAAATAAAGGTCAATCCCCAATCTCTTTTCTCTATCTCTCTCTATCCGAACGGCGAAATCGGTAGCTAGGGTTTCCCGATCCCGATCCCGATCCCGATCCCGATCCCGATCCGCGCAACCACCACCACCACCACCACCGCCGCCCATCGCCGACGCGAATCCGCACCGGTAGCCCCCGGGAGCCCCCGAAGCACCATGTCATCAGCGAAGAAGATCACCCTCCGGAGCTCCGACGGCGAGTCCTTCGAGGTCGACGAGGCGGTGGCCGTCGAGTCGCAGACCATCAAGCACATGATCGAGGACGACTGCGCCGACAGCGGGATCCCCCTCCCCAACGTCACCAGCCGGATCCTGGCGAAGGTCATCGAGTACTGCAAGAAGCACGTGGAGTCCGCCAAGTCCGAGGACCGCACCACCGAGGACGACCTCAAGGCCTGGGACGCCGAGTTCGTCAAGGTCGACCAGGCCACGCTCTTCGATCTCATCCTGGTCAGTCGATCGATCCTTCGGTTCGCTCGAGCGGCTTGCTTAGTTTTTGTTGCCGGTGTAGAGTAGTTTCGGATTTCGAGGTAGGGTTGACCGTAGTGCGGCGATTACCCTTTCAGCTCTAGTAGCTGGTTCGTATCGGTTTGGCTCGGAGGGGATAAATGTTAAGGCCTCGATAGAATTCTGGCGAATTCCGCTCCCTGACGGTAGTCGCGGCAACACGCCCGGGATGTGCTGAGTACGCGCTGTGCCCGTCCTGTTATTTGATGGTGATTCACATCTTTTTGTCGGATTTGATAGAATGTGCCGTTGCAGATTTTTGGGAAGGAGGGAGTGTAAGCTTCGCCAAAGCATACCCGCTGTAAAATTACTGCTGTCATGTTGGAGTTTGCGTCGTGGGTTGTCTGGTTAGCATTTAAGCTGTCGATTTTTGCTGAAGCAGTCGTTGGTTATTGGTCTACGCAGAACGATGCCTGTGTTTGCTGATGCTAGGGTTTGGTTTTCTAAGGTGTTCACGCAGGGTTCTTTACTTAAAAGTGCTCTATGTCGGTAATGCGGTGTTGGTCACTGGTCAGTGCCATGGTCCCATCAGGCAATTTTTGTGCTTGCTTTTTCGGTTTTTCTATTGTTTTAATTTTCGATTAGAAATGCGTCTTCAGGTTTATGTTAGTTTGGTTTTACATATGCATTTGAATTATAGATCTCCTCTCTGTTGTATCTGAAAGTCGTTTTATACGTCACTATGTATTTGAATTAAACTAGGTGGTTTGAATGCCAAGTTGCCTCGGTTTTTGTCTCAAGGCAATAAAGGAACAGTTAACAGGAGGTCTCACTAGATTAGGTAGCAATAGTTTTGGTGTAATTTATAATTGCTATATTGATTTTGAGGCAGCTTAAGGTGAAAGTAACTTAAAGTAATTGTTATCTACCGTTAACTGTGCCTTTATTGTGTGATTTTTGATAAGGTGTCTCAAAGACAAAATGATGGTGCAACCTGTGTGCTTTCTCCATGAAGATGATTAGGGGCCGCAAATTTTCTTATATTTACAGACAAGCAGGTTCTGGGAAGAGCTTCTTGTTATATTAACAAGGAACTGACCAAGTTCTCAATCTATTTGCCCATGTCTATTCGAGATGTTGCCTCTAACGTTCTCAGGCACAAAGCAATCTCGTTCAGTTAGAGGAGTATCTTTGTTTAGTCTGTCCTGGTCTATTACACAAAAAGCTCATCAGTCAGTCACTTTTCCTACTTGCCCAATGGCCGATTAAATATAAATGTTTTAGAGTAGCATCTTTCTTTTGCCAATTGAAAATGGAGTTTTAAGCTTGGAACGGGATGGCCCTTTCTTTATATTGTCCGAAATTCCTTGGCCTCCAGTGGTGATCTTGGAAAAGTAATTGATTGCTGTTTTAAAAGTTTGGGAGTAACTCAGAAAATGTTCCAGAGTGATGTGGAGTTGGTTCCTAATTCTGGTGGATTTCATTCTTGATTCTAATGTTGAGTTATTAAAGCCTGGGTGTTTCACGGTTCAAATGTTGTCTAGATTAGCCACTTCATCGGTTTTTGATCTGAAAGCATGGCTTTTTGTTAAACCAGGCTGCAAACTATCTGAACATCAAGGGCTTGCTGGATCTGACATGCCAGACTGTGGCAGACATGATCAAGGGGAAAACTCCGGAGGAGATTCGCAAGACTTTCAACATCAAGAACGACTTCACCCCTGAGGAAGAAGAAGATGTTCGCCGCGAGAATCAGTGGGCTTTCGAATGATAGGGCGTCTGTATGTTAATCGGAATCTGCAGTTGGCCACTGTGTGTGTCTCTCTGTTAAACGGAATCCGCAGTTGTGAACTATGTTAAAACGTGCTATTATCTTTTTCAATGTGAATGCGTGAGAAATTAAACGTGTCCTTTTACTGGAGGAATGCGGTGGTATTTGTTCGGTTTATACCTACTGTCGACCAACACACTGTTTATGTCTTCGTGACTATGATAAGTCTCGTTTATCGGCTATGCTGCTTTTGTTAATTCTAGCACTTCCATGTTCAACGGACCCAAATTGTCACCTCCTTTTTGTCACTGACACTGTGATCCTGACCCTATACGAAGCCTCGATCAAAGGGAAAATTTCAGGTACGAGCCTAAAGTAAAGCTGATTTTTCAAAAGTATGATCGAAGTTGATATTGTCTCTAACGAGGGTTTGAAATGACCAATTAATCTCAAATGAGAGCTCGTGCGCATTTTTGTTGAAGGCATTCTTTTTTCTGTTTTTCTTTTTTTTTTCCTTTTCTTTCTCTTTCTTTTTTACCCTCTATTACTTTATTCTCTTGCAATTGGTTGACGGCGGCCAAAACCCTCGGCTGACTTCCTCCGCGACCCCTCTCACGTCTTCGTCGAGGTCCACTTCGGCAAAGACATTGAGAAGTTGCTCTGTGCCTACGGCCTTTGCGTCACCAATGCGCTGGACCTGAGGTCCCTACCTGCGAGAGAGTTGGGTCGGGAGGAGCTGGGGAGTTGAGAAACACCGGGCTGAAGACACTGGTGAGAATGCAAAGTGGTCTTGACGAACCTACGGGACAACCATGGCTGACGAGTGTGCAAGTCCAGTACGATGGCGAGCAATGACAGCGACCGACAATCGGCTCCAATTTGCAATTTACAAATAGAGTGTATCGATCAAACTGATTCGAATATAATTTTGACACAAACCCTTTGTTGCAATCGCCGTTCAACGATCTCTGAAATTTTGAATCTGTGGAGACGCATTTGATATCCTGGAAGTGATTTTTTTTTTCCAATCTTTGCAGTTATTAATACCAAACTGTACATATCAAGAATCCAGGTTCAGCTGAATAGTCTTTTGATATCTGACTGAGGTCTCTATGAACACTCGGGAGACTTTACGCATGCTTATCATGGCGGTGAGTCGTGAGTTGACTAGGAATAATTTTCCTACTTTTGTGCACTCTAAATGCGAAATTAATCCATGAATTTTTGGCTGATGAAGTTTCATAGAGGTGGAGTTGCATTTGAAGCTCAGCTCGGAGAAGTTGCAGGATCTGGGGGGGAAGCATGGGCCGTCTGAAGAGATGATCGTCGCAGCCATCAAGATTATGAAGAAAAAGGTGCCTCCTGCAAAAGCATTGCTGCCACCTCCATCCTCCTATGGAATAAGGATCTTCAAGTGAAGTAGTTCATGTGGATCTAGACAAATTTGGGAGAAGGCTCCTATTAAATTTCTGTAATCCAATGATGAATTGCACGTCGATGCAACTAAAATATGTACGAGTGTTGTGATCGCTGCCTTCTCAAATTGAATAAATCCATCAAGAGACCAGTAAAAGAATGATTCAACATAGCATTACAGAACTTTAATTCCCCAGGCTTCACCAAAGGGCTTTGACAGATTGGATCCAAACTCGAGCTTTTGCCTTGAATCAACATGGGCATCTTCACCCTGAACAGCAAAGACAATGCTATCCAACACCCTATCAACTCGGAGGCGCAACATTCTCATGGAGAGTTGCATTCCCCTCTCTCTCTCACTCCAATAAAGCAGTTAATAGATGAGTAATTTCCTCTTAAGCATATCTGCTATCTCTATGGAGAGAGATTGTGTTAGTAACCTCCATAGATTCTTCAATGACTGAGCGTGTGGATGCAATGACTGAACTTTGTGTTGACCATCCATGGCTGTTGAGGTATGCGTACTGAACCTGGACGCTGTCAGCCATGGGTTGTCCCACTGGCTCGTCGAGACTCGCTTCGGCTTCTCAATCTGCCTCCGTATGACCTGCCTTGTCAGCATCTTCAGCCCAGCACTTCTCAGCTCCTCCCGACCCAGCTCCCTCGCGGCCAATGCCCTCTAGTCCACCATGTTGGCGATGCCGAGGACATAGTCACAGCAATTTCTCGACGTTTTCGTCGATGCCAACCCTGATAAAGACGTGGCAGGGTCACGGAGGAAGTCAGCCAGGAGCTGGCCGTTGTCGGCCAGTGTGCGAGAAGAAAAAGAAATTGAGAGAAAAGAAGAAAGAAAAACAAAAAGAAAAAGAAAAAAACTATCTTGACAAATATGTCAGTGTTATTGTGGCCAGCTGGCCCTTATTTGCCACTTAATTGGCCACTTCAGCCCGACAATGTTCACATTAGACCATCTTCTAAGAAAACGGTTCTACTTCATACCCATATTTGAAATTTCCCCCCATAATCAATTTTGGAAATCGTACCATCAAGAAAAAAAATATGAGAATAATTTCATTTCATTATACCACTCTTAAATATATGAGTAAAAAATGAGGGCGAACTAAGGCAGCAGTTGGTGTAAATCCTCAATCGAATACCGTGAACACTCTGAATTTCTGTCGCTCGCTGTCCGGATAGAATGCCTCACGCCCGAACTTCCTTGATAGGCAAGCTGCTTATGAATGAATTCAGACATGTATCAAGTAGTGTGAAGGCGAGATTTCATCTTCCACATAGTTCCTCTACAAATGCAAAATTCCATCTGGCCAGAAGACGGTCTCCTATGGTACGAAAATTGCCGCTTCAATGTACATTGCTGCAGATTTGTATTGGTGGCCGCTCAAATTCAAAGTCAGGTCACTCATCAAGTTGTTTCCTTAATTTGACCCTTGTGCAATCTGCATCTCTTCTTGCCAAATATCACTCACTCTGAGCCGATGAACAATATCGTTCAAGTCTACAAGACCGCACTGTGGTATCCTTCCAATGTTTTTTTTCTTCATCACATCCTTCAACCTGACAACATCTTCCCACTGACCAGCCACTGCATATACGTTTAGCAACAGCTGGTAATACGAGAAATTCTGAGGATCCTTCTCGATAAGCGACTGTGCTATCCTTTCCCCCACCGCCACAGCGCCCTTGAAGCGACATGAGGACAGCAAGGTAGCCCACGAAGAGGATTGTGATGACATGTCGTTGTCATCTTGAGGCATGCACCTCAGTATCTCCTCTGCTTCCTGAACGAGCCCAGCTCCAGAAAGCAGATTGGCCATGCACCAGTAATGTGCGAAATTGGGTTTGATCCCAAAACTACTGGTCATTTTGCTGAAGTAGTTTCTGCCCTCTTCCAGTAGTCCGGCGCGTGCACAAGCACACAAAATACCAACGAAAGTAACTTCATCTGGAAAAACTTCTCGCCTTTCCGCCAACACCAACCACTTTCTTTTCCGTTTTTTCCTTTTCTTTTTGCTAGAATTGCCTGACCTAAGTCTACCTAATGTTTCTTCAAATAGTTTTATCCCGTCGGTTGGATTCCCATGGATGCAATGCCCTAAGATCATGGCATTCCAACATACTGGATTCTTTACCTCAATTTCGTCAAACAATTTGCACGCCACATCCACCCGTTCACACCTACTATACATATCTATCAAAGCTGTGTCTATCAAGATATTCGATTCCAAGAAGTTCTTGATGAGAAAGCCATGAACTGATTTCCCATCTTTCAGTCTGGCCGACCTTCCACAAGCCATAACTGCGCCAACCATAGTCCTACTGCTGGCTGTCACTCCCTTGGACATCATATTTCGAAACAATTTCAACCCAGCCCCAGGACTTCCTCCCTTCACATACCCGACAATCAAGATGTTGTATGCAGCCACATTTTTCTCAGGCATTTTGACAAATATGTTGCGTGCGGACACCAAATCACCTATTCTGACATACATATACAGAGTAGCGTTCCAAGACACCGAATCCCTCTGCTGCATTTCATCGAACAACATCCGAGCAATCTCAATAACCCCACAAGAACCGTACATGTGAATCAGCGAGTTCTGCACTGGCAGCACCCCGTCAACCCCATTCTTAACAGCTTGCCCGTGGCACTTCCTTGCGGTTCCAGCACAACCAATCTTAGCACAACAACCGAGGAGCGGCACATAAGTGTAGCTGTTCGGGATAAAGTCCCCCCGCCTCAGCATCTTAAAATACAACCGAACACCATCACTCGGCACCGAGCTAACCGAGTAAGCTTCAACCGCGGTATTGACGCAGAAAGTACTCGGAGAATGTACGTACCCAAAAGTCAAGATCGCGTATTGAACGTGACCCAGCTCCAGATGTACCCTCAGGACTCTGCTGGACAGAGCTGCCTTGCGGATAAGGCCCGAAGTGATCAACCGAGCATGAATCTGAAGCAGCTCTCGAGCGCTTCGACAGGTCTCGAGAAGCTTGAGGCTCGAATCGAACAGGGAATTGTCCCTGTCCTCAACTGAGGAAGATTGGCATGAATGCGAGGAAAAGAAAACGAGGCTCGATCTCGAAGTGGAGGCGGTGCTTCTAAGACGGACGAGTTGTCGCAAGGCGGCTCTCGCCATTCATTTGGAGGCGGGTCCTGATGGGTGGTGGCGAGAAGAAGAAGAGAGCGGGCCCACCGTCGCCATCAACGATTGGGGTTCGTGTTGCAGAGGGGGAACCGAGCTGCGCTCGAACTCCGCTGGGGTTGACGACGACGACGCGATGCTATGGCGACGTGCGTTTCGGAGGGGAAAAAGGGGGGGCGTGCCGACGGCGTCGCCGGCTGGTGGACTAGATCGGCCGGGCCGGGCCGTCACATCTTTGGTCGAGGCCCGCTAAAATTTTAAGCCCAACCAAATGACGTCTTGTGTTATTTGAAATTAATTAAAATGATGAACATTCAAGTTCTAACGATCATAGATTAGATATCTCCTATGTGTTCATCAAAACATGTATGATTATATCTTCTAGTTAGTATTTAGCAGTTACGTTTGATTGACACCCTCTTCGTGTTGCAGATTATTGAATGAAGGCAATTCTTCATTTATTCAAAATAGTTTGTTTTTTTTAATAGAACAAATGCGTTCAGGGCCAATTGCTACGGCTATATATGTGCATTTGGTGCGGTGGCTAGCAAGCAAGCTTACCTTAATTATCTTCCGAAGTTCTAAATAATCTACTAATGAAAACATTGAAAAGCTATCAGGGCACACTAGACTACTTTACATTTAGCAACGCCAAAGTGAGTTGCAAAACGATTTTCTTCTTTATGTGAAATTGATGGGCACGGCACGGCGAATCAACATTAACGCGTTCTTGAAACTGACAAAGTAAGTGCCAAAAAGGTTTTTGGATAGAGATAAAAGTTATTATTTTCCAATAGAATTACTTACTTTTCAATTATGTCTGACTGTTTTGTTTTATGATGTAGGGATATTGCCTTAGAACTCGAGTTTTTACACTGTAACGGGATAATTCATGGTAATCTCAGACCGAACAACGTTACGATAGTTCGTACTGAAGATCGTAAAAATCTAGTAGCAAAGGTGGCTGACGCTGGTGTATCTGCGAGCCTTCATGGATGTCAAACTTGCTTAGGAAATCTTGCGCTTGGTAGGTTGATCTTTTTTTCCTCTAAGTGCAAAATATTTGAATTGTAATCATATTTTGGTGTTTGTCTTGCAGGGTTGGGTTGGCAAGTCCCGGAACTTTTAATATCTAGTCATAAGGCAATATCCTAATTTTACAATCTGGGTTCGTGTTAATAAAATTTAAAACATGAAAAATAACCTAATTTTTCTTCTTGAGTGTTTCTTAGGTCTATTTTCTCAAACCATTGCATCAATTAAATTTACTCTAATAGAATCTTATTTTGAAAAGTTCAAATAATAAGCTTTTCGTAAATGCAACGATCGCAATGAAGACATAGACATGTCTGAAGAGGACAAAGATTAAGTTGATGTTCTTGAAAACCGCAATACCGTGGCTCCATCCTATGACTGTAGACGAGTCACTATTTACTCAACAGAATTATACATTTATAGATATCAAAAGCTTGCTAGTGATCGTGTTAATAAGATTTAAAATAAGAAAAATATCCTAATTTTCTCCTTGAATTCTTTGGGTCGATTTCCCAAAAACCATTGTATAGATTAAAAAATTTTCAATAGAATTTTATTTTGAAAATTTTGAAAATAAGTCTTTCAGTAGATGCAAAAATTACCTCAATCATATGTTATACGAAAAAATTATGCCTATTCAAACTTTGGGTCTAAATTCTTTTTGTAAAGTTTGATTTTTAATTTTAACTAATAAAATTATGGACATACTCTCTAGTTAGTCAATGGCAGTGTTAATAAGATTTAAAACAAAAAAAAATCCTAATTTTTCTTTGAGTGTTCCATAGGTATATTTTCCCAAACCATTGTATCAATTAAATTAACAATAATAAGCTTTTCGTAGATGCAAAAATCTCGTTAATTGAACATTCTAAGGAAAAACTAATATCGATATCGATGTGGAGAAATAATCTACTAATGAAAAGCTATAGGAGCATACTACTTTACATTTAGCGGCGCTAGTGAGCCATAAAGCGATTTTCTTCTTTTATGTGAAATTAACTCCAATAGAATCTTATTCTGAAAAGTTCGAATAATAAGCTTTTTGTAGATGCAAAAATCGCGTTGATTGAACATTGCAAGGAAAAAATTAATTACAATCAATATTTACTACTTTGTTTTTATATTCATCATCTATAAGATAGAGATATCTAAAGACGACGAACATTAAGTTGTAGGTACATAGCTATTGACCAAGATATATGTACTCTCGTCTGTCCATCACCGCATGGTAGATGTTCGGACGTGGAGAAGCAAATATTGAGCTCTGAATCTCTTTGTCAACGTCACATTGACCATGGCGAGTTGATTCACTATTTGCTGGACAGAATCATAAATTTATAAATATCAAACCAAAGGCTCTTCAATGGATCAATGATCGTGGTAATAAAATTTAAAATGAGAAAAATATCTTAACTTTTCTCCTTGAATTCCTTAGGTTGATTTCTCAAAAACCATTGTATCAATTAAATTTTTTTTAATAAAATTTATTTTGAAAATTTTGAAAATAAGCTTTCCTTAGATGAAAAAATAGCCTCAATTGTACGTTTCAAGGAAACATTATGCACAATCAAAATTTGGCTCTAAATTTTTTTTAAGGTTTGATTTTTAATTTTACTACCAAAATTATGGACACGCTTTCTAGTGGGTCAGGAGTTAATAAGATTTAAAACAAGAAAAATATCCTAATTTTTCTTTTCGAGTTTTCTTTTAGGTCTATTTTCTCATAACATTGTATGAATAAAATGTTCACCAATAAAATCTTATTTTGAAAATTTCGAATAATAAGCTTTTCTTAGATGCAAAAATCGCGTTGATTGAACGTTGCAATAAAAAAATTATTCACAATCAAGATTTCCCAATTTGTTTCTATATTCATCATTTAAGTTGGATGTATAGAGCTATTGAGCAAAATACACGAAATCCCGGCGGTCATCACTCTATCATAGTCAACTTCATTAGGATGTGGAGAAGGTATGAATCTATGGTGCCCTTAAATACCATACTCCCATGGCTACTCCTTCCTATTTATGTATTTGATGGTTTGATAGTATTATACTTAGACAACACTATTGCTCCTCATTTCTCCCAACTATTGACCACATTGCTTAGATTTTGACAAATATATATACGTAGATTTTGAAGATGGTCATTCGTGGTCCTCGTCTTTTGGCGTCTCGATGTTCAGTCATCATCTCCGTCACCAAGACGAGAGAGATGAGAGAAGAGGTTTCCCGGCCAAATCTGGAATTTCACTGATTTAGAATGGAAATCTGCTGCCAAAAATTTTAATCCGCCATATTACATGAAGTGAAAACTTATGCACGATCGAGCTTTAGAGATTACTCTCGAAGAGCCAGCTAAATAAAGTTTTGATAATTTGCGAGGGCGCTTTTATATTTGCCTTTTCTTTTTGCTAAAAAAAAAATGGCCAGAAAAGAGGGAGGGAAAGAAGAAACGCGAAAGCCGCAAAACGGCAGTGTCCTTAGACGCGCAGCACCGGAGCAACGCCGTTTCGTGCGGCGGTTCGTCGTCTTTCACCGTCCGCTCAAACGAAAAAACCCTAGACAGGAAATCGTTCGGATTTTTTGGGGAATTGAAATTGAAAGATGGTGAGAGCGAGCTTAACCCTTCTCAAAGACGCTATGTCGGCTGGATTCGCCAAGTCCCTCTCTGAAATTCTTGTTTGCCCTCTCTCCAAACAACCCCTCAGGTCTCTCTCCGCGATCGCCGGACATTGTTTGTTTTTTTTCTTCGTCGGCGGCGGCGGCCGGGCATTGTTTGACGGGTTTGATGTTTGTAGGTTCTGTGAAGAGACGAATTCTCTCATGAGTGACGCCATCGGCGTTTCCTTCCCCGTGAGTTCTCTCCGTTTCTCTCGCATTCCCTCATTCGATCTACTCGCAGTCCTTCTTGAGCTTGTTGGTTCTTAGCAATCGGTTGGATTTGCCTTTTGAAAGCGTCAATGATCGTTTCCATCGATTTCAAGAGATAGTTGAATTGCCATCAATTCTAGCAAAGTGAGAGGTGAATCTTGAGCCTTTACATGGTCAATTCCCCAGAGTCTACCAGGAAATTTCCTATGCAGGTCAAAATGATTTTCTTATTCAGAATTCCAAAGGAGGCATCTTGACTTGGTGATGCTGCGATTGGAAAATATTCTTTTTCCACTGGCTTATTGTGTCTTTCGGCACCGGGGATTTTCATTTCTATTGCATGGTACGCGTATGGATTTGCTATTTATCTCCCGCCTACTTTTTACCTGCAGATAAAGAATGGAATCCCTCGCCTCGTGCCAAAGGATGGCAAGATTCTGGGAAGTGGTGATGATGATAATGACAAAGTCTGATGATACTACGAACTCGGCTTCCGCGAACAGGAGGGATTCATAAGGTGGTGGTCCGAGTCTCCGTTTAAAAGGATTGAGAGAGACTGCGCATGGAAAAAATGTACTTCTGCCGATTTGTGGGAGTTCCTGGTCATTGTTTGTCTTCAGTGAGGAGTCTGTTCATGTCCGTATGACTTTTATGGCGTTTTCATGGTAATCAACAGTTCTTTCATCACAATTTCTCTGTCTAATTCATGCATTTTCGAGCAGTGTTCTTGGATAGTTCAAGAGATCGTCGTGTTTTGGTGTAATGCAATGAAAAAACTGAAACTGTCTCTTGTTAGACTTTGATAATACTTTATATCATTGACATTCAACGAGATGATACTTCCCTTCATGATTGGTGTTCATTGCTGCATGTTCAATTGTATAGGCTTAAATCTTAGCTTATGAGAAGATAGAGGAATAGATGCGTGCACTGATTATCACTGTGGAGATAGCTGCTTCATAAGAACTGCCATCGCTCGATTTGGTATGAGGGGCGGCCCTTGAAGTAAGGTTCCTTATTTTCTAACTGCGATTCTTAAGTTCTTAGGTAACCTTCAATTCATCCTTATCAGAACAGGTTTGTATTTGATGGGTTTGTTCTGCTGGCTCGAACTGCTTGCTGGAGCCATACGAGCACGTTGTAGTTTGTTCTGCTGTATTATGTCTGCTGAACGAGCGAAATAGTACATCTGACTTACATACATCTGATGTGAATATAATGCCTTGAAATAGCATTGTGCTATTTTGCTCGTGCCGTCGACGTGCTGTGACGCTGTTAGCTACTTTAACCATACTTGCTTAGTTGGTAACGTTGGATCTATATTAAGAGCACATCACAGGATTGGCATGACGAGTGTTTGTTTCAACTTCTAGGAGCTAAACACTCGTTTTGCAGCTGCTTCCAAGCTCATCAGACAGGATACATGCCCCGAAAGCTACTCCGGAGGATCACAGTATGTCGAAAAACAGAGATGAAAATGAACGATTGGACCTATACCCATCAAAGACTACCTGGTTTCCGCGTAACCAAGTTCTTGTAAAATCTCGACATGCGAGGGTCGAATTCAATTCTTTTGTCGATATAATGCCTGTTGCAATGGAATTCCAAGCAGCCGTTAAATCGAAACGGCTATCCGAAACTCAAATTTAGATGGGATTTGATCTGAATTTGACTGTCGATGATGGTCAGATCAGATTGTGCATGTGAAAGTAACTGGCACAGAATGCTTGAAAGTCTCTTGAACGCACACTGCGGACCAAGAACAGAGAGATAGAGAAGCATGATAATCTTCGAGTGGTAGGTAGAAACCAATATAGATTAAGAAGAGTTAAATTAAATTGGTCAAGCGTAAACCTCTTTGTTTTAGGTGCAACAGCTTTGTGATGGGTACTCAAGATCAGACTCTCAAATATCTAACCACCCCTCAGAAACCACGCAGAGATCATCAAAAGACCATTTTATGCACTCTTGACCTTTCCTCAAAACCGCCATCATCAAGAAGATCAACCCCCTATCATCATTAAAGTTCCCCCCGCCATGCAATCCCACACTAATAAAGACCAGATGGTACTCAACAAGCTACTCTCCTTCATAAGCCACTACGTTACCCCGGGACGGACCGTGAGGATCAAGGAACCGGCGCCGCTGCAGGGGGCGGTTGCGGTCGGTGTCGTGGCGGGCCTGTCAGCTTCTCCCCTTGTCGGGTCGAGCTCGAGCGGGTCCTTCGGGGGCGAGGTCTGCTGCGTGTGCTTGTCAAGACTGAAGGGGGCCGAGAGCAAGGACGTGCGGGTGCTCCCCTGCATGCACGAGTTCCACAGGGCCTGCGTCGACAGGTGGTTCGACGCCTGCCGGAGGACCTGCCCGATATGCCGGTTCTCCATGGAAGGAGGAGGAGGAGGAAATGGAGGGTGCCATAGAGGGGAGGAGCTGACGGAAGAGCTGGTGATCTGGTTCTCCTCTTTCCACGCAGCCGGGTTCTGAAACACAGTTCTCTACTCGGATTCAAATGTGCATACATGTCTTACGTTAATGTTCTTGCTCTTTTGCGTTTTCCCTTCAAGATTAGCTTTTTTTTCCTTCATTGCACGCCAAATAAAATGTATTGGTGAATATGGCTCCAGCAGGACCATAATGAATTTTTATTTTTTTTTAAGAAATTCGTGATCGTTCGTTGCTTCAAGATTCATCAAGAATGAAAATGACGACAATGCTTCCCATAGTCAAGATTGGTGCCCATCTTCTTAAGTGAAAGACCCAAATTCATAGAAAAAAAAAAGGAGAAATGACACAAGGATTAAATTGAATATATACAAAATGTCCAGGGTCCACCTTTAAATAAATTAAAAGTTTATGGACCAAATTGAATATTGGGCCAAAATTCAGGGATTATTGTGTTATTATCCAATTTTTTTTTATAAAATAAAAGCAATTAAAAATTATTCCGTTGCCGGGAATCGAACCCGGGTCTCCTGGGTGAAAGCCAGATATCCTAACCGCTGGACGACAACGGAAGGTTGCTGTCTACCATGGCAAAACTAATTAATTTATTGAATAATTATATGAATCGAAGAAAGATGTTTAGTCTCCCTCCTTCGCTCCTTTTACCTGTCAATTGTTGTGGGTTTGGATGTCCTTGTCGATGTATGCTTTAAGGAACTGCATGTTCGTCCAAACTGAATTCGGTACAACTAGATACCGCTCATTCGCATCTATCGTTATTCTCTTCGTCTCATTAGCCCTCGCGGAATCTCCAATTCGGAGCGGATCTGAGCGTAATTCAGCAGCAAGCCGATTCCAGAAATCAACTCTACACAATTTCTTTTTTCCCTACTTGAGTAGAGCAGAAGTTGATTGTTTCTCCATGTTGAATTCGCCGTCAAACAAAGACGTTTGTGAAGACTATCGAAATCACCTAATCGCGAGAACATCTACACGATTGATGATGGAGGGTCTTGTGGCTTTGATTGTGGTGCCAAAAGTACGTGTATAGGCAGCAACATTGAACTTGAGAGATTCATCTGTCAATGCAAACCCTATGTTTTTCGAGTGAATTGTCTGAATAGATTTGGATTCGCGCAGAAAAGACTGATGCCCTTAAACGTTTTAGAGAGTTACAAGGTCGCTGCTCGATCTTACTTGGGTCATTTTTCGGGCTCCGTCGCTTTCGGGCACCGTGTCATCTCTCATTCGTCTATGTTTCCTTGTGTATAATGAATTCGAATCAACCTAAAATCTTGAATTCAAACTAAATTTTAGATACTCGCCAGTGTTCATCTGATGTCCCAGACTTTAGAGAAATTTATCAGCAAAACCTAAACTTGACTGTAACTTCTCTCTCTCCCTGGAAGAAGACAATACGACCTCGCACCGCGCTGCGACCGCCTGCAGGTGGCTGCTCTCCCTCAGGTGGCTGGCGATGTTGAATCTGAGGTCGCGACCTCAGCTGCAACCCAGTGAGAAAACACATATACGCGGAGGAGTTCTCTATTCCTCAGACTAGTCAAGGTGGAAGATAAGCATAGAACGAAGAAACGACTAAAGAGAAGGAACAAAAGAAGAAGAAAGTAACCATGGATCGTACAGTGTCTAGCTTTCTTTTGCCCTATTCTTTTGGTACAACTCCATCGCTTTTTAGGGTTTGTAAAGCAGTAGTCCTCTCTTCTTTTGCATGCATCTTGTGAAAGATGCAGACATATTCAACGAGACAGAGGGAAACCCATAAGAGAAGCATCTCTCTCTTAATACGCAACACAAATGAGCAGACATCGGCTTCACAGCCATTTCACATCGCGTCTAAAGGTTAAATGAATTCATGCTTCCCGGGGGATCCGATAAAGAACATCAGGTTCTAAACCACAGGAACACGTCCACAGACAGACAGAGCTTGGATTGCTTCATTGAAAGTGTCCAGAACGTGGAGACCCACTAAAGCTTTGTCGTCTTCCCCGTCCTGGGTTTCAAATGTTTCCTCGGACGATTTTCGCTCTGTTCTTTTTTCTCTTTTGGCCCATCAAATGCGGGCACATACATCATTGAATCACATGAAAATCTAATCGAGCTGAGCTCGCGCGAATCGAATTTTATATAAGAAAAAGAGATCTTCAGGAAACCAGGGTTGATGACAGAGCCATAGATACCGACAAAAGAGGCATCATTGACTCTGGACAATAATAGGTGGGAGAGAAAGAGAGAAAAGGCCAAAAGGGGCTTTCAGGAGGAGTGATGGAGAGTGTAGAGATAAGGAGATGAATGGAAGTGACGCCCAGTGCTCGAGGGACAAAGCAGTCCCCATCATGTCATCACTGCTAGTGATTCATTAGGACACTGTACACCACTTTGGGTGCGCTCAATTAAGCTCATCTTTCCAAGGTTTTTTGACCTTATCCTGAGGCACAAATGTGCATCCAAAAGAGTCCGAATCAATAATTAAGCGAAGTAAGAGAGGAAATAGAAGTGTAATTTCAACTCATTGAAAGAAGCCCACCTGAAAAGAGAAGAAGCAGATTAATATTGAAGTCACTATTATGAAACAAGTTAACCGATTCATGCGGCTCGACCCGACTCGATCCGGGAGCATTTAGAAAGTTAAAAAACAGACGAAGCAAGACCCTCTTTTTCCCTGCCTTTCCAATTGGTAAATATCGTCATCATGAAATACACAAGTGAGAACAATGCCCACGTTTAATGAACGCTAGGGTTCAAAAAGTCAGTCAAGAAACTACAAAAGAGCAAACAAAAACAGAAAGACCCACCACAGTTCCCTCTCTTCTCCTCTCTCTCTTCTCTTTCTCTCTCTCAAAAGCAGCAGCATCAGGGTTCCAGTATCTCAGGGCGTACAGGAAAAACCAAAGGCCTTTGGGTAATGCGCTCGTGTCCTCACCAATAAAGAGAAACAGCATTCAAACTCGGGTTGTAGGGTAGAGAAACCACCCCCAACAACAGCAAGATAACACCTGCGCAAGCTTAAAAAAGAAGATTCCTGACCCTCTCCACAAATACACTCTCTCACTACTGTTCTTTTATAACTACTTGAAAGGAACTGTTCTTAGGTTAACTCCAGAAAGGAGCCAAAAGGAGAACAAAGAAAAGGGCATTGTTAAAGGGCAAGTGCAAGGATCGCTCCGTCAAAATGGAGCTGTCGACGTTCGATGGAGCGAGTGCTTTTTGGGAAGTTGCGATGCTGCAGCCATCCACAACTGCCCAAAACCCACACAAAAGTTACATCAATATTCCCAAGCCATTGCAAAAATTGTATAACTTCGCCAAAGGTAAACAAAAACTGTAAGCCCTGTGTAGATACATCTGCAAGTGACACGAGCTGACACTGAGGTGGACCAGAGATCAGATGACCAAATAATGCATCTTTAACTTGGCTTGGCCACCAGAAGTTTTTAAGAGAAAGCAAACTACCAGCTTCTCCGCCTGACTAATCAATAACAATATTAAAAAGAAAGAAGAAAGCTGCCTATAAGTCTTTAAACTGAGTAGAACTCAAAAGGGAAAGACAAAAACAGACGGTCCTTTTTAGGGAAAAGGGTACTTATGTCTGCTAAATATAAAAATCTAATTGTTCTGCTGCTTGCAACCATGTAAGAGCAAAAACAACAAAGAGGGAAAAACAATCACCTGTTCCTGCTGCTTCTTCAGCGTAGCATTCTCTTCCATCAAGTGGGCAACCTGAAGCTCCAATTCGTTCGTATAAGCCTGTTCGGCCAGAAAAGGGAACAAAGCCAAACAAATCAGGAGAAAGAGAAACGGGACCAAAAACATTGGATGCAAGAAAATAGAATCAACAAACATCCAACAACAGGGTAACAAGCGAAACATCAACGACAGTTAAACGTGACGCCATCTTGATCAAAAGAGCACAACAATCTCCGCTTTTCGTTCACGAGCAATTTTATTTAAAACACGCATAAAAACAAAAAACTTTTCCTGCTTCCTAGCTCTAGACCTCGCAGCGGACTCCCTGTTCTTGATCATCCTCTTGTGCCTCCGGTCGCCCGAACCGCCCTCAGTCTCAAACACCCTCTTCTTGATATTCCCAAAAGCGGCGACATCGCTATGATTCCCAGGATCAGTAGAGCCCGCCAAAGCCTCAAAAGGGCTGGTGCTAAAGCAGGCCATTCCGGCTCTATTGTGGCTCTGAAACCGAGTGGTGCTCGGCCCGAGCGGGCTCGAGTCGTCGAGGAAGTGAAACTCGGGGCCGGAGTTGTTGAGGCTCAAGAAGGTGAGAGGGTGGTGAGGAGGGAGCGAGGAGGAGGTGGAAGAAGCGATGTTGGCAGGGGTCGGCGGGTCCCTGTGAGAAGGCCGCCCGAGGAAGTCCTGCAGGCCGTTCCCCCGCAAGGCGGGGCTCGCTGAGGAGGGGCTGTGGTGGTGGTGGTGGGGTTGGAGGGAGGACAGGGTGATGTCCTTCCACACCTCCTCCATGATTCTTGATGGGGTTAGGGTCTGGTGGTCGTTCTTGTGGTGGTGAGTTAAAGGGGATTGAGATGGAGGAGAAGGAGAAGAGGTCAGGGAAGATGACGAAGAAGAAGAAGAAGGTGAGGAGGAGGAGGAGAGGCTGCTGATGAGAGCTGTGACTTTGGGGCTGTAGCTGTTGGTGTTCCCTTCACTAAGACCACCTGATGCTGACAACATCTCGAGAGAGAGAGAATCAAAGATGATGGAAATGGAGACTGTCGGAAATCAAACACCCAGTCTCGCTCATATTTTCCACAAATGAAAAACAAAAGGTGGTGGTGAGGGGAGAGGAGAGACTGATGGCAAGACAGCACAGGCTCGGTGGTGGGGGTCGGGGTTTATGCTGGGGAAAGAAAGGGAGAGACATTATATGCTTTAAAGTCCCAGCTCCGTCCTTCACTTCGTGTGCACACCTCCTTCGGTCGGGCTCGAATCGAACCGAATCAACTCGCGCTGCGCAAACCATAGACAACGAGTTAAACAAAGCTCCTCCAAAAAACATGCAACTCGGACGTCCTATCCCTGCGAAAAATACAGTGACAAGCCCTCTCGATGTCCTTCTCGGAATTAATCATGAAAGTTGTTGTATACTTCGGGAAAAATAAGCAACAAATGGATGCTCTCGAAATCTTAGGTATCAAAATTGCGGATATATCGCCTTAGACGATAGATTTTGAGGCCAGAAAGGACAGCAAACGGGTTTTGGCCATAGGGTAGCGCTTTGAATAAGTTCCTCTGCATTGATGATACGGTGGACCGCGTGAGTTCCTCCCGAATAAAAAGCCATGGCCCTGTTTAGCTAGCGAATGCTACACGATTTCGTCGCCGGGTAGTTGTGGCCACGTCACCTACCCAATAAAGATCGAAGTTCCTATTGGAGTCGGGACAAGAATCCAGGGTAGAAATCTCAAGTGTAACTTTTCATGTTAGGAGATCTCACTACTAAGAAGCGATGTCCAATTACTCCTTTTTATCTTCAATGCATCAGAGATAATTGGTAACGGTAAATTGTCTCTTTTTTTAACATTGCGCTCTTGCCAACCTTGACAAACACGTTGCTTTAACTAATTGGATTTGAAGTCAGACAAACTTGACCGGGAAAAGCTCTGTAAGTTCAATGATACAAATTAAAAGTTCAAGGTATTACTGTTAACAAAGGCCATAATTTCAAGGATCAAAAGTAAGCTTCTACCAAATCATATTGATTTTCACTAGAAATCGTTTGATCGAAATTAAAAATTTCTTCAATGCATTAAAGTAAGTCACATTTGTCAAGTATTTGCCGTTGGGGAAGAGCAGAGACAAACTTTATAGACAGAGTTAATCATGATCATTGCATTGATCATACACATTCTATATGTGGTCTCGCGAGGACGACTCTAATTGCACCTAAATATTACTATGTGTTTAGTTCGCGATAACAATTATCTTTTAATTAGTCTATTCCCAATTGAAATGGTTGTTAATCCATTTCGTGCATAAATCAATAAAAAGAATAACCATTCCCTCAAGCTTTCGTATTCCATAAGTTAAATTATGATCGTGGCATCATTATTACACGGATCTTGTTATTATTAGCTATCCGTTAAGAAAAGATGGTAAGTAATCATCTAGAGTAGTGTTTGAATAATATTAATATTTTGTTGCAATTTAGGGTTACAGTTATCACATGATATATTCTCAAGATGCGTTTATACTTGTAAATAAATTATCATCACTATTATTTGACAAAAAAGTTAGTAGCCATACTCGTAAATTGTACATGACAAAAAAGAATACTCGTAAAATTGTAAGATTTTTCATTTATTATGATAATAATAATGTAATAATAGGTGAAATTAGGCTAGGGTTGGTATCACAAAAAACTACAAGCTGGCACCCTCATGCTACATTCACCGTAAACTAATATTTGGATCACAAAAATTGCAAACCATTAGACTCATGCCGCATTTATCCTAAATTAATTTTCACATGACAAAAAATTCCAAATTGGTACCCCATAACAAATATATCAAAATATTAGGGCAAAATTAGAGATTCTCTTAAGGACAAATTAGCAGGTTTTAGCAAATATCCCAATCTCAGTCCATTTTCATTAGATCTGGCCTCTCTAAAATGATGTCGTTTAGGAGACCCACTCATATTGTTTTCATGTTGGATCCACGTCATGGCCCAATCAACGGAGTTGTTTGCCATGTGTGTTTCCACATTGGCTATTTACGAAGATATTGGACGGATGCCAATTGAGGGTAAATTTCTCACAAATATACTAGTTCTATGACACGAAAATTAGTTTGATTTTAATGTAGTACGACTATACCAGTTTGAATTTTTTTTATGGTATTAGCCCTTAATTGTATCTTTGCAAAGTATAATGAGCATTCTTTGGTATTTCTCACTTATTTCCCATGCAATCGCAGTAATTTAAGCCATGACATTACCTTGGAATGAGTCGAAAGACAGGAAAATTGTTCAAAAAGTTTTAAACCTATTGCGCTTTGGCCAATTCAATTTGGAACATTTCTATTTTGCCAATTGAGTTCTAAATATTTTTCGCGTTTTGTCAGTTAAGTCCATTCCGTCAATCTAACTGGAAATCGTTAACGTGGATGCCAATAATGCCACGTAGAATGACCGACGTTGACGTGGAAGATTTTTTTTTTAAAAATCGAAACTTTTTGTATTTTTCTTTTTCTTTCTTTCTTTTCCCTTTTCTTTTTCTACCCAGACCAACGAGGGCTAGCAACCCTCATTGACCACTGCCCTCGCCCACGATCGGAGAAGAATTCACGGTCCTTGCCCAGTGGCCGATGAGGGTCGGCTGGCCCTCGCTGCTCGCTGGGCTTGGAAGAAAAAAAAAGAGAAAGAAAGAAAGGAAAAAAGAAGGAAAAAAAAATTAGAAGTTTTTAAATAAATTATAAAAATTGTACATGACAGCGTCGTATGATGGCTGGCGTCTATGTTAGCGATTTCCAATTAAAATTAACCAAATTGACTTATTTGGCAAAATGTGAAAGGATTTATGATTGAATTTGTCAAAATGTAGTAGGTTTAGGACTTTTTGAACAAATTTCCCATCGAAAGACTATTCCATCATGCAAACCAAATTAGAGAATAGTTATATCATCTCCATTCGAGCTCTATTTCCAATTTCCATGGAATGTTTACCCATTCCTACGTTATTTCATTAGAGTTAAGTCGTTAAGCATCTTCTTTGAAAGAAGTAAAGCTTTTCCCTCGCTCGAAGGCTGATTTAATGAAACGGGCTTTTAGCGTATGAACTTGATCCGAGCGGACAAAACAATCATTGAAGTTCACTGTGCATGAAAACACAAAAGCTCGCAAATTAGTTAAGGGCGTCAATCTTATCAAAGCTTCCAAGTCTAACGTGGCAGGCGAGGGTCGACCTCGCGCTGGTGGTTGGCAACTGACCACTAGCAGAAAGAGAAGAGAAAGAAAAGGAAAGGAAAAAAAGTCATTAAAAAATTATAAAAAATATCTACATCAGCGTCAATCGTGTCACATAGGATCGCCAGTATCCACGTTAGCAATTTCTAGCCTAAATTGGGCAGATGAATAGAAACTAACATTAAAATGTTCAGAATTAAATTTGCCAAATTGAAATATTTAGGACAAAATTGATATCAATACAATATGTTTATGAATTTTTTTGATACTTTTTCCTCTTTGGTCTACTCTCGAGTTTTAACTTCAATCTTTTATTTATCGGGAAAATATCAAAGCATATCCGAGTTTTCACAAAGGACAAAACACATGTTAGAATATTGAAATATTGAATCATGCCTTTATCCAACAGGTTAAGATTTCAGGACAGTTGGCAGTGATTTCGCAAAATCTTGCAACACAAACCTGTATTTTCAAAACCACAGACTTTTTTGCATGTTTCCCGATTTGTGTTGTGTCGCTAAAACGGCAAATAAAATTGATTGAAGTGAAAAAAAGAAGAAGAAAAAACGGGGGAGATTGTATAAGTGGGTCATACTTGCCTTTTCCTCCGCCTAACATAACGTAATGTAATATTGACTATGTAATCTTCGACCAATGTAAGTTTAGTTCGGTTGGGACAAATGCTATTGCCCAATACATCATATCAGATGATGTCGCGTTTAGCAGGAACGCTTTAATCATCAATCGTGCTCTCGTATTCTCCTTTCTTGCCAGCGATGATTTCATTCCAAAAATAGTAAACGGAACTTTGCCCAGAAACGATAAAATAAACACGCAAAAGTCAAAGATTAACCATGTAGTAATCACACTAAAATGGAGTATTAAATGGCAATTTGGCATGTTATCACCACCGTACTAACGTAGGTCCACTTACGATATATGTATTGGTGGCCGATTGCGAATGCACTTAGAAATTTACCACTCGATGCCACCACCAAGAAAGCCCAAATTTTGTCATCGAAGGACAGAAAAGGGCCTACTAGTACTGGTGTTATTGAGAAAAGAACCACCAGGGTTTTCTCTTTCTCATTTCCTTTGCCTTCCCTTCGTGTCATTCTATCTTCGCCTTTTGAACAGGGAAGGAAGAGGACAGAACAATGCAGACTCTGGAGAGGTGGCACGCCTTTCCTTCTCTGTCTTCACGATGGAGAGGACATCGCTTTGGCCCCTAGGGTTTGGATTCTCCATTCTTGCCTCAATTATGTTGGGATCTGACGACTAGGGACGTGCATGGCCGGGGGGGTATGTTGAGAACCTATTGTAGGAATCGTAAGGAAGGAAGAGGATTTGTTTTCTTTTCGACCATTTTGTGATTATTTGGAATGTAATGTTATATTTGTAATGTGATCCCACATTTAGGTTTGACCCACGTTTTTTCTTTTGAGTGACGGTTATCCACTGTCGGTTTTTCCACGCTTCGTACCCCTTCGGTGACAACCGCCCTCTTCGGTAACCGCCTTGATGGGAAGCGGTTTATAAAGATGAACGTTCATTCCATAAGGGCTAACACAAGGTCTAACGCAAATCCTCTCATTCGGTAATACACCATTAGTACGCGAGGGGATTGGGTTAGTAGAGTGTGCCCGTAATCGCTCTCAAATTAACGTCGAACTACCGTGGATTTCCGACGAACGTAAAGTTGAACAATGGCTGGAGGTCAGTTTATTTTCGATCCTGTTTTCCGCATTTGATTCTAATTGTGCTTAAATTTTGTTCTTCTATGCATGATTAGAATCCTTCAGTTTTAATCTTACATTTGGTATCAGAGCGTGATTAGTGCCTCTGCCTTGTTCTTGTTGAATTTTTGGTGTATTTTTCGGGGCTTTTTGAGATGAATAGTAATTCGGGTTTTTTGGGGCTAAGAGGGAAATCGCTGATTCCGGCCAAATTCCGGCGACCCACCGCTCGACTTCGGACCGGCACGGTCGCACCGCCATGGAGAAGAATAGCCCTAAGTTAATCTGGCATATCGGTGATCGCCGGAGGCTGTTTGAGCGGCGGAAGTTGCGGGTTAGGATTTGTGCGTTTTGACGGAATTTTGCTTGATTCGAGCCAATTTCTTGGTTGTTTTCGCCGAATTTTGGGTCCATGTGGTCGCGCCGACGTGGTCTCCGAAACCCATAAATTATTTTGGTGTGATATGGGCTACCGGAGGAGACCCATTCGGTCGAAGGTGCGGCGGAACGGCGAAGAACGTCGGAAAATGGCTTCTGTTCGCGCGGAGGAAGAAGGCGTGTGGCCCCACGCGCGCGCAACAGCTGGCGCGTGGTCGCCACGCGCGCGCAACTGTAGGCGCGTGCGGCCCACTCACACGGCAGTTGCAGGCGCGTGGGCGCGCACGCGCCCGCGCGGTAAAGAAGGCGCGCTGTGCGCGCCACGCGCCCGCGCATAGATGTGCGTGCGCGTGCGCGCCCGCGCCGCGCTCGCGCATGACAGGCGGCGTGCAGCGCACGCACGCGCCCGGAACCGGCGCCCCCTTCGGTTTTTTACTCTTCTGCCCCCGCTTTTTACCCGTTATTACGATTATGTCCCTTGCCGAATTAAGTTTATTGTTTTATCCTTCATGCATTTTATGAATATTTTTATGCATGAAATTAAATGTCTAGTGATCCATATATTTTAATTAATTGAGGAGTAGCCACAGCATCTTTAATTAATTAAATTATATATTAAGAGCATTCGGACCACATTTGGAAATGGACATTGATTGTAATTAATCTTATTAATATGATGAATTTTATCCCACAGGAATTTTCATTATATTAATTTGATTAATTAGGTGGAAATATCATATTATTTTTCTTAATTTACCCACAGGGATTAAGGAAAGGAATATAATATGATAGTTTCTTCATGAAGTATTTATGAATCTATTTAAATTAAAAACTTAGCCCACAGGCAGTTTTTATGTTATGTGATTCATATTTTGTGACATGTCTTACATTGGTAGAACATGATATATGTTGATTTTGCCTCAAATTTTGTGACATAAGCATGATTATTTGATATGCAGTTTTGCAACCTGTGAATTTCTCTGAATTTAAGAGTGATGTTCCCATACTGAATAGTGAAAACTATAAAGTTTGAAAGGAGTCAATTCTTCTTCAATTAGGGTGCATGGACATTGACTATGCTATAAGGAAAGACGAACCACCTACTCCTACTGACACGAGCACTGCAGTTGAGATAGCCCTTTATGAACAGTGGGAGCGGTCCAACCGCCTTAGTGTGATGTTCATAAGGACTAAAGTATCTCCTAGTATCCGTGGTTCAGTCGCTCAGCATAGCAATGCTAAGGCTTTATTGGAGGCCATTGATGCGCAGTTTGAGACTTCAGAAAAGGCGCATGCCATGACCCTGATAATGAAGTTTTCATCTCTAAAGCTCACAAGTGTTAGAGGTGTGCGTGAGCACATCAAGAAGATGAGGGACATTGCAGCTCAGCTGAAAAACCTTGAGGTTGACATATCTGAATCATTTCTTGTGTACTACATTCTGAACACTCTCCCACAACAGTATGCACCTTTCAAGATCTCCTACAACACACATAAGAATAAATGGTCAATTAATGAACTTATGACCATGTGTGTTCAAGAGGAAAAGAGGCTGATTATGGAATTAGGAGAAAGTGCTCATTTGGCAACACAAGAAAGGAATAAGGGTCACGGCAAGCAGAAGGGGAAAGGTAAAATACCTCCCCAAGCTGACATTAAGAAGGAATCCAAATGTTTCTTATGTAGAAAGAAGGGGCATATGAAGAAGGATTGCGTCAGATTTAAGGCCTGGCTCGAGAAGAAAGGTAATCCAACCTCTTATGTTTGTTATGAATATAATATGGCTGATGTGAGTCACAACACTTGGTGGATTGATTCTGGTTCTACAATCCATATTTCGAATTCCTTGCAGGGTTTTCAAAACCACAGGAAGCCAGTGGGAAGTGAACAAAGCATCTATTCGGGAAACAAGATGCGTTCGCATGTAGAAGCTATTGGGACATGTAGATTAGTTCTCAATAGTGGCTTTGTTTTGGATTTGGAAAGGACCTTTTATGTTCCAAGTTTCTCTAGAAACTTAATTTCAGTTTCAAGACTTGTACCTTTGGGTTACTCTTTTAACTTTTCAGATTCAAACTTCAGTTTATTGTTTAAATCTGAAATTGTCGGGAGTGGTATTTTGTCTGATGGTCTTTTTCGAATTAATTTACAAGACAATGCCTATTATAATGCGATGCATGTTCATGACAATGCTGGTATAAAACGATGTGTTGTGAATGAAGATTCCTCCGTGTTGTGGCACCGGAGATTGGGACATATCTCCATAGATAGAATTAAGCGATTAGTAAATGATGGAGTACTCGGTACTTTGGATTTTACTGATTATGATATTTGCGTGGACTGCATAAAGGGAAAGCAGACCAACAAGACAAAGAAAGGTGCCAAGAGGAGTACAGACATATTAGAAATCATACATACGGACATTTGTAGTCCTGATATGGACTCGTATGGTCAGAAATACTTCATCTCCTTCATTGATGATTACTCACGTTACATGTATCTCTACTTGCTTCATAATAAACATGAAGCGTTGGATGCCTTTAAGGTTTTTAAGGCGGAAGTAGAGAAACAATGCGGCAAGCAAATTAAGATCGTGAGATCAGATAGAGGTGGAGAATTTTATGGTAGATACACTGAAGATGGACAAACACCTGGTCTGTTTGCAAAGTTTCTTTAAGAGAATGGGATAGTTGCCCAATACATTATGCCAGGTTCTCCGGACCAAAATGGCGTAGCAGAAAGAAGAAACCGAACTTTATTGGACATGGTGCGGAGTATGCTTAGTAGCTCCAAACTTCCTAAGTCCTTGTGGACTGAAGCTCTTAAGACGGCAGTGTACATATTAAATCGAGTTCCAACCAAGGCTGTCCCAAAGACGCCTTTTGAGTTATTCAAAGGTTGGAAGCCTAGTTTGCGACATGTACGCGTTTGGGGATGCCCGTCTGAAGTAAGAGTCTATAATCCACAGGAAAGGAAGTTGGACCCAAGGACTGTAAGTGGATATTTTATTGGATATGCCGAAAAGTCCAAGTGATACAGGTTTTATTGTCCATCTCACACTACTAGGATTGTGGAATCAAGAAATGCTAAGTTTCTTGAAAATGACTTGATTAGTGGGAGTGATCGATTGAAGGACATTGTTCCTGAGAAAGATCATTCAGATACTCAACCTTCCACTTCAAGTATTAAGTTGGTTGTTGTTCATAACGCCCCTTCAGTTCAGCCTGCTATTGAACAACCAACTATTGAAGTTCCACAACTTGCTGATAATGATCTGGTAGATCCAGTTGTTCAACAATTACCAGAAGCTGTTGAACAACCAGTTGAACAACACGATCCTCAAGAGAATGTTGATACAACATTAAGAAGATCTACTAGAATGAGGAAATCAGCAATTTCTAGTGATTATATTGTGTATCTACAAGAGTCTGACTATAATATTGGAGCTGAGAATGATCCTGAAACGTTTTCACAAGCCATGAGTAGTGATAAATCCAATTTGTGGTACAGTGCCATGAAGGATGAGATGAGTTCTATGGCATCAAACGAAGTCTGGGATTTGGTTGAGTTGCCTAATGGTGTGAAGGCCATTGGTTGTAAGTGGGTCTTCAAAACTAAGAAGGACTCATTGGGCAACATTGAGAGATATAAAGCTAGACTTGTTGCCAAAGGATTCACTCAAAAGGAAGGAATCGATTACACAGAGACATTTTCTCCTGTATCTAAGAAAGATTCTCTTCGTATTATTTTGGCTTTGGTTGCCCATTTTGATATGGAATTACATCAAATGGATGTGAAAACGGCGTTCCTCAATGGGGAACTAGAGGAAGAGGTTTACATGAAACAACCTGAAGGATTCTCCTCTAGTAAAGGTGAGCATTTGGTGTGCAAGCTTAAGAAATCTATCTATGGCTTGAAACAAGCATCCCGCCAATGGTACTTAAGATTCCATGATGTCATCTCTTCATTCGGCTTTGTAGAGAATATCATGGATCAATGCATATACCAGAAAGTCAGTGGGAGCAAAATTTATTTTCTTGTGCTATATGTGGATGATATTCTACTTGCAACCAATGATAAGGGGTTGTTGCATGAGGTGAAACAATTCCTCTCTAAGAGTTTTGACATGAAGGATATGGGTGAGGCATCTTATGTCATTGGCATTAAGATCCATAGAGATAGAACTCGAGGAATTTTAGGACTATCTCAAGAAACCTATATCAATAAGGTCTTGGAGAGATTTCAGATGAAAGATTGTTCACCAAGTGTAGCGTCCATTGTGAAGGGTGATAGGTTCAATTTGAACCAGTGCCCGAAGAACGATCTAGAAAGGGAACAAATGAAGAACATCCCATATGCTTCTGCTGTCGGAAGCTTGATGTATGCTCGGGTTTGCACTCGACCCGACATCGCTTTTCTTTGTGGGAATGTTGGGAAGATATCGGAGTAATCCAGGGATAGACCACCGGAAAGCCGCAAAGAAAGTGATGAGATACCTTCAAGGTACTAAAGGCTACATGCTTATGTATAGACGGACTGACAACTTGGAAGTATTTGGTTATTCGGATGCGGATTACACTGGTTGCGTTGATTCTCTAAAATCAACATCATGATACATTTTTATGTTAGCTGGCGGAGCCGTGTCATGGAGGAGTGCGAAGCAGACTTTGACTGCTACTTCCACTATGGAGACTGAGTTCGTTTCTTGTTTTGAGGCTACCTCGCATGGTGTATGGTTGAACAGTTTCATTTCAGGGCTTAGAATTGTTGATTCTATTTCTAGGCCATTAAGAATATATTGTGACAATTCAGCTGCGGTTTTACGGCTAAAAATGCTAGAAGTGGCAGTCGAAGTAAGCACATCGACATTAAGTATTTAGCCATAAAGGAACGTGTTAAGGAGAATAAAGTGGTCATTGAACACGTTCGCACTGAATTGATGATAGCTGATCATTTAACTAAAGGCATGCCACCAATGAAGTATAAGGATCATGTGGCTAGTACGGGAATAGTTCCCATAATGTGATTTATTGTCGTACGGACGATTTTTGTTGTTTGAAACTCTTACTCAATTGTAATGTTATTCTCAATTTCTGGTGTACACATTTAGTTGTTTATGAGAATAACAATTATCCTTGGTTCTGGAATAAACATAGGGTTTATTCATTAAGATGTGTTGTCACATATGGGCTGACATTAAAGGAATAAGATGCATTGTAATACATGGAAGATATTACTCGCTCTTAGAGGACATGTCGCCATGATTCATGTGTTTTGTTTCTTTTCTTAAGCATATGGTTTTCGTGGATTTGGTTGAGTAATCTGTATGATGAAAATGTTGGGATCAAGTGGGAGAATGTTATATTTGTAATGTGATCCCACATTTAGGTTTGACCCACGTTTTCTCTTTTGAGTGACGGTTATCCACTGTCGGTTTTTCCACGCTTCGTACCCCTTCGGTGACAACCGCCCTCTTCGATAACTGCCTTGATGGGAAGCGGTTTATAAAGATGAACGTTCATTCCATAAGGGCTAACACAAGGTCTAACGCAAACCCTCTCATTCGGTAATACACCATCAGTACGCGAGGGGATTGGGTTAGTAGAGTGCGTCCGTAATCGCTCTCAAATTAATGTCGAACTACCGTGGATTTCCAACGAACGTAAAGTTGAACAATGGCTGGAGGTCAGTTTATTTTCGATCCTGTTTTCCGCATTTGATTCTAATTATGCTTAAATTTTATTCTTCTATGCATGATTAGAATCCTCCCGTTTTAATCTTACAAGTATTACTTAATAAATCATTCACTAAGGTTTGTCTGGACTAAATCTAAGATTTGGGATGTCACATCTACATGCGTTGAGTTGAGACAGAGAAAGAGAGAGAGCATGATGTGACTGATCCGAGACGGACAGAAAACAAGATATGATGGTAACACATGCTGAGAAATTTGAGATCTGTTGGGGTGAGTGGAAGCGAGTTCTGAGAATCTGAGCAATGCCGCCACAAAAGAATACGTCAAAGGTCTGGATTTTCTGCAAGAATCCAATAGAGATTCCGTTTTCCCCTTTTATTTATTTCCTTCCCCTCAATTCTTAATGTAAATTGAATGACACAGGTCACTCCACGACATGAACACCTGTTTCTTGTTCATGGGATTAATTGCTCCTCCCACCGGTCCTTCCTCAGAATCCCAACTTTCTTTTCTTGGAGAAACCATTCCCCTCTCTCCCTCTCTCTCTGCAATCATTTATTTAACCCTTTGTTCTCACTTCTCTCTCTTTCTTTGACTTGCCCTCTTTTGTTTTCTCAACGGAAAATATTTCCCAATTTAATGTTAGGCCTATGCCATGATAGGAAACCTAGCATGAGAGTTTTTTTTCTTTTTATCCTTGGCCTAACTTAAACTTTGTAACCATTTAAAGAAAGCATGGTCCCATCTACTCTCCACCCAACTGCAGAGACTCCACTTGGTTCATGAAATATGAATGTACAAAAATTAGCCCAAAACAAGTAAAGCCCCCCACTCTTTGATGGAACGAGATTTTGCAGCTGC